GCTTTTATGATGACAATGGGTCATATTGATCATCACGATATATTATTTTACCAAATCATTTCAGTGAATTATCGCAAAATATTGCGATAATTTTGCAATAATTGACGTCATGCGGTTGAATATGCAATTAGCATGTCAAATCCATTCATGAACTTGATGAAAAAATGACAGCTAATGGGTATTTATAGACACGTGAGACGTGGTGGGTGGTGGTGGGTAACCTTAACTAACCTAATAAGCTGAATAAAATATACCATTGGATTGCACACATCTTCGTTCTTTAACTCGTAATAACTTTCTCCTCACTCTTAATTGATACCAGAAAGTTTGGTGGCAAAAACTTTCCCGATTATTTTTCATTTAAGACCCCATTAGTGACTTACACTCTTTCCTAAAAGTTGGATAGATATGAATATGGCATACGGCATCATTATTTTTTCATAGGTATTTTCCCTCTCCGTAGTCATTGGTAAGTCAGTTATGCATATCTTGTAAATACACAAGAAAGATCAAAGAATATGTTATTTAACAGTGTAGACGAAGACGGAGTGGAATAAAAAGTGAAGAACAACATTACGCAACTAGTCCTTCAAGTGGTCATGTCCAGTATTAATTTACAGTCGTCAACTTTTTTTCGCAATGGTGGATAAAATTTAAGATAGAATTTCTCAGACTAGTTGAGACTACACTGGGCACATATACAACCATAAGCTCACACTGATGTACATAAGCCTGCAAGCAACTTGCACAATTTTTTCACCAACGACATGGGACGAAAAGATACGAAATATTTTCTACTTTACTGTGCATGTTGTTGAGAAAGATGTGCCAATAATATCAGCCACTTTCGCAACAAGACCACGTATCAGAAGTGAACACTCCACATTTATCTTTCCCATCCATGTCTTGTCTGTCTCGCTCTCAAAGGTCGGAAAATACCACACAACTCTGCACAATTACATTTATTTTATTTTATTTTTTAGACTTTCCGACAACTCAAGTTTTATGTATCATCGTGTTTGTGCATTTCTGAATACCTATAAGTTTTTTTCAATTGAACATAATATTATGCAACCTCTGTTGTTGCAATAGGAAAGAAAATTTTTGTGAATTTTCTTATTTTTCGCTTCCAGTTAAGCCTATGACTTGCCTTAAATTGGACTTTCTGACTACAAATTGTCCTACACAAGTACAGATCAGTTACCTGATTTACTGGAATATGGGCGTACATACATATGTATGTATGCACATCCCTATAGCTTATCCCTATACCACCACCTTACTTTATTCGAAGATTTTATAATCTTTGTCGTTTTCAAATGTCATTGTCCTTGCAAAGCAACATTTTCATTACTTTCACTTCCTTTCAAGTTCCAGGTTAAAGGAAGGAATAAGAATGTGTGGAGCTCCATCCCCAGATTAGCTACTTTCCAAGTTTTAAACAGTTAATTCAATTGAATTCACAATGGATTTCGGGAAAAACGTTGGACCAACTGCCTCTCAAGTTAGATTGGAAAATAAACTCAGGAACGGTGAGGGCCAGCAGAGAGAAAGCAGCACACTTGATTTTAGTGGACAAGACAAATGCAATTGTACTTGAATGAATTCAATTACAGACAAGAACCCCTATTTGAAAACATTGTGCCGAAGCCAAATCCTTTGGCAGATCTGTATGTGCATCTACATATGGATGTATGCATCTTTGTACGTATGTATGTATGCAGAAAATGTGTAAATGCTTTTACTTGCCGTATGCGTAATCTTAAAATTAATTTTTTCTTACGTCCCTCCTAGTTTTCATTTATACACCTGAGTAGACTCATTTCTCTCACCACTGATTAACGAATAATCTGAGTCTTCGGAGTCTGTCGTTATTTTCTAGGTGGGATATTTTCTACACTAATAACGTTAAATATTAACACATTAACACATTAACTCATTAGTGGTCTAGAGCATTTATTGAGTGTTCTCAATATGACAGATTGTCAACCCCCAGTCGTCACAAAGGTTCAAACACCTCACCTGCCTATCTGTCTAGGAGGTTGCAGAAGGAGTTTTCAAGTTACTCAACTTCTTTGAGATGACTCCCATTTGCCCAAAACTTTTCTTTTGATTTTGAATTTAAATTCGATTTGGAACAAACTCTAAAAACCAACTGGATTAAGTTTTGAATTGACAAGTTTGTTTGGGTTTCTGTCCAACTTATTGGATGTACTAGTGGCTTATAAAATAGCGCATAGGTGAAGCTGATGTCCCAACGTAATAGGTATGTACACGGTGAAAGTGCTCCAAATTTGCCCAGGGGACAATGGATTCCATTCTCCTGTTATTTTTGAAGACTAAGGCACAAATGGAAAGCAAACGACTGAGGGAGCAGATCAGCAGCTTCATCATCATCATCATTTTCCTACTTTCTCCTGCTCCTACATATACAAAGTAGGCACATGGGTCAGTCTAAAAGTGAACCACTAACCATTCACTCTGGAAAAGTGAACGAGTCAAAGTCGTCGTTCCGTCCTGCGATGATGTTACATCACCTTTCACTTTACCCTTCAGCACTTCCTCCAATTCCGTCTCGTTGTACTATACATACTGCTTGGTCTCTTTGTACGGCGGACGTTGTACTACATGCTACCTGCTGACTGAAAGAGACTCGGTGATGGTCAAACTTGGTTCAAAATTGAGTAGAGTGGGCTGAAAGTCTCACACGCAAGCACAGAAGAATGATTCTCGTTAAAAAGTTTTCAACTTGGCCCGAGATACACATAGGCCTTTACATCGTCGTTCATTGTGTGAACAGAGCACATATCTCTCTACACACACGGTTCTGCAGACCGGAGTAAATGCCATGTTTCTCGAGGAGGAGCAGCAGACGAAACAGGAGAGAAAGCAGCGGAATTGCTCTTTGGAGGAAAGGTGAAGATGATGCAGGAGGAGAAGTTGTAGTGTGAAGCAGACTTATTGTCGGACAGGAAGCAAAGAATAACTTCTTGATCTTTCTCCACTCTTTCACTAATTTTCTGTTTCATTCACCCGAGTTTTCCGTATGTACAAAATAAGAGACGGCCAGAAGAAAGTGAGTCGTCCAGACTCTGGGGGAATTAGATTCGGATCTTTTAATGAAAAACTTTCCGTATGTTGGTTTGGGACACATTGTTGCGATGATAAAAGCAAGCTCTACAATTCCTTTGTTGTCTTCCAATCAAAATTGAATCCCTGTCACTTGCGAATACTTTCTGCTGGTGCTGGCGTTTCGGACGAATTGAATTAAAATATCTGACTAATTTAAAGCTTGCATTTATATTTCAAGGGATTTGGGTCAAATTATTTTTTAGTTTGGCCTGCACTTAAAAATGGCAAAAAATTTTACTTTCGCCATCTCATAAGTAAAAAAAACTCAAAAATACACAAAGATCATTTGCATAAATAGTTTGAGCAGGTTATGGCAAACATCAAGACGTTGGGCGTTCCTCGCAGCATTTTAAATGAAAGGGCGAGCAAGAGAAATGTTTTCTGAATGTTAATATCAACGGAGCCGAAGAGCCGGAGTGGTTATTTGACTTTCACTCACCAACAGGACCAGCAGGCAGGCCCGTCGTTGTTGCCTCCGCATGTCAGCAGTGATACGATAACGTTCCCCAGCTCCTTCCTGCTCTTGGCTTAAATAAAGAGCGAAAATGCGGCTCCGAAGTGGAAAAGAGAAATAGCCATTTATTTATTTCATTCAAGATTTGAAATCGTGGCCCCACCATCCAAGCAGCCAAGCTTTCCGTCATATAACGTGGCAAAGATGCTCAAAAAGTAAATTTTATGCATTATTGCCTAGCCTTCAGCAGCGAAGGGGAAAAACGGAAGACATTTCTCACATCCACTTTCCACACTGCGCAAAGCGGTCGGAAGCTGCCGATTTATTTTAAAATACGAATCTGACTGAAGATTGCAATTTTTGCAGAAATATTAATGCCCCAATTTAATCCCCAAATATCAAAGCATAGCGGTTTTATCAATTCAAAATATGGTCCTGTTTGTGAAACATGTGTATTAGTGACAAAGAGAGAACATTTCCATGTCTTTCTGCCGACGCAATTGAAATCTTCTTTGAATGAGTTTCATCTTCATTTCTTTCACCGCACGTCAATATCTGGAAAATGAAATGCAATCAAGTCATCACACTTGAGGAATTTGTCAGGATGAGCATGGTGGAAATTCAAATTCAAATTTTCTCGTATTAGTTTGAGCTAAATGTAGAATTCCTCAGGGATTTTTGTCCCCAGAGACATTTCCAATCTCGATCTCTTCCAACAACATTCATCGTTCTCGCTTTCTATTTCTTATTCCTCGGTTCCTTTGCCGCTGATACAGTTTTCCTTTCTTGGTACTCTCGTTCACTGTATTTTCCTCGCGTAAATGTATGTGTGGAGAAAGAGGAAAGTTGGTCTGGTTGGATGGCGCATTTTTGCTACAAAATTATAAATCTGTCTAAAGTGTTGAAAGTGTTGCAATTACATTTCAACCTCGTTGTGATTAAATCAATTCAATTTTCTTGCAAATTTGCATTATACTGCTAAATGAATTTCGTTGTGATGTTGACTGTTACTGCAAAACCCAAGATTGCATTCCGCAGAATGAAAATCCACTCTGAGCTGCTTATGAGGATTTTAATCTCTATTCCTCCTAGAAAAAATAGCACACTCGAACGTCTCATAATTTTTACTTTAGCTTGGTGAAAAATGCTCATAATACGACAACACATTCAGATTTGTACGTATTCTATTATATCCTTTATAGTTATTACGGAGTGTGTATATGCGCGCACATATGTGGATAGTGGATATGCTAAATATGCTAGTTTGATGCTCATCATTATTTCCACACAAGAAACATATGTTTATAAGTATATCGCTAAAAATTGAAATGACGAAATGATGAGAATGTCTCTTGGACTTGAAGCCACCTTGAGTTGAGTTAAATAATTACCGGCTTATTATTTGTTCACACAGGAATATTCTCAGAGCCGCAATGGCACGCCCCACGGTTTACAGAGGAGCCAGGAGATAGAATTGACTTTCTAAACGAGCACGGTGCTGTAATAGTGTAAGTTAATGAAACGACCCATTTTCCTTAATGCTTTACATTCCTGTTTATGCCCGCTTTCTCCACGACGATGATGATATAACTAAACCATCTACACTTGACATAAGCGGAATCATTTGCAAGTATACGATCGAGTCCTATTTCCCTTCACTCCGACCCTATGGACGTACAGAAGCCAACTATGCCAACCAGCAGGGAAATGACAGTTGTGGTGCTAATAGCCAAGGAACACCAGCAGCAGTTTCATTTCATGATGATACCCCGTAATCGCCGTGAACTTGACTCGCTTCGTCTTCCACCTTATATGTATAATAATAATAAAATTGTATTACTTGGTCGTGGGCTAAAAGTTGAATCGCTTTCCCTCACTCATCTGTTCCCTCCAAGGGCGAAAGGACCCCATAATTATGTTACTGCTACGGCTCATCAATGCATAGGCTCCCACGAAAGGCTACACTTTCACCATTTCATTCCCAACTCAAAAGCCACATTCAAAGATTATTGCCACCAGATTTTCCTACTGACAATGAGTTTGCATACTGAGTCCCATAACTGTAATAAATACGCAGTTGTCTTTACACAATAGCGGATAAGCTCCATGTTTTTAATCCTTCGGCTTTGCCAAAATTTGCCAACCGAAAATTAAGCTTAGCCGTGATTACTACATATTTATTCCTTCACAACAGATGCCAAGCAGACGGATATCCAATGCCGTCAGTGATTTGGTTGGGTGGTGATAATAAACTAGTTTCGACCATTTCTAATTTTCGTACCGTGCTTTCCAACTCGACTTTGTTAATACATCCGTTCAAACCAGCTGCCTACAGGCAGGTGAGATTCGGTTCGGTATTTATTTATTCCCAGTACTTATTTATTCCGTTTACGTGTATGATTTCGTATGCTTAAATTAAATGGGTTTAATCATATTAATCGTTTCATGTGCAGGACGTCCATTCTACAATTTATATTTGCAAGGCGTCGAACACTGTGGGAACAATTCGTTCACGAGACATTCACGTGAGAGCTGGTAAGAACAATAAGTTTCGCTTTTCTCTTATTTATTTAAACTTCTCTCATGCAGATAGGATAGAAAAGGGAATACATTGAAGGGAGGAATTTGCTCTTCTAAATTTAATCTCCTTAAACTATGCTAATGCATGCTTAGTCTAAGCCCGTAATATTAAAGTGGCCCTTTGTCCTACTTATTTTATGTGACAGTTGATTGTTTTCATCGTGATTACACAAATGCACCCAAGTAAATGGAAAGTGGCTCGTTCAGCACTTTGATAATTTTTATATTCACTACATTCTCCTAAATACGAACATACGAAGACATTGTAGGTTTTATTCAGATGAACTCATTTCTCTTTATTACTTTTACTCTCAATATAACAGTTATAGCCCAACAATGGTCAGTGAAAATAGTTGCCAGCCCAGCTCATCTTTCTCCCAGGGCTGGACCCATTCTCCTCAAATGCGAAGTGGATTTGATGGGCGGAGGACGCGAGTTTGTTCAGGTGACTGGGTGGAAAAGAGACCAGAAATTTATCACGCAGGGATCTCAGAGATTATATGGTGAGTTTTACTCTGCTATGGTTTTAAACTCAGTCTTCGACACTTTGGTTATGTGATATTTAATCATTTTCTGTTTTGCATTGATCGACCTTTGCAGACGGTGGTGATGAAGATGAGTCGAGTCACTGGCATGTTCTGCCGAATGGAGATTTGGTTATCGATTCTCTCCTTGAAGAGGACTTTGAGGCCAAAGTGGTGTGTCAAACACGTCATAAAATAACGAGACAACAAATTGCTAGTCCTCCCTTCATCATCACGTTTTCAGGTGAACATGTGCCCAAATTGCTTTCCAATGTATGTTACCATGTGTCAGTTGTTTGTATTGGATTAGCATGGAAATGGTTCGTTTCAAGCGCTTATTACCTCACTCTGCGAGATTATGATGGATTCAAGTTTAGCCACTTTGAACTAAAGGAGCCTTCTAAATATTCCCGAATTTTGTGACTTTCTCCTCATTTACATGGAAAATAAGTAATTGTCAGGATAAGGTTTCAATTTTTCTGTCAAAACTGAAGGGTTATTGTCCATTTAAAGATAAGATATGTACACAGGACATGCCAAAATTCAGTGAAAGGGATGTGAAAGTGATCCATTGTAGAGAGTGAGTAATCACGAGATGACTGTGTTCACTTGAGTGGTTGCATTGAATAAAAGTGATACGACACTGAAGGCACGTACGATGACAAATGTATGCCTTAGACACACTTCATCATTCATTTTTGCATTCTATTCCTGTTCTCATAACAGAATGTCGTCCTTTATCAACTCATTTTCCGTATGGCAGAAAAAAATCTAGACTTTCTTTTTAAATGGAAATTCAAATCACAATATCGAAACAACTGGGTCAGTCATACACATACAAAACTCAAGAATGTGTTGAATGGAAGATTTCTACGTTCTATTCTGCCATGATGACTTCTTTTTGTCCAAAACTAAAAATTAAAGCCAGTGTTTTGTAGCAGGGAGTAGGGAGGTATTGTATGTAGTCGTAAATGGAGCCCTAACATGACGTTGGCAGATTATGAGATTTAGTTGACAGGTAGACAGGAAGGCAGGTGGTGGTTGGTAGTACGAGAAGTGGAACAAGTAGCAGAGTCAGTAAATGTACGAAGGTAAGAGGCAGGCTGTAAGAGGAAGCCAAGGATTCCGGTCGGTAACTTTCACTCACCAACTTTTCGGAAACACCTTTCACCTCGCTTGCAGTAAATCGTTCACTCAACCGTACACTTAGAACAGACTCATCACATCCTCTTTCTTAAATGAAAAAATTCCCTTTCACTCCTCCCAAGAGGATAATACACAATGCGATGCATTATGGAGGTGTGTTGGCAGGAGAGGAGTGGAAGAGCAGGCGGGTTCAAAATCCGTATGTGCGGAGTACGATGACAGAGCGGAAGCTGCTGATGTCTTGTAACTAATTCACCAATCTCACAGGACTCTTCCCTTTTGCAGAAATGCCCAACCATGCACGCAGTGATCTCAATATAGTTGAAAGCTTTCCAGTACCCATTGTCATCCGTGAAGGAGAACCAATTGTTCTCAATTGTTATTCGTCGTCACCTAGCTTCAACTCGAATGCCAACATCAGGTATGACTAAGAAACTGGAATGATGGAATATTGAATATGTATGTCTTCACGTCTTTTCTCTGCTGCAACCTATTTGTCGCTGATGGCTGACTGTGCAGTAGATATGAGAGATATGCAAAATGCGTAGACAAGTCATGAAAAAAAGCTCCGTCATGTATAAACCTAAAAATTTTCATATTCTTGCCAAGATTTATTCCATCATCTTTCAAAGCAATAGTTTCCAGATTTATTTTTTTTGTAGAATAAATGTATAAAATGAATTTGATGACGTTGTAGATGGGAGAAATTGTCAGGAAATTCGTGGGTGGAGATTTCAGTGGGAGGAGGAGGAGGAGGGACGTTCCACCAACATCAACTTCGACAGATAGGAAACTCGTTAGTGAGCGAGAAGAGCGCAAGAAAGTCGGTGGCCGGGAACTATCGGTGCTTTCGCAGAGGGGACAGTCCGAACAGCAAGGAGAGCGTGGGGGAGTTTGAGGTTCGAGTGAGTGAGCCATTGTCCGTCAGCGTGACCATTAATCAAGCAAAGTCACCTCTGGAATCCACCACAGAGCTCACTTGCACCGTTTCGTCTTCATCACACGACTCGCCCTCGGTTATTTGGCTTAAGGATGGCAATTTGATCACTTCTGGTGGGAGGATCCGGTTCTTTGCAACTAATGTACTTCAGGTATAGTTGTGCTTCCGGTTTATTGTCCTGCTGTCACTGACCGCTACTACTTTCTCATTCGAAATGAATGGGAAAATGGGGTCAAACTGTAGAAAAACAACTTTCTTATTTACTTTCATGCAACAACCAAACGTGAGAATATGTCCCACTTGCTCATAAATCGAAAACCAACCCATGGAGAGTTATTTGTTTTACTATAGATCAATCAAATCCAACAAGATGATCGTGGAATGTGGCAATGTCTCGTAAGAGCGAGGGCAGAAATGGAGTCAGTTCAAGATTCCGTGCGATTGGAGATTGCAGGTATGAAAAAGTTTTATGTTATCATCACTGGTGAAAGTCTCGAGAAGTCTAAAGTTAGTTTTGGTCAGTTGTTCTGCTCAATTAGTAGGCACATGCTCTTATGTGTTATTATATGGGAGTGATTTGTGCGTGGCTGTTGGAAGGACCGTAACTAAATATATCGACTGTATAACTTGCTACCTCATAAAATAGCAGTTAAAGGGGAAGAAGTCCTATTGTAGTTAATGGGCAGTACTTTATAGAAAAAAAAACGAAAAAAACTTTGGGCATGAATTTTATTAGACGCTCCACCACGACTGATTTATGGCTTCAACGACCAGACCCTTATGCCTGGCCCTATGGTGTCCTTGAAGTGTGTTTTCTTTGGTTGGCCGCCTCCCACTATGGTCAAGTGGACTATCGATGGCTGGCCTGTTTCCTCCGACGACTCCAGGTAAATGCTCATTAACCTCCATTTTCTCCATATATGTATGTGCATATCTACACACTTATAAAGCTGACGAGGGAGACTGCCAGTGTGTCAGGCAGGCTGGTTGTTAGTGGATGTGCCTCCTTCATAAACCGCTCGCATCAGGGTCTTTTGACTGTTTCCTTGGAGGATTTCTAGACAGGGTCATGTCAGTTCAAAAATTCTCCAAATTTTTTTTACAGATTTTAAAGTTTGGGAATATGCGCTATTTTTGCTGGGAGAGTTTGGTTGTCAAGAAAAATGAAATATTTTATAAACCGTCGTAAAATGTCAACGATTTAATTTAATTGCAAATTAAAATAGTTATGAAATAATTGAACTAGAATCGGTATCAAAAACGGTACCTACAAATTTTTCGCATGCATTTATGACGTTTTATAGAATATTTCATTTTTCTTGACAACCAAACTCTCCCAGCAAAAATAGTCCGTATTCTCAAACTTGTCTAGAAATCCTCCAAGGAAACAGTCAAAAGACCCTGGCTCGCATGCATGGCACACTCAGACTCTGTCACTTTATCATTAGCAAAATCAAGACAAATGTTTCCTCCGTAAGTTTGGCGCAACATTTTATCACAATTATGTCAATTTTCTTTTTGAAAGGATATTGATCGGCAACGTTACATCGCACGGACATTTGATCACTTATCTCAACATTAGCGAAACTCGAGTTGAGGATGGAGGAAATTACCAATGCAGGCAAATTGACTCTGACTATAACTCTTACACATGTATAATGATGCATATAATCTAAAGACTTATAATCTAAAACAGTGCACAAAATCGAGCTTCTGGAGTCATTTCCCATTCTTCAAGATTAAACATTTATGGTACGTCAAATAATTAATGTATTTCCGCTACTGATAAATGAGACGAATAAAAGCATGCGCGTGTAGACAAGTTAGGAACATATACCGCAAAATTGATCTGCACCCACCCACAGGTCCTCTTTGGATTAGAGTGGTCTCTCCTGTCGTCGCAATCAGTGGAGAGTTTTTCGTCCTCAGTTGCCCTATTTCTGGATGGCCGAGGGGATTCTCGAGCATCGTGTGGGAGAAAGGTAAAAAAATCTCTCACCACATTCCTACATGTATCCCATCTGTGGTGCTCATTAAGCTTATTTTGGTTGGAATATTGACGCCGGCGGAGAAATGAGGCAGATGTGTAAAGGATCAAAGCATTTCAAAATAATGAATCGGATTAAACAAGAGTCGCAGAAGCAGCTTTGCTTGTTTGGTGTAGTTTTGTGTTTAATGCGTGGTTTGTCAACTGCAGAGTAATTTGTCCCATGTATCCGCAGATGGGCAGAAGCTGCCGTCAAATCCACGCCATCGGGTCGGAACGAATGGCAGCCTCACAATTACCCTGGTTGATAAGTCCGATTCAGGAGGCTATCACTGCTCCATACTGGATTCTCAGGGACGAACAATTCGACGAGAGATTCGGGTCAATGTGGTGGGTAAGTGCATACGCAGGCGGCTCGTCTGGTGTAACAACCAGACGAACGTAGTTACAACATCAAATCAACACCATTATTCTATTACGACCATACACAACTTTTGACTACAACCATTCCAAGTCCTCCTTATATACAGACAGACACCCACGACTTGTCTTTCCAAAGTTGATATTCCTTCGACACTATTGCACCAATCGAGTTATATTCAGTAAAGTGAAAGTCTAGATACATTTTCTGTGTGGAGAAAACTAAATACAAAGCATTGCATTGCAGCATTGATTCATGGAAATACTTTCATTTATCAGAGAATTGAACAACAGTAAGTAATTCAGTCCTGGTCAGAGAAGAAGAGACAGATAAGCACACTCCATATGAAGCTTAGACGCAACTTCCCACTTCAGCCAGTCCACTCCATCCTCCTTAAGATTCACGACGTATCTCACATTTCCGGAGTAATAAACTGGACTGTGTATTTCTGTGAAAAGTGACCACGCGATACATTGCACTCGCTCCTCATCTTACACAACACTGATATCCACTCTGGACCTGGACGTCCACTTTTCCTACCACTTCCTCCTCCTGCAGATTGTTTTATTAAACTCGTTAAGTTGTTTTTGGTCCAATTCCAGTTATTTTACTCCAGACACACATTTCTCTGTTTTTATCATCAGCCATTCCACTCATCCTCGGACATGCACAAATACTACTTACTTATTATTACGTACAGACCATCTGGGTAAAAATTGGATACTTATGTAATTGACAGCCCTCAAACCAAACTGGAAAAGTCATGGTCAACAATATGAAAATACTTTTATAAATTTGTATAGAAGGAGGATTTGATACTTTAATGAATGAATGCGTGAAATTATGACTTTGAAGAGTAATTGAATGGTTTGGGTAACTCAGCTCCACTGAGAATTGCACCCTTTCCGGAAAACGGCAAAGTAGTGGAGGGTGAGAGGTTGAACCTGGTTTGTGGTCTAAGTTCGGGGGATGCTCCAGTTGAAATCCAATGGACGATGGTGCCCACACAGTCCCATCGCCACTCTGCTGGGCACCGATTCTCATCCTCCCTTCTCAAGCACACATCCGAGTTCCCAGATCAAGAGGAGAGAAAGTTGAGACCGAGCTCCCAGCTTTCACCCGCCGAGGAACCAGCCTTGTTTTCCGTGCTAAATACGGATCCATTCACAAGTCTTTTGAGTATTCCTAGAGTTATGGACCGTCATGCTGGATTGTACGTTTGCAATGTTTCCTCGGCTGCGGCGGGGACCACTTTGCGCAGCCATGACCTTACAGTTCTTGGTATGACGAGAAGAAGTGTGCAAGAGACATCTTCTTAATTATTAATTATAGGCTTATTATATTTTAGTTTTATAGAATTCCGAGACCAGTCCTATAAAATATCCTAATTCGTGCGAATTAAGGAGTATAAATATATTTATATACGAATACTTTTCTAATCTATTTGGGATGTATTTTCCTATTACTTACTGGCTCAAAATCGAGTAATCGTACCTACATGTATGCATATACATAGTACATTCTTATCCCAATTTGAATTCCATTGCAGTTTTAGACAGCATGACAGTCCCATTCACAGTCGTTTAACGTAACGGGAGACAAATGATAATGTAAAGTCTGGAGAATGGAGGAACGTGTGGCGTGGTTTGGTGATACTATTTTCCTTGGAATGAGTTGTTACAAATTGGTGTGTAATGTAGCATATTGCAGTGTCATGTGTTTGGTAATGTGAGAAATGCTCAGTAAAATATTGTGAATGAATATGTACTTGAAATGGAGTACGCTTGCATTTTAAATGATGCTCATTTTTGTTGTTTCTTGCTTATGCTCCTCAAGTAAAAGTGAAAGTAGAGCCATTCGCATTCCAAGAAGCTCTGCAGGAAAAGATGATGACCCGTCTTGTCTGCGGAGTGTCTCAGGGGGACTTGCCAATAACCTTCGTTTGGTTCAAAGACGGGGTCCCACAAACGACGTCGAGAAACAACATTGAGATTTCCACCCTCGACTCCTTCTCCACCATCCTCAGATTCTCCTCACTGTCAGAACTTAATTCTGGAACTTACACATGTCTCGCAACAAATCTCGTTTCTCAAACACATTACTCGGCCAAACTCCTCGTCCAAGGTAAGAAGACACGGCGTTGGACAGTGTAATGATGTCCCAGTAAATATCAAATTACTCTTCGGTCTTCTCGATGCTCGACGACTTTGTGGCAATCAAGAACCAAAAACAAACAAGAAAATTTTGTATTTTGAGATTTGCATCGGCTCAAGTTCGCCAAAATAAATCTAACGCAATAACGATCACGATAACGGAGAATTTCTAAATATTTCAGTTAATAATCAACAAACAATACAGAATGTTGTTGATTATAAATGATTTTTACAGCTTTTTTGTAACTATTTGATGCATGATGTTTTGAAGTGCTCTCGATTGAAAACTCTTTAAAGATTTTGCATTTTGGCAGTTTTTCTGCATTTTGAATGTGGATGGATTTTTTTACATACCTCCTCCACCATCTTTCTTGTTGTGCTTGTCGCAACTTTAAAACTTGACTTTCTTTTTTGCCTCCTCAGAATGTTGTCCTGCAAGAGAATATTATTGTTATTATTACTTTGTGAGTGAGTTCCGTCTACGCAAATAGTCAGTCCCGGTGTGCAAACTTTCTCCCTACTTTTTGTGTGTGTAAGTATTGTCGTCTCTTGGTGGTGATTTTATTTTTGGCTAAATTTTTCTAACGTCAAAGTTTGATGTGAAAATAAAGCCCATCATGTTACGGAACTATTTTCATTTTTCATTCAACTTGAGCATTTTTGATGCGTGACATGTTTTGCAACGAGTTTTGTGTCACTTTTTAATCATGTATCTATCAAATGGTTTTGTTACTGCATTTTTGTGCTGAATTTTTGCAAATTTTTCAAACCTTTAACACGTCACAAGCCACCATTCGCCACGTTATTATAGACAAAGTTTAGTAAATAAAAAAAAATAAAGTTTAAAAGCAATTATTTTCCAATAGGCTATATATTGCTATGTATAATTATAAGAGAAAGTATAATTTTTACCGTTTTGAATTCGCGATTATTGTTCCTGGCTTCAAATGTGATGAATTTAATATAGTTGCACCCAGATGGGTGAAAGAGCCGGCGGATATTAACGTTACCAGAGGAGATGGAGGACAATTAGCCTGTTCTGGGTTTTCGATACCGAAACCAAAAATTACCTGGCTTAAATCTACAGGTTGGTATACAAAACTTTCACTTTTCCCCAAACTGCGTACACTGTGCTGATTGAGAAATGAGTTTGCACTCGGGAGGAAACCCATGTTTTCCTAACACCCGCACTTCATTAGAATTTGCATAATTGCATGCAAACTCCACTCAATTCACCACTCACTAAATAGCCCTCAGCTGAATCAACACTTTCTCAAATAATCAAACCATGTACAGCACGGAGGGTCGAATCTATGAAGCTGAGGTTAAGTACTACGCAAAGTAAAAGTAGTGCGTAATGATAATATGGAACGTTATGAAAACATTTGTCCCTTGTTTTAGAGTGTCCGTTATAATTTAATCTAAAAGTTCCATTAGCACCCAATTTTTTTCTACAAACTCTTCGGAATAAGCATGTCAAAAATTGAGATGGATTTATTAGTATCAAAGCAAGTGTGTCATGAAAAAGAAAAAAATGTAGATACACAAAACCATACTGTATTCGACATGTATGTATTTAGATCGTTGTGCTAGATGTTGGCATCTTGGCAGCTTGCACAGATGTGGAAATAAACTAGATAATAAATTAATACGCTATTTTTTCAAAATGGGCGGACAAGGTGACGACAAAGACTTGAATTGGAGGTCTGTGGAGACAATTTGGCCATCCGCCGCAGCAAAAGCAATATCTCTTGAGAATGGATCATTGATTTTCTATGCTGTGGAGGAAGTTCATGAAGGACAATATATGTGCACCATTTCCAACGGCATTGGATCTGGATTATCCAAAATCATACAGCTCCATGTTCATGGTAAATATATAAAAATCCCTCCCCTTTAACTTCTCATGTAAAGAGTGCTGCAGGGAATAAATCCAATTTCTAAATAATCAAGTTCAAACAAATCTTCGTCTCTTGTTTTCTCCACAATTACAGTTCCGCCGTACTTTGTGGGAGGTGAAAGTCAGTCCATAAGTTTGACGCAGGGGAAGACTCATGAGATTACTTGCGAAGTGTGTTCGTCTTCTCCCAGCTATGTCACTTGGTCCAAAGGAACCAATGTATTTTTCAACGTTCCGGCCAACAGGTAGTCAGCATTATTCTTTCGTCCTCCCCACTCCTACACGCCACCCACGCGACAATTTCCCCAAATAATTATTAATGTCCACCGAAGCGAAGAGTTATCTTTCACGGGAGGCAATATCATAGAACCGCGGGCAACAATATGGTGGTTCTTTCATTTTATTTTTATTATCAGCATGAGTGATATCATGCTGATAAGTGATGGTGACAGTTTTATGATTAATAATACATCACATCCCTCCTGATGACAAACACGTTAATGCAACCCTTGTTCGAGTACATTTTTCTACCTCTAGATGAAAATTGCCTCTTTTTCATCGATGTATCCACTATCTTTGCACATATATACGTATATATCATATGTTATCGCGTCTATGAAGATCCTCCGACACGCTGGAAATGCACTACTCGATGTGAAGAAACCCATTTGCTGTGCATTAAAGCTTGTCAACTGTCAATTGTAATTTTCCTCAAAATATTCCATTTTCTCTCCCCATTGAGTTTCATGTGCTGAAAACGAGATGCTTTCCGATAACTTGCCTGACAACGTTGTTCACAATGTGATGATTGTATCTGACGTGAGCAGTAAAATGTGAATATTTTGATAAGTACACAAATGTTTCGCGTAGGATTCATACGGTAGTTTTGATGGAGGGACGGAGGACCAAATCCACCTTGGTCATGAAGGATATTCGCAGTGATGACACAGGTTGGTAATTGACAATTTATTTACTTTCTCCCACTCTCCCTTTCTGTAAATCTGTGTCATTTCAATCCAAAAATAGGTCTGTACAAGTGCACAGCATCGAACTCACTGGGAAAGGTTGCCCGAAGTTACAGAGTCATGGTTGAAGGTATTTTCACAATATTCCTTATTTGCTTGGATTCTCTCTTCGCATTCTTCCTCTGAACACTTTCATACGTTCATAAGTGGACAATCTCGTTCACATGGTCCTTGGCGAATTCTGATAGAAAATAATGTCATACAAGTGCTTATACATACAAGCATACAAACCAGTCGAGTGAGTGTATTTGTACATGTAGGTAAGACTGCGAGGTTGTAGGGAATCAAAGGTAAAAGTGAAAGGAAGGGCAGCAAATAGAATAAAATGCTATCAATTGAGTACAATGAGCAATAAAGAACAACACATATGTGTTGAGCCAAACCACTGAAACAGCTCATTTCCTGTGACCCCGAAACAGAGCAACCAGGACCACCGCAGCGTCTGAGATTGGCGGAAGAAAGTCAGAGAAATGGTCCAGAAGCGACACGAGTAGTCCTAGAGTGGGATTTACCAAGTGAATACTCATCATCAAAGGAAAGTCGACTCTCTGGGGAAGAACCACCACGTCCATTCCGAGGAAAAGAAGGCACAACAACCACCGTCGCCGTTCTCCCACCACCAATTCTCATCTATGTTCTCGAATTCTCACTGACGAGAGAAAAAGCGGCTGAAAATACCCGATTTTCTCGACACATGGAAGTCCCGGGTGGTGGGAACACTCGGGCCACGGTGGACAATCTGAGTCCTGCGGCCGAATATGCGTTCCGTGTCCATGCAGTCAACAGAGCGGGTGCTGGACCAGCGTCGGACTATTTCCTGGTTCGCACTGCAAATATTCCACCAACTGTCTCGCCCAGCAATGTAAGCACACCACAAAAGCAAAGCCTAAAAACAAATGCATAAGCTAACACTGCATGTAAGTATACGCACAAATGTACAAATTGTAATCTGCTGTAAAAAAGAGGCATCCTACTGGGGAGACCTGATTTTATTAACTTGATGCTTCCTCCTATTACAACAAATCAACACGCTTGTTACATGTAAACAAGATCACAAATGCGTATACTTTATTTCGTTCCTCTTTTTTATGGGCTCGACAGGTACACGGAATAGCAGTGTCTTCAAGGTCTCTTCTAGTTTCATGGAGTTTAATTCCAGTTGACATGACTTTCGGAAGAATTGTGGCTTACCACGTCGTTCTTGGTTTAAATGCGGATTCGTAAGTAAAACATTCAAGATTTTTTGTTCACACTTCCACGATCATAGTTCACGCGTGTACTTACATAGCGTGGTGACTTTTCTATGTACAATCTTATTATGATACTTCTTTTTACTACGCTACTAGAAAAGTTTAACTCTGGAAGTTAAAAAGTGGTCTGAGAGAAATCAAAATGAGAATAAACATGCATTTTATATGTAGACCACTGTTCCTTCGCAGGTCTCATGGGAATAGTGGAAACAGTGCAACAATTTTAGTCCCGTCAGCCACATCTTACAGAAATTTCCACAATAATGCAACCGTCAACGAGCAAAATTGTTGTGAGACTTTGATTCATGGGCTCCTTCCTTTTAGTCATTATGAGATCAAAGTACGAGGTAACCAACATTTTAATACATCTCATGTTGTAATAATTATTATAATTAATAATTAATAATTTTATAATTAATAATTAATAATTTTTATTGTGACTAATGATCACCAAAACAATATCTACACTTTTTTGAACTAAAACCCGCTACTACCATTGCTCATTGTATCACCATGAGATCGTATACTTTCAAAGTTTGGTTTGAACATTACGAGGTTTGAACATTGCTGGTGCCGGACCGCTTTCTCCCCCTTTCTCTGTCAGAACCTCGGAAGAAGGCAAGAAAAATTTCATTTCACGTCCAATTACCCTTCCCTACATAAATTTACCGGATTAATTAATCTTACGGAAAGCTGAAAATTCACAGCACCACAACTGCCACCACGGAATCCACAATGTCTTGCGCTGACGTCCCATAGTATTCAACTAAGCTGGTTACACCCCGCACAATCAAATGGACCAATTAATTCTTACAAAGTCCTCTTCTATCCATTAGAGTTCAATGCACAGAACAACAGTAAGTGTCGTCGTGGTCCAAATTCAGTCTTTCTCTGCGTCTCTTTCCTCTCAAAATCGTGACTCTGACTGAACTACCAATTTTGTGGCAGGAGGGTTTGGAGGGGAAATGCATAGGACAACGGGCTTAACTGCTGTCATTGGAGGTTTGTCACCAAACACGAATTATAGCTTTCACATATCACCGATAAACATTGCCGGAGAAGGGTCGCAGTCGCTCAGTGTATTTTGTAAAACTTCGGAAGATGGTAAGTGCATGGCTTGTTATTAAGCTTTTCATACATTTTTCGCACGCTGGGACCAAAGATGACAGATTTATTAAAGATGTTGACAAGATTTCCTATTCTGATTTTGATTTAGTGCCGTCTTCTCCAAGTAATTTAATAGGATTTCCAAGCACAGAGACCTCCGTTTACTTGAGTTGGCTTCAAACAAAACCTACATCGCACAGCACCATTTACTTTCGGTATTTTACACTTTACTCCTCCGTTATCTTAATTCCTATACCGAGCCGTTACATTTCGTAATATTAAGTATACGCGTCCTAAATATATTATACACCGAATGCGAATGAAATTTTGTGTCTGCAGAGTGATCGACAAAATGTCGGATTCGTATGTAAAGAGAACGGTTCCTGGAAATGTTGACTACCACGAAGAAAACGACTTGGATTTGTCCCGATTTAAGTACGTCTTTTGGGTGACATCGTCATCTCATATGGGAGAAAGTCAACCATCCAAACAGCTCATTTTTAGTCCACCTCCACTTGGTAAGAATAATCTACACAAATCCATGTGTACGTATGTATTTACATCTGCGCCACATATCTAATTCTACTCTTACACATTGGTTACGTTTTCTTCCAAATTCATTCGCCTTGTCTTCATTTATGTATTATGCAGGACACCAATGATAAGCATAAACCGCTTAATAACCCTCGACTAGATTATTTTAAAATTATTAAGATGTTGGTGATTATGTAAAGTAGGTTTTCGGGCATGAGAGAAGAACAATTGTGTAGTTGACAAATCATGAACATATAAGTGTTATAAATCAAGGGAGCATAATGCCAAGATGGAAAAGGGGTCGTAGCTCCTGTACAATAAATCTGAATATTAAATGACAGACGTTTTCTCAAGGCACAAGTGCGAGTTGGTTGAGCTTATTGTAATTGACTTTTGACTTTGGGTGTGTATGAGAGAGGAAGAGATACGACGACTAAGGGAGTGAAATGAAGATATATGGTGAAATATGTCGAGACTTGGCAAAATTTCACATATATTTCTAGAAATATATTTACTACTTCCGAGTCCAAAGTCCATTTGTTCCCATATATTTAAGTAAGTGTTGATTTACTTTCTCTTGCTTTTTCCTGCAGTCGAAACACGGCTTGTGGGCCAGTCGAGAAGTATTGAAATCCGGGAAGGGAATCCCTTGATCCTTCCCTGTCGAATCCTCGACCTTCCAATGGGTCCCTCGTCTGAGCACTTTGTGAGCTGGTCGTTGGATGGGAAACGCGTAGGATTCGATGGGAATAATGTTTATATAAAACCTGGACAAACCGATTTAATGTTCATCAGCACGAGGAAGTCTGACCAAGGAAATTATACGTGCTCATACACACAGATGAAGAATGGAAGTAAAAACGGGAATAAAAAGTCCAAGACATCCAAAAAAGTAATCAGCGGGATGGACCTCCAACCTCAAAAGCAGCAGTTGACTTACACTTTGCGAGTCAAAGGTATCGATTTATCATTGCTTTCCTTGCCAAGATAGATGAGTTACGCACACCTTCAGCCAACCAATCCGAATCCCACTTTTTCCTTCCGCATGAAATGCAAAATTATTGTTTACTTTCCAACACCCCTCGGCCGACACTGAATATTTCAAAGTCGATTGAATCTTCATTTTACACCCTTGTTCTCAGTGTACCATTCGTGTTTCACCAGTCGTCTGCATTCTGTCAATATGCTGCATGCGTGCATACATACATACGTCACTTTCAAACAGATTCGTACTTAAAACATCGGCGTGGAGAGAAATGATTCCTGCCATCGTGCCCAGTTCTCCGTGAATGTGTAAATAAACAAGCCACACAAAACACTCCAAATATGTACTCAAACAAATCCTGTGTGCATACAGAGTTTCATGATACAGTCGTTGCAATTGTTTAGTGAGCAGGAATACATATTTAGTCTTGCTTTCCTTTTTGTGCATGTGACAGTGAGACCACAAAAGTATTGAAAGTTGGTACGTATAAGGCATCCCTTACAAGTCCATTGATCCATTTCTGTTAGTGATTGAGTAAATTGGCTTAAAATCCCGATGGTTACATCAGCGCTTAGTCCTTCCGAAAGAAAGGTCTTAGCAGCAGCAGCATCCTTTCTTTGGGATCCACGACACTTCCATCAACTTAATTGAAAGCATAAGTCCGCTGTACATAAGCCACACACTGGGCAAAGACGGCTGTAAGACTGTTGTTTCGGTTCATTAATCACTTCTTTTCAACCAAGAAAAAACTTTCTCGGATTGCTTCCTGTCTTTTGATTTCATTTTGGGTGACTGTAGTGTAAATATCATGGTAATTTGACCAATCTGAAAAAGCCGAACTCTTCCTGACACTGAGATGCTTAATCAAGGCAGAGAGTTATTTTATTTTTTATGAAACCTGAATAATCTTGCCATTAATTGCTTCAATATCAATATTTTGTGTTGCAGCGTCTCCTTGTGCTCCCACCCCATCGTACAAAATTCTTGACCGAGATATTTTGGTCATGTGGGCAGTGGACGGCGAAACGAGTTCTAGTTGTGATCCCCCAATGGGCTTCATCCTTTACTTTAGAGCTCTCGGTTCAATACTGGACTGGAAGAAAATCATTTTTCAACCCGGAGCCCGAAACTACACTCTCAAGGTTTACTTTTCGTTCCAGTTCATCTTTTATTATGATGCTTTTGTAAATTTTATCGCAAGTTGGGTGAAAGCATAAAACGAGAATGACTTATGGAACCGCGTCACTTTCTCCCTTAAAAGTTTTCCTTAGTGAAAGCATTGCGAGATTAAAAGGAAAATTATGGCCAGTCTATCGCACCGTGTTTCGGCAGGTGATCTGCTGATGCTTCCTCTCGCTCTCTCTCTCTCTTGATTTGTGATGCAGGCCATCTCACAAACTTTTATTATGTAGCAAAACTCTTCATTGGTAAAAGCATGAAGAGGCATAAAGTCCAGCAATAAAAAAACGATTTCTGGTTTTTGATCATATCAAATCGAGTAATACAGCAGCGATGGTGAAAGCGAAGAAGAACATTTAGCAGAAGCTGACTATTAGGTAGAAAAAGCAGTATGGTGTCTTCTGAAATGGTCACTTCATTCTTGAATGAGTTTTTTGGTCAAACGGACGATACGACGATACTGCAACGGTCACGACTTCGTGGCAGCCTTTCTTTCGAGACTGTGGAAAGACGGTGACTATAGGCGGCCGGGATGTGCTGGGAGAATTAGGATCTTTCGCTACTGACCTATACAAAGAACGGATCAGAGTTCCTCTGAAGATAGGAAACTGATGGCTTAACTTTTCCCACTGGTGAAAAGGAACGTGACTTGATTTGTAAAGTTTTCATCCCAATCCTCCACAAACAGATATAAACCGAGCTCGATCTGAGCGAAGCAAGATCTCCGAGTGAGTAATGTGGCGTTATCTTGTCTCCGTTGGGATTAACAAAAAGTTTTATATTTTTTTCAACAGCATTGTAATAATATGTAATATAATATGAATCGACTGCGCCAAGACATATGTTTCTCAAGATACTTGACCAAGGGATTCAACAGATCGAGGAATATGTCAAATTTTTGTATCAATCGTCAGAATATAGTGGCCAACTTGAACGAAAATTTATAATCTGCAAAAGTGATTACTTTTGACCCGAATACGTAAACATTTCCTGTTGCCATAATATTCATGGGCCAGGGAATTCATCGGATTCGTAAATACATGCGTCATCCCTATGTTTTTATAGACAACATGAAATAGCGAGGTGGACTGAGGTCCACGAAATGGTATGGTTGGAAGAGAGGCAACTTTTGAGGTTACGATCATGGAGTGTGACTTTCTTTAGATATTGCTTTTTATGAGAGTGTCAAAGTTTGTCGTTTGATCGTTCCAGGCAACATGCGGCTCAATTTTGAACATGTACATGGTAGGATTCAATGAGGTCGGAATGTCGGTCGACACGCATTTAATGAGCGTGGTCGTCTCCCATTCAATCGCCCCATTCCCGCACCCCCTCGAACTCCTGGTGGCAAATATCACTTCCGTGCTCCTCAATCTCTACCCCCTCAACGCCAACATCACCTTCTGTCCCGTGGAAAAGTTCTCCGTGGCTCTCAAAGAATGGCGGTCGTCGGAGTGGTTACCAGGTTAGTTTCCCATAAATAATTTCATCAAACGTGTCGCCCAGTATGTGGTGACACAGATTGGTTCAAAGCTAAATTCACGCTCAAAGTCATACCCATTAAGTACAAATACTTGAACGCACGATTAATAGCGCTACTATGCCGCTCGCAAATTTTTCTGCGTGGTTCAAAATTTATTGCAAAGTTTGCGAAATCAACCAAATTGTCAAAAATGGATACATAGAAATAAGTATGCAATTTAATTTGAGAGAAACTTTCTGGGTATATTTAAACTTTTCTGAGTTGATATTGTTATTACACAGGAAAAGATGTTAAGATTCAGTTCCGGAACGAATATACAATCGACGGTCTGAAACCCAAAACTCCTTATGAGATTACGATCACCACTTTTGGCTATTCCACATCTCGCTCCACTACACTGACTTTCACTACACTTACGCTTTTCGGTGGTGAGTTATTTTTTCCACTTCCAAAGAAGTCGAAAAAAACAGTTATTATATTTGTTACAAAATTAAAGTAAACAAGTTTTGGCATCATAAATTTGCACGCACAATATCTGAGCAGATAATCCATCCCTTGATGTTCTGAGTAAGCACAAAGTGACGAGCGAGTACTCCCCCCTGTACAACAACCTCACGTTGATACTTCCTACCGTACTGTCCATCGTCGCAATCCTTGCGTCCAGCATCGCAATCATAATTTACTGCAAAACCAGTAAGTTTTGTATCCTTAATGAAGCGTAATATCTACATAATAACTAATTATTTGTGTAATATGATTAAATAAGACGCCAGTTATAATTATTATTTATGAAGGAGGGCGACAACCCCCTACTTTGGAGACGAACTGTGTTATAAAACAACCCAATGATGTAAATTACGGATATTTACAACAACAAAGGAAAAATCTATCGGCAGAGGAACAATTTTATTCCGGGCTTCCGTGCCCTACGCCTGGTATGGTTATGCGTACATAATGCATGTTTAATTGCAACTATATAGCTTCTTGACCAATCTTCACCCTTAAATATGTGCAGACCGCACTTGTATTATAAACTACAATCATTTAAAAGTTGACGCAATAATTCTACCATCCATTATTATCTGTGAAAGTTTGGCTTTTTGGGTAACAATCTTTACTTACATAAATTTAGGATTGGATGATATTTCACCGTATGCAACCTTTCAAATATCCGACCCCAAGAAATTCCACGAGGAAACTTTTAGTCAAGAGATAGTTGTGGCAAAGTTTCACCCGGCGACAAAGTTCCCCAGGGGGTCCCATGACAAATGGATGGACAGAGATTCCAGACAAATGCAGGATTCCGAGGATTCAGAGAGTGAAAATGCACAAAGATACTCTGTAATTCCTGTTCAAAAATCTCGTCTTGGTAATCTTTACCAAATCAACCCTCCTTCTCAACCGCCACCTCTCCCATATCAATCCATGGGATATCAGAAGAACCATCACCAGATCCCCATCGATAACTCTGACTTAGAAAACGGCGACAGCTCCTCGTCTTCTTCAGCCGGAGATCCGTCAAGAACGACGATGGATAGGCGAACTGCCAAAAAAGATAGGTGAGCAACACACTCTGTGCACCCATATCTATTTACGAGTTCTCACTATTTTACAATATTCTATGTTTGAGACAGAAATGTCAACACGAACAAAAAGTCAGCCCGAGAAATGAGCAAACCTCACAAAATGAAAGAGTCAGGTTCCTCTACCAACCTCCGAAGAAATAAACGGAGATCAACCAGCTCGGATTATTCGATAGCTGTATGACCCTCGCCATAAATGACTAGGTTTATGAATTAGCTGTCTAAGCATAAAAATTCTGATATTACAGATATTCGATCGTCTCAAGTAAGTGAATGGAAATTTAATATTATTATGAAACATTAACTAGCTTTTCCATATGCTATTGTTTGTTAATGGGAATTTTCTTATGAACTGTGATATAAGGTACCAGCATATTTTAAATGTATGTACATGAATGCATTTATACTCTGAAATTTGTTATTGTGCTGTTATGAAATGGAACAAATTTGTGAATTATAACAATAAATTTTATTATCATTGACAAATAACTCAAAAATGCATACGTATACGGTTTGTACATCAGACTAGTTAATTAATGTATAAAATAATCAATAATTGTGACCCACTGATGAGGCGTGCCCTTCATTACTTTGCTTCCTATCCTTCTTGCCCCTCTTGTCCTTATTGCCAGCTTTCTTCCCTTCCCTATCTTTCCGGTTGGACTGCTTGTCGCCATAAAAACCTTTGGGGTTGTTTGTACCATTTTGCAGCTTCGAGGTATCTGCTCGTCTCCGTTGTCTGTCACATTTCCGGAAATTCTTTTCAATTTGGTCACGCAATTTCTCATACACCTGTTAAAAATTATGACTACGATACAAATCATGTTAATTATAACGAAGAAAAAATAACGTACTTGATTCAATTCTATTTTGAATAAGTTTTCCATATGATCAATTCTTCCGTACAATCTTCGTAACAGAGTTGACCCCAGCACTGAAGGAAACATGCAAAAATTTTCAAAAGACTCAAATTCGATTGTATAAAAAAATGTATAGATTTTTTTTACTCACTGTAGTTGGTTTTTGTTTCATGGAAAGTCATCTTTGTGGGCCAGGTAGAATTTGTCTCTTCTTCGCTGGCTACCCCAAATTGGCCAAACGAGTAGCTGGACATGGCTCCGTTTGCGGACACAATGATAAGACACAAGCTAAAAAATATTTTTTCCGTCTTTCCCATCTTTCTATTATATTTTAAAATATGATGTGCAATTGTTCACCACCCGAAAAGTGCGAAGAATGGATTTGATCTTTGCTGACGCAAGGCTTGCTAGTAACTGCGTATTGTTCTGTACATAATCTATCAATTTTAGGAGAGATAAATAGGCCACAAGGTTTCAAGATCACACAATTGTAACTTTCCTAAATAATTGACCCTGCATAAAAATAAGTTCCGACGACGTGCCGAAATTTAAAATTTATTGGAACTTCCTCATTACACATACATGATCCTTTATCCAAACCGCTAGCATCTAGATCGAAGCAAATCATAATTGAGCTAAAAAATCTACACGATGACCAAGTTTTAGAACAATTTGAATGTGATGGGGAACAACTCGGTCGGTCTATAAAGATTCATACATAGTTGACAAATCATTTTGTTTTGACTCGTTTGCATATCTACAAAGAGTAAGTTGACAAAACATGTCTTTTAACTACAGTAGAATCAGTTGTAAAACACGTTGCATGTAATTTATACTGTCATGTGATGTGTTTTGAATAAAAGTAAAAATATAAATTAGTTGGATGAAGCCCAAAAATAACTCGGCAAAACAAAGTTTAGTTATTTTTCTCCAGATTTTCCCATTTATTTCCAGAGGTATTTCGACGAGTTGTTAGATGAATACTACTTTATTCAGTATGTTAAATGCGTCAGATTAAAATTTGGCAGTCAAGCACACTGACCAGTAGCAAATGTTGAATATTATAAATAAAATTGGAAAAATGACCCGAGAACACACGTCAATCCTTTTTGACTTGGACGGGTAGCGTCTTGAAAGCCAGCCACACCCCTCGGGCGGAGGTGGCTCGTGTCCGTGCTCCTCAATCCAAAGCTTCTTTGTTCTTTTGTCAAATCGGTTGTAGTAGTTGACAAATGCAAACTCGATCAGAGCAGCGAAGACAAATATCAAACACACTCCGCTCCATACGTCGACTGAACCAAATTAATGTGACCCATGCAAAGATGACCCGGTGAATATGACCCATGGTTTAGACCCCGAACATGCATCATACCCTATTCATTCAATTATGTCCGTCAGTAAAATGTATATAAGTCGTCACTGAAAGTATAAAATAATGTGAAGATGCAGGAACGACAGGATTATAAAAGTAATGTAAGATTTAAATTTAAATTCCAAAGTATGGTACGATGAAATTTGTAACATTGAGAATGTCGCAAATTTCTTAATTGCATACAATTCTTGAAATATGCTCTGGATATCACAAACGTTTACTCAGGACTGAATATTATCAGAATATCTATGTGTCATTCTGTCATCTTGATGTTGGGTCTAAAACATGGGTCATTCTCGCGTGGATCATCTCTGCATGGGTCTTGTCGTGCTTGCCTGATTTTGTATAAGATACAGGTGGCTAAAGACAAGAAAGACCAAATTGTATGGATAATAATAAAAATAAGTATTTAATTCACACGTGATACGTACCAATGATCTGTTAATTGATGCTGATTGTGTAGCCATAGTCAGCACTAGACAATTATTAAATTACTTGGACCAATTGCTATAATTGGGAAGCATCATAATATTGCTTACGAGTTGTAATGCCAAGGGCTGTTCTTGCAGGAACGGCTAAAAATTAATTTTATATCGCTTTCAACATCTAAAAACCTTGCACAAAAAGTAAATTACGAGCACTTGCCATTTTCATCTACATGAAATACATAGAAATTATATTAATTTGCACATATATTTTGGTTTTTAATTTAATAAATATATTCTCAGGTATATTCTTACTCACCAATATAGAAACTGACTTGGGAAACAATTACCAGCATAATGCATGGTATGTAAAGTTGGGTCATGTAATATGAAAAATTTCGTCGTAAAACAAAATCTGCTTTCAAGGTGCTGTACGTTCCCGTATTTGTTGTTCGGTCATCCTTATAGGTTTTAACAGCTTGTAGATTAAACCTCGGTAGTGTCAAGTTTGGTACTTGTACTGGCTCCTCCACTTTCCAATGAAATACTATATCTTCCGTTGTCAGACCATAACTAGCCTTTTTTCATGAGTTGAAAAAAATAAGCAATCAAACATTTAATTATGAAGTAGTATTTATATAAGGTTTCGTTAATACTGTACCATTGCAATACGACACGTTTGCTCATCCATTGGGAAGAATTGTAGGTCCATTGGACAGGCAAGAACAAGGGAGATGCGAACAGAAAAGAGAACATTCCCGTCGGGATATATTCTGACGTATTCGTTGGGCTTGATAATCCCGTGGAGCCTCCCCTCTTTCTCATTAATGAAAAAAATGTCAGGCATCCACACCCTTTTGGTGTCCACGATGGTCAGATAAGGCGGAAAATCTGAGGTGCTCGCTTGTGAACTTCTAAAGCTCTCAAATTTGAGCCTATCGTCATACCACTCTTCTCGAAGCTTTATTGAGATTTAGAATTGTAGGATACAGAAAAATTAGTGACTACATAAATCCAAACATAATAATTAATAAAAGAATTACCAGTAATTGCACACTGTATTCCATTGCGAAATCATCTATTTTGCTCACGGAGCGAATTAGCAGATTTACATAAACTTGGGTTTCTCCAGTGGTGCTATTTAACAGTGGACTTGGGCGAATTCGGTTGTCATACGTAGTATTGCTCAACACGATATCCAAAATTTGCTTCTCTCTTTGTCGCATAAGGAATCGACGACGTTGAGCCTGAGCTGGAGCTGGCATCAAAAGTAAAACTGTGATGAAAATGATTCCAATCAGCACTGCACATTTGCAAGATGATGAGGAGGACGGTCTTCGGGGTAGTAACGATTCCGCAAACAACTTTGACGTGATTGACATTTTTATGATTTCGAATAGAACTGCAATCCCAAATTAGCAATCTGTTCTTCTAATGAGGCGGAATGAGACGCGGATATTTCTCAACTAGAGTATTGACTTTCAGAGTCATTTTTCCACCATGGCAGATAAGTGACTGCAGGAGTAGATTTACAACACAAAACACCGAATTTTGTTCTGACACAACCCTTCGAACGCAGCTAGCAGTTAGTCAGACCGAGTATAATATATGAGACGGGTATTACATCCACCTCATCGAAATCTTATTTCCACCGAGTAGCTCAACCAGCAAGATGAGACTCATCAGAGTTGCAAGACCTTTCACCCAACATAAGAATAGAAATTATATAAAAGACTTGTGTTTTTTTATGCCGTCTCGTCGTTTACAATTTATTTTCTTCCTTCAACTGAATAACAAACCGCAACGGGTTACGCATAAAGCTTTGGTTGGTCTTAAGGAAATAAAGATTTAATGCAAACCCAAACCAAATGAGTGCTTTCTTGATAAGCATCTCATCTTGGCAAAATGTCATCTCAAACATTTTACACCACAGGATTCATTCAACGGTTATTTCCGGACGGCCTGTGCCAGTCGTAAATTAACGATGAATAATAAAGAAAGCAAGGCTCCTATTAAAAAAAAGAAAAATCCAATCATCCGTGAGGTGGTGGGCTGTACTGATGAAACCAACACCAAGATTATAACTCAACTGCTACAAATCTACTTAATTAATGTCGAGTTACATCACACAGGACGGGAATTCTTGTTGGAGTGGATTAGTTTTTGGCTCCGTGGAATACATGCATTTTTTATCCTGCTTATCCTCAGTAGTACTAACTCCTACAAATCACAAATTTCTCCTTCACATAAAGTTTAGTTTCTTTACAGAATTATGTGTTGAAATTGTCTCATGGGCCATTTTTCAGCAATCTCCTAGAAATAGCATGCATAGTAGTGGGCGAGGTTTAGAAAAAAACGAGTTGACGTGATGAAGTCAAGTGATCTGACTTAAAAAAAATATTTCAACAGATTCCAATGAACCAATCCCTCCATCCGGGAACAAATTTCGAATGGTTTATTTATTTGTTCATTTCAAATTTGATTAGAAAATACAAGACGCGTTCATACATAGCAGTTACTTAATTGCACTCTTTCTTTAGATTATTTTTGGAAAAACAAAAATCTAAAGTTCTAGGAGGCAGAGATGGGATAAGGTAATTATGGATGGAAATGGGAGCAGATCAAGAACCTGCGTGAAAGAAACACTTTTTTAAACACGAGAACGTGTTGCACTGTATTGGCAGCAACTCCGTTTGTGCATAAGTGTGCATACGTAAGTATGTGAGATTGTGGGTCTGTTTCCGTCGTCTTTTCGGCTTATTAGCGGACGTTAGTTTGAGCAGGGTAGAGAAAACTGTCTTTCATGGATGATGAATATATTTTAACTGTGTCACGGAAAAAGAATGTCTCAGTTAATAAAATTAACATTGTTTACAGTCTACTTCACTTGTTTCCAATGCATGGAAGTCGTATCCTTTGTATTTTACAAACAATGTGCTCAATCAGTGCGTGAAAATTACAACGCAGTTCGGAAATGTCAGAAATTGATCTTTAGTGTCAAATGTGCATCTGATAAAAGGAATGTGCTATATATCATGGGGGTATAGAGCATAATGACTACAGTATCTATAAGTGGCACTTAACTACAATCTAGAGTTTCGGTGAAATAGTAAAGAATTTGTACATCATTGGTGATGGCACATTAAGAAAATACATTGTAGCTACTTTATTAGCAGCTACAAGCTTTAATTTCAAATAAACAACGGTTACAACAAACAACATACACAATTAATGAATCCAGCCACTTCCTCATTATTAGTCAAACTCGAATGGTGGGTTACATCGACCATCCAACGCCATAACCGAGCCCAAGTCACAAGGGGTCGTGGGTACTCCGATAGCTCGAGCTGAGGCTGGAATACTGTGAGAACTTATGCAGGTAGGGAGTCGTCTAAACATTTTGAATCCCACGACTTGGTCTTGGTCACATCCAGACCAGGATTCGCCCACCTCGACACATCTTGATTGAAAATATACAAAATCTTTCTTTGAGCCTCGAATATGAGATGTACATGGGTTTCTTATGCAAATTGGAATTCCGTTCCGAGTAATGTCCAACCATTGTGTCTTTCCACAAAAGCCCTAAATATAAGCAGTAATAAAGCATGTTAAATTTGGAACGAATTGTGTCGGATTTTGAATATGAATCAAATTTGAATACTTGTTGGAAGATAAAGTAACATTGATTTTGCTTCTTATTGTAAATGAGCAATCGATCGTCAGTTGTTTGACAACCGCATTCTCCATAAGTCTCATCCTCCGCAAAATAGGCCATGTTGGTTCCACATGGTCCCTTGGAGGAAACGGGATAGCACCGTTTGGTTCGGTTGTAGTATCGAAAGTGAAGTTGTGATGATTGATTTTGACTCATCGGGCACCTAATTAAATAGAAGATTGTTGTAAACTACAGAAATATGAGAAATGAATTGGGGTTTCAACTCACAAAATCATCAACAAGTCTGGGAGCTGGGTTGTTGTTGTCGTCGTCGTTGTTGAAATTGTTGGGGTCACTTTCATCTTTCCAGTAATATTTAAAATAATTTGACGAACAGGAGATGTACTTTTATGTGAATTATTCGGTAAATTAAAATTAGTCGTACCGTTTCCAGTAAAAACTGAAAATAGAGATACGAAAAACGAAAAAAACGGAAGTTCCATTGTTAGAAAATAAAATTTACTTAAATGAATCGAAATATTTATTTTTATGTGCACGTATTTGTATATGATCACTAAACTAATTATTTAAATGAATGAAACCGTCAGGAAAATTTTATTAGAAAATTTATGCGACCATGTGAGAATGCCATAGTAAGTGAGCCTCATAATCTTTCTTATCCCACAGATTCTTCTAAGAATTCTTAATCCCGTGAACTGGCAGTGACCTTAATTTAGCATGAATTTGTATATGTGCATATACCACTCCTGCAAAAATTCAGTAAATACGTCTTGATCATTCGCACTTGGACATATTCTACATCAGTAATTTACATATTTACGAAAGCAAACTTTATAATACAGTCTTATAAAGTATATATTGGTACGTATGTGCATATGTACATATGCACGTGCATAAAAAGTATTGAGTTAATATACATATGAAACGTAGATGACGCCTTATATACACGTGCAAATGCGTAATACCCAATGTTCAGATAACTTTGAGTATTATGAATAACAAACTTGGCTATAACAATTCGCGGAATTTTCTTTAATGAATCATTATATTTGTTCATTTGAAGAAATAAAGAATCTCAACAAAATATGCATAACTGCTAAATATTTTGATTCAGAATAGAGATGAAAGTTTTAAAAATTTAATTCAAAGCTAATCTTCCTTGCCGAAATCCCACTCCTCAATATGACATTTTCCATGAACGGCTAGAACTGAGCCCGGCCGGCAAGGTAAAATTCCAACGCCAGTGACAATTCCTTGAGTCTTGATGCAATCAGGGGTTCGTTTCTTCGGAATAAAATCAATCACAGAATTGTCCTTGCAAATTTCCTCATTTGGTTTTCCTATCTGGGCGCACACGCCACGGAGTTTATAAAATTCTGTGCCATTAGCAGCACAAGGATTTTCTACACAGCCAGGTTTCCCATCTTCTGTCAAGTCCATGTAATTCCCCTCTGAGCATCCACCCTAGAAATCAATCAAAATCTATTTTCTGAAGTTCATCAGGTATTTTAATGAATTACGATACCTGTGAGAATATTTTGTAACAGGCGAGGCTTTCCTCGTGATAAATCCACATTCTTGCATCTAGTCGGCAGTCGCATTGACCATAGATGCTTCCGTGTTCCTTGATGAAGAGCTTCATGCCATTACCACAAGGTCCTTGAAATCCGTATCGGAAACAACCTCCCCTCGGCTCAAAATATCTGTATCGAACAATCTCAAAATCCGTGGCATTCACAAGTTCTGGACACATGGCTTTCCTAAATTAATTTTAGTCCATATGCGATTAATTAACGGAGAATTATGCAATAGCTTAAGCTGTAGTTTACTGGTTAACATGCTCACATTTTATCAATTGCTTCTTTGTCCAAGTGATTTACTATTCGAGTTTTATTTTTGGCTGGGGCTTGGGTAGGAATTATTGTTACTTGTTCAATTTCAATATCCGAATTTGTAGATGCAGTCGTCGTCAAATCAGTTGACGATTCCTGGTTCTCTTCTTGATCCTTGATTTTGGATAAAATCTGATCAACGGGTGATAAATCTGGAAATCCGTTTGTTTGTACTCCAGAGTTTTGACCATCCTGGTCGTGTTCAGCGTGACCACGAGTTATATTGGTTATATGACCGATGACTCGAGACGCAGCTTCTCCTCCTTGTTCTACTTTTTCAAGAATAGGGTTAAAAAATGTCTGTTGCAAAAATTGTTGCACTTGGTCTGGAACTTGAGGCCTTGCTTCGATGATGGACATCAACGCCAACAAGAGGATTACAATTCTGATTTTCATTGTAACAGATTTTTAAAGTATTTCAGGTTGAAAATAAAATTTGTAATTATATAATGTACGAAGGATGCAAGACAAAGGTCTGTTTTAATCTGCGATTTGGCAAACAAAGCATGGTCATACATATCATATGCGTATCATGGTCAACTGCAAATTTTAGGATGGGGCTGGATACACAAAAAATACAAAGAAAATGGTACGTTAAAAATTTTGTGATCCATACACCATTCCTTAACTGATGTATATCATAAAGATTAAATGACAGACAGATCACAAATATCCATGAAGCAGCAATTAAAAGCGCATCTTCCTCCATTTCTTGATTTTAGGCACATACATACATAATAAATAATACGACATGGACTGGACTTGACGGGTGGTCACGGAAGGCTGTTTTGCAAGTTTAATTCTTTCTGGAGATCAAAACCAGTTTTGAGCAACCAAAACGACTTTCTAGTACTGGAGTCTATTATCTAAATAATATGCAATTTTTGTTGAACTGGCATTACATAAATTGACTGAAAATAAAGTTTTGTGATAAATTTACCTATATTCACTTGTTCTCTGGAATTTTTCTTGTACAGCGTAACAAACATATTTGCCATACAAATATGCTTATAATATATGCAAATATGCATATTTCAGTCAGACGATGTACCCATGCATATAAATAGTTATAGATAATGCCATAGAATATTGTGCAGTACTTACTTAGCAAACTTGGATAAATTATAACGCAACATGTTTGTTTAATAATGATTATTGCGAAAAATATTATTTTTGAATAAACTTATATTTTGTATGCATATCTAAAATTGGTCATACACAGAAATTCATAGAGATTTCCGTACTAACACACAAGCAGTGTGTAACAGGAGTAATGGTTGGGAACTCTTCACAAGGTGCATAGAGAAACCAATATCGATTATGAAATTAGCACAACAAAAAACCCCATATGAATGACCATCATCATGTCGGCCATACTAAACTTACCACGGTTTTAAACCTTAATTTTGGCGAAATTCATAAAATCGTGTCCTAACCTAACTGAAGGACAATTATAAACAAAAAACAAAGAGTATTTCGACATGACGGATCTTGAAGGAAAACAAATTCGTGTGGGCATAGTAGGGACATCATGCATAGGGAAAGTAAGTAAATCACAACTTGCATATTTGAATAAATATGTATAACGTCAAAGCATAATTGATAATTCTTCTAATTTGGATATTGAATATAATTTGACTAGACTTGTATGATAAAGCGTTTTGTGGAAAATTCATTTCATGGAAGCCAGTACAATTCGACGCAGGGGGTTGACTTTTTTGCTCGAAGGATGAGTCTCAAAACTGTCGGCACTGTGACTTTCATCATTGTGGACATTGGATCCAACGCCTTGAACTCAAAAATGTTGCCCATCTACATCAATGGAATTGAGGTTTGATATTGGCACATTCTTAACTTTATAGTTTTCTGGATAACAATATATATGGATGATATACGTATGCAAGACCCAATTTGCTAATCATTGCAGCTTTTTCTTCTCGCATACGACATGACCAACTCTAATTCATTGAATGAATTGAGAAAGTGGATCACCGTCATTGCAGCCTTTTCAGGAACCAGGAATTATGAACCTTCCGTTGCCCTGGTGGGGTTGAAAGGGGACTTGGAGCACTTGAGGGCAGTGAGACTAGATGCTCACACCAGATTTGCACAAGAACATAATATTCCTCTGTCGTTTCTGTCGTCTGCGAAATCTGGCGAATCTGTTAGAACTTTACTATATGCGTTCATACATTTTTTTTGCTTTCTATGTGACTAAAAATTTGGTTCTACATAGGTTTTGACTTGTTTCCAAAAATGTGGAATTTACCATTTGAATCCTGATGCGAAACAACGTGTTCGTGAACATGCAATTCTTCAAGCGAGTCTGCCTCCTTCGAAACGAGAATCTTTGGTGGGAGGGGTGCCGCATAACCACCCAGTCCTCCTTCCCCCTCCTCCTTCAAAATCCGTCGCAGGGGGAACTTCAGTCCCAGATCCAAATTCCACCGTTTGTTCCTTACAATAAACTAGCTTATTTATTCGCTACAAATAAAATCACTTAAAAAAATAATTGGATGAATGAATTTAATTTTATCGTTGCCTTCAAGTTTAGCATTTTAATAGTAAAATTCAAGTCGGTGACGTCGATTTTGCATGAGTTTTGCTTTTTGCATAGGACAAGTTTGGTGTTTGAGATTCTCAACTTGAGATTCTCAAGTTGAGAATCTCAATTTGGGGGAAAACGAAGAATTGTGCGGTTTACAATTCTTTCATGTGTTTTACAAACACGTTGTTCAATTGATGTAAATAAAATTCATTCATTTTTTTGTGTTGAATACTATAATAGAATGCTACAAGATTTTATAAAATTTAAAATAAGGAACAGAAAATGACCTCCTTAGTTCGCGAGCTCAAGGATTATAGGTAAGTGAAATGTTCATTATTATTATATTCGCCGTTTATTTTTACCAAATGATTATCAATAATTATCATAAACTCAGTTAAATGATTATGAAATTAATTTGTTTAACGTTGGGTTTGTCCAGGGTTAGCTCCGTGCTAAATGGAGATAAGAAGATGTATGGAAAAACATTTTTATTCGATGGGAGTGATGAGACATGTTGGAATTCTGATAAGGTATTCAAATTTAAATTTGTTTGTTGTAAAGAAGTTCAGATGTAATGTAATTTTATGGATTGGTTATAATTAAATATTTGCAGGGATCCTCTCAAAAAATAGAATTCAGCTTCAGTGAGCCTAAAAATGTGACCCAAATAAACATTCAATTTCAAGGTGGCTTTGCAGCGAAGCAAGTTGAATTGCAAAGTGTGGAAAATTGCGATAGTAGTAGTAATAATGTAGAAAAACACGAATTTCATCCACGGGACACGAACCAATTTCAGGAATTCAAACTGGAGAAACCAATGACTTCTTCCAGTTTTAAGCTAACCTTAAACTCGAGTTTCGATTTTTATGGAAGGGTAATAATTTACCATTTCGACGTAATAGGATCATAGGAAAAAACCACTTATTGTATTTTGTACTTTGTAAGTAAAAATGAAACATAATAATATCATACAACAAAGGAACATGCTCAGCATTGACGAATCATAATAATTTTAATGGATAAAATTATCCAACCTTGTAGATTAAAAACATTAGCACATGATAAAATATAAAATAGAGGAACACAATAATATTGAACTGATGAAGTCTAGTTTGAAATCATAAACTGATTTTTAGGAGCTCTGATCATTATAGATAGGACTATTATTCATTATAATATTATACATACGCTTTCTGCTATCACAGTTCACTAGACAATATAATATATCACATTATTTATTGATCGTTCTAGTCCTCACGGTTAGGATTCACTCCTTGTCCTCATCATCATCTTCGTCGTCGTCGTCGTCGTCGTCATCCTGGGGAGCCCTGTTTCCATCCTCCTCAACTTCATTTCCATTTCCTTGATCGTCATCGTCATCACTTTCGGTTTCATCTTCTTCATGGATAGCGTCGGGCACAGGAGGTCGTAGAAGCAAATAGTCTTCTGGTTCCAATTCTAACACTGGCCGTGCTGGGGGGTTCAAAACCCGAGTCAACATGTTTTGAAACTGCTGAACAGAGGGTCGTGTGTTGGGATTCTTGCTCAGAACGATGGGCAAAGCATTGTTCTGTAGTCAAAGTACAAAAAAATCATGGGTAAAAAAGAACAAAACGGTAATATAGTGTTATTATAGTATTTGACATACCAAGAATGCAAATTCAGTTGAATAATCGCTGACTTCGAGTCTCTGAATCAATTCTTGAGCAGTAGTAATGTTATCAGCGATTTCAAGTATTGTGACACCAAGTGAGAAGACGTCACTCTGTTTAAAAAATTATCACGACCGTAATCATTTGTTTACTTAATTAAATTAAATTAAGCTAACCTTGTAGGTGAAAACACATTCGGGGGCAGCATATGGTGGCGTTCCTGTTTGGTAAGGGAATGAGTCACCTTTAATGGCCAACCTATGCACAATAATTTACACAACATGATTTTAATATATTAGCAATTCCGTATTTAATTCGTAACATGATTTAAATAACCATTAGTTAAAGAATATTATATACCCAAAGTCTCCAATTTTTAAAACCGTTCTTTCTTCAGTTTGCCACAAAATATTTCTAGTATTGATATCGAAATGCAAGATTTGATTTGAATGCAAGTAGCGAACTGCACCAAGTAGCTGCTTTAATATAAGAATCATTAACTTCAAAGTAGGCTTTTCTCTGACTTCAGTAATCCATTCACTAAAGCTCTGATAGCAAAATTCCATCAAGACGTAAAACTTTAGTGGCTCGGCCTCACTTTCGTTTGGGTGCCTAGGGTCGTATTTTAACTCCAACCAAGAATCTGAGCATTGAATGACGTTTTCATGGTTCAAACTTTTCAAAATTCTCGATTCATTCAAAGTCATCCTCATTTCTTCGAAACAATTTATACTGAGGGAGATTCTTTTCGCTGCATATTTTATATTCGATTGGCGACTTGTCACTTCGTACACATCCCCAAAGTTCCCTCCACCAAGTCGATCCCCAATTTTGAATTCTTCCGTAATTCTGGATCTGGTTCGCAACTCGTCCAATATCTCAGGAACTGAACTAAAATCAAGGACAATGATAACCTATCAGTATAGTACAACTTTAATCTATTAAGTAATTAACATTAGGAGATTTCATAGCAATCTCATTCAATGTAACCTACTTGTACTTGGGGGGCAGCATCACAGACGAATTTGCCAATTGTTGGAACAATGACTTCCTCTCGGCAACGCTTAGTTGCTGAAATGGCAAATTATACCCGGTCGTACGTAGCAAATACTCGATCTCTAAAATCATAGCGTTAAAAACGGAAAGGTACGGAAAAACAATAAAATTTTCTATACGCTATATAGTACTATTTATTTAAAAATGATGGGGAAAACTTACGCTTCCTAGACTTCGCCGAATGTGACGCATTTCTTCTCCGCTCTCTGCTTGTGAGTCCTGCAAATGGGTCCTCTCGACCTGGAAGGAAGGGACGCGGATTAGGAATAGAAGGGTCAAGGATGATTGGTTGCATTGGTGCTAGGAGGACGTTGTTGTCCACGACGTCATCCTCTTCATTATCGTTGTTTACAACTGGCTTTGGATTATTTCTCGCTGCCATCCACAAAACCTTCTTGTCCAATTCTTGAAGTTCATGCTCCAAGATGAGCCACAAGAGAAGATTAAGCTCAGAATCCATAATATGTCCAGGAATGCCGACGAAACGGAGAAATTCAGAAACATTTTCCGACGTAGCTGCAATTATACAAAAGAGACAATTTAGTGTCTAAATTAGACTGACAGTGTCCATATATGTAGCCGTAGGGTTTTTGAGAGATGCATATATGTAATAGTAAAATGCTGTGTGGACTTACACACGTCAAAATCTTGAATGGTGTTAAGATTTTGGATGTCTTCGGGTGATATAGCTGCTCCTTCTACAACATTGTCGTTCGCGACGTTATCATCGTTGTCGTTCTTAGGTAGCGTCGGAACGTCGTTATCATTCTTGGGTGGCGTCGGGTCGTCGTTATCAGTCTTGGGTGGCGTCGGGTCGTCGTTATCAGTCTTGGGTGGCGTCGGGTCGTCGTTGTCATTCTTGGGTGGCGTCGGGTCGTCGTTGTCATTCTTGGGTGGCGTCGGGTCGTCGTTGTCATTCTTGGGTGGCGTCGGGTCGTCGTTGTCATTCTTGGGTGGCGTCGGGTCGTCGTTGTCATTCTTTGGTGGCGTCGTGTCGTCGTTGTCATTCTTGGGTGGCGTCGGCGTCGGGTCGTCCCTTGGCGGTGAGCTCATTTTGCGAGAAATATTATGATTTTATCCCGTGTACAACTTGGTCGTCAGTAAGTCTCAAGTACTAGCAAAGCATTCCTTCTCTGTCCGAGGATGAATCAATACTGTGAACTGTAAAAGAAAGGACGCGGATAATATATCAAAGACTTCGTCTAGATTAATAAGCAACAAAGAATATTTACTTTACAACTTGCAACTTTCTAGTTACAAGAATTAAAAGAATTGTTTGCAAAAATTGCAAATTAATTCAAATTGTACAGAAATGCATAAATGAGAATTTCAAGAAGATATAGCAGCTTGCAAACCAATGACATCAAAAGCCTATGCAAATGACTTATTTACTAGAGGATAGGAAAGCATGATTTATTTTCTACTAGAAAATTTCTAGCTGTAAGTAATCTACGCTTTGCAGATTCCGTATATGCATGAAACCGAATATATGAATCACTCACCCACGTTATCTGTCTTGATTATCTTGTATAGCGAGGCAGGACAAGTAAGATAGGCAGATGATCTTGAAATATGAATATGTTCGGGATGGTGATGGCAGAAAGAAATGTCAAAAGGCCCAAAGGACCTTGGTTAGGCCACCACAACCAACCTCCCAACCAACCACCACGATGAGGAAGACAACACAAACTACGACGATAATATTTTTGCCAAAAGGCAAAATTATGTACATTCCCTCGCAAATACATTGCAAACCGGGCAATGGGATTGCTAAACCATGCAACTCGTGTTGAGTTGTCTTGGGTAGAGAAATGCTGCGATTTTGTGTAACTTTGTAAGCTTGCGAAATATTTAATTCCGGGACATGCAGATTTATTTTATGCAAAATGATAATACAACGATATGATATCAATAATATGAAGTTACTGCACGATGCTTCCTGTTAACTAAAGAATTGATGATGTAACATGAAAATAAAGTTACAAGGAATGTTTGCCAAATGGATGTTTCTTTTCATACGAATATCATTTACTCATATTATTTTGTCCTTTCTCTCTTTTGTAATATCAAACGTAAATTAACAAAACAATAGATATGAAATATTTAAAGACCGTAGTTGAAACAATTAAATACTCTCTTGTACACATTAGTCATTGTATAACAATTTAATTAAGGTATGGTAAACCATTTACAGGCAGCCAAACTTATTTATACAGCATACATGAGGCTTATAACAATAAAATTATTACGATTATGTAAAATTAAGGTTTATCAGGATGAGGCTTCATCTGATGGTATAAGCGTAGCCATTGCTTCTGGGGCCAGGGGCACCCCTGCTTGAGTTTGAGTTATGAATAGCGCTGGCAGCATTCCGTGGTCTAAACACTTCTTTCAGCTTGGTCATAACCTGAGTGACTGCCACTGCTTGAATCAGTGGTATTTGCCATGGATGCTGAATCATGAATCCAAAAGAGTTGAGAGTACGGATTTGTGCTCTAAAAATAAAGGTGAAAAAATACCAACGTAATTTACATTGGAATCATTTACGTCGGAATTAAAGTAGTCAATAATTGCACTTACTGATTTGGCATAAAGGTTGCTACACCACAGGTTTTAAGCACACTGACTGCCGTAGGATATATTGAGATAGACGGGAAAAACTGGTTCATAAACTGTTGCAGGACCACCAAATACGTGTCATTTTTAAATGGATGCAAGTTGATACAATGCATCAGTTCCTTATCAATGATAATCTACATAATGATGAGAAATAATAGTAATAATTGCTTCTATTTGCCTTACCCATATTATTTACTATACAAAATATGCTTAACCTTACCAATCTAATTGAGTATGCACCATCCCGATTTAAAGGATCATTGAATTCTGGGACGAGTTGAAATTGCGACAACGCTTGAGGGGGACTTAGAACTTTTATTTTTTTAAGAGCATCCGACTTTGCTTGCAATTCCATTGGTATGCTTGGAGCACCATTTGTCTTTGCAACTCGCACAGCCACACTACTATTGTTTGTTGCACTTCCGTTTCTCACTGGTATCACAGGTGCTTGATCAGAGGTTGACGATTTCGCCGTAATACTGACAAATGTAGAGGCCGTCGTCGTACCGCTACTGGGAACCATTCCACTGGGACAGTTACTTCTAGGAGCTGCTGGATTAACGTAGGGAACCGAGTTTGCCCACTTATCACAGGAGGGAATCGCATTGTTGGGAAATGCAACAATTGTACCATTATTATTTTTTGACGATAGTAAAGACTTTGATTTAGGATCCGGCCAACACTCTTCTGTAACAGAAAAATAAAATATCCTGAGCAAAGTTGTCCTTTATCCTTTCATTACTTGTAGCAAGGACCATTTCAAATGTAGAAAGACTCATTTTACATATAACTATTTTACGAATCAATTCAGTTCTTGTAAACTAAATAATAAAAACCAATTAATTAATAATAATTCATTCTTACCAGTAAAAACAGTTCTCCTAGGAAAGTACGAGCGAAGGTCAGACACTTTTACTATTTGTAAAGTATTTCCAGCGATTAAGTCTTTTCTCACACCCTGCACTTTACAGCACACTTTAAGATAGGCAAGTTCCCATCCTTCCAACGGCTGCAACAAATGATGAAATTTTTAAATACAACGCATACATGAATCACAAAATAAGATATGCAATTATTATTCTTACCACAGCTTTTTCCTTTAAAATATCAGTTTGACCTTCAAAATAAAAAAGTGGAACCCCTTTCTCATCGCCCGGTAAAACAGTATATGGTATCAAATTGTCCGAGTTAACTTTTATAAATGCACATTTCGAGTAGTCCATGTTTTCATTTCGACCTCCAGTACTGAGCACGGCGTAAGCAAAATATAAAAAATTGTAAAATTTCTCAATGTCTTCCACCCGGATGAGTTGCTCTTTAGTGCTAAAAGTTTCAGAGCCGTAAAATCCATCACAATGCCATGCATTGATATGACCTAGTAGTCGCGCTTCCACGTTACTCGCCTGTTTATGAGTTAAATGATATTAATTCATTAGATTAGAACACCGCAAACTATTATTATGATTAATAATAATCTTATGTAAAGTAAAGACTTACTGAGTAACTCTTGAGATTAACACACTCATAAAGCTCTACCGGCAGTAGTCTAAGTAGATCTCCAAGGGCTGAAATTTCCGCCATTTTCACCGAGCAAAATTTGTCATTGCACCTGAAGATACATGGTATGTACTTGTCCCCTGCAACCGTGTACCACGTAAACCTTCCTATGGCACTATCTTTGTCAAACCTACAGAATGAAAGAAAATAGCGTATTATTATTTAATCATACTGAGCATATTAACTATAATGATTACTGATTAGTGACAATCAAAATTAACAAAATCCTGAGGGTAATTTGATGTTGATGTCATTGGTTACCCGTTGTGAGGTGGGAGGCCGTCAGCTCCGGTGGCAGCGGCGGTGGGGTTGCCGAGGTTCAGGAAGTTGTTGAGGGTGGGCTGACCTGCTCCGGCTGTTCCGATCTGGGGGGTGGGTCGACTGACAAGGCGGCGGGCCCATTCCTCCAACTCTCGCTCCTCAGTGGTCGTCCCCACGGCAGGGACCGACGGCCGCTTTTCAGTTTTCACACGATTGCTCATTGTCCCACCAGCAGTCATCAGCAATAATGTGATGACGATTTATATCAATTATTTTAATGGTGTTCATTTAATTAAACAAGACATGCACTAATCACACCTTCCCTTGACTTTGAACTTTAGACTTTCACTTTCACTATGCCCAATATATGACTTACATACATGATGATAATGTCACATTATAATTCCAGTCTCTTGACCACTTTTCCGTCGTGTGTTGGTTTGGTATTAAGGTGAAAAAGTACTAAAAATAAAGCAAGTTTGATTAACTTATTGAGACTTGTTATTTTTCGTTTTTGCAGAGAGGACAAGAGAAGACGAGCAAGCAGAACGGAACAGGGTAATAAAAACTTTTATATGAATTTGTCCTGCAAGCCGATTGTTCCAAAGGTAAGTAATTATAGAGGCCTTTCTAACCCCTTCTTGCGCAAACTCATTGGTGTTGAGGGCGCCACCGGCGCGTTTTTATGGCAGTATAAGCCCAATGATAAGTGCGAAACTTATTATACTAGTTTGCAGCTGAGCGAGTTTGTGTGTGTGAGTGGGGCACTGGTTTTGTGCTTCTACACACGGATGGGAACGAGCAGAGGCAAATCCCGCCCTCAGATCGTACACATTTACGGATCGTGTGGGCATCTTGCCCATGCTATCGCTAATTCGGTTTACGGCCGCCAGGAGGACGAGTCCCTCCCACAACGAGCATGCATGCCGAATACTCATGACGTGCGTGCGCAGCAAAATTATTGATGGAGCCCGTGGCGCGGTGGTACTCTGCAGCAACAGACTTTTGACGAAGGAGTTCTAGATGACGCCACAGGTTTATGGGATATCGTCCTTTACGCTGACAAGTAGCGCCATGACCGCGTCTTATATTGTAAACTTAATCATGCCTAGTGTACCGCTCATGTTGACTTTACCTAAGTCAAGTATTATCTAAAATGCTTTACCCGAATATATTTTATTTATTACAATTTTTGGTTTGTCATCAATAAACTTGAAGATTCCTGGTTTCTAACTTGCGTATTCGACAGGTTGCTCGTTTAGCCTAATAAAATAGAATGTCCGTAACGCTGGCCAGGTTGTGCAGGATAGGGAAAAACCTTGTCCTGTCCATATTAGCCAGAGTTACGGACAGTCGCTAATGCCCTTAGAACCAAGTTCTATAAATCTTCAAAACAAAACATGTTTGAATTTTCAGACATTAAAACTCATTAAATTTTCGATAAATTGAAACTATTTCGAAACACGTCTAAGCAAACATATATTTTAGATTTTTGAAATCATGCCAACTCGTAGGGGGCCTAAATTACGTCACGCAAAAATCGCGATTTTCTAGACCCGCCCTTTAACATGTGTTACATAGCCACGATATCATTGGAGTCTTGGACCGCCCCCTCTTGTGTGACATAATTTATGGACCTTCCCTAGTCATTTATTATTATATCGAAAATTATAATTCCACCCCGCGGTGCAATTCAGTCACGCCTTGAGAATTATGCAAAAATATAGGACTTTACTTTCGATCCTGAATAAAATAAAATGGTCGGGCCGAATCTGAGTGATTTCAGCGGCAACGCGTTCTAATGAAGTGCCTCATCTATGCTTATCATTTTTTTCTATTGTTACATTCATGAAATAATTCTTCTTTTTAAATTAGTCTGAATTTCTCGAAGCATCATTGACGGCCCGCCAATATCATCGTTAGATAGTTTTTGGGGTGATATGCAACTTCATAAGTATATCGCCTAAGTACGTGTAGTATTAATAGATGCAAGATTTTTTGGAAGTTTTATCAATTTGTATGACGTTTATTATCACGATCATTATGATCTCCCAAATAAATCGTATACTTCGAGTGTACTAAAATCTTTAGAGTTTTTAAAATATTCAGAAATTTATTTAAAAACAAGAGTGAACCATTCCTCACAAAATAATTTTCATTTACCATCCGAGAATGAAAAATTGCATGGTAAATATAATTTGTACATTAACAAGTTGTGTCGGTGGTAATACATACAGAAGTGTAATAAATAAGAAGAAACATCATCTCTTTAGAACAAATTCTTATCTTAAAATTAAAATGAACTTCCACCACTAAAAATTCAATTTGATAAAAACCGTTACACTTAAAAATGTTTATTTTATTTTTAACAACCAACATCAGAATAATATTACTGCAGATTTAATTAATTAATAGCGTACATTCAAATACTATACTATTTATGCATATATTGTTTAACATAAATGCATATGTATTACATTTGATTTTACAGAAAAATGCAACATAATTTGCAAAGGTCAACAATTTTTCTATTGGATAGATTAATATTTTAATTTAAATACACGCGTTTATTAAAGGAACATGATGTCTCTTGCTGAATTGGTTCAGTTCAGTGATCTACATGCATTCATTCCATACTTGATTCGATTTCATAAGGTACATTTGCATCTCTCTACGAAAATAAAATGAGTACGTAGGTTCATCAGCGTATTTTTATCATTATTATTACTTCAGGTAAGTCTATCTGATAATGTTGCATCGAGTCTTATTTTTCCCGTGAACGGTAAATTGATAAAACTGCCAGTCGCAGTCGCTTTTGTGGTATATTTATATGTATGACAATTGCTATATCAGATATACAATGATTTGTCGTCGAAAAAGGGACATTTCCTCGGGATCAAGAGTCATATATTTAATTTTGATATGATTTCAAGAAGTGATATTTATGCCATTTTAAATACACGCTCATGTTGAGAACTGTATGTTTAAAATTGAGCATTTTTTTGTAATTTCTGTTCCTTGTGTTTGAAAATCATAACAATATTACAGTAAAACAAGGTTATTGGTCATTATCTTAGTACACATTTGGGGAACGATACTACTAACAATAATATGATAGTTTTGTAGGAATAGATTTGCAACAATATATACGTACATAAGTTAAGTCGTCAAAATTTCGTTAATTGACTGAATAATTGCGGTGAAGACAGACTGTAGGAGTATCTACTCTGATAAATATTAGGTTGAGTGTACGATGACAAAATGAGTTGATCAAAGATGGCAAAAGTCGAAATCCAGAGTTATTACTTATTACATACAACCATAAAAGATTCAGCGTAGTCCTGGACGTATTTTCTCAAAGCGAAACTGCTGTGGGATGAATGTACTCCCGTCGGTTGGAAGAGCTCGTTTTTTAATTGAGTTGAAATTCTTTTTGGCAAACATATAAAAATCTTGTTCCATTTGCCAAATTTTAGACTTATGGATCGCCTAAGTATTTTTATAGAATTTTAGTAACAGTGAAAAAATGGAATAAACTAAAATAATTGCGTACCTGGAAATACAAAAGAGAATATCTTTTTAGAATAAACCCTTTCCGACATGTGGTGAAAGTTAGCGTTTACGTACCTTGATTGTGTCCTTGCTGGGGAGCTGTTTCCCGAACGTCTTCCTCAGATGTGACTTTCCATCTGAAAAAATTCAAATATGTAGAGAAAAATTGACATGAATTCCTACATAGCGACAAAATGCACCCTATTATTTGCAGATCAATTAGTTTACGTTAAAAGGAGCACTGCTGGCGAATGCATGGAGAAAGTGTAGACATCAAAGATCATTAGCGATGGTTTACATACAATTTTTTAGTCTCGAAATGTGACAATTTCATATGCATATACAAATTCATACATAAGCTGAAAAGCTGGTTACTTGCGCTTTTGCATGAATACAAACATTCTCCGTCATCATATTACGTCGGTGTGTAACACGTTGCAATATAATGTCTATAAAGTTATGTACCTGAATTAAAAAGTTTCAAGGCACCGCGAAAGAAACGAGGAAGGGATGCTTCCAGCAGGGTAACAAATTCGAGAATATTCTCAGTTGTCCCAACGAGGAAATACGACTTGGCCAAGTTCGCCTTCGCCTATAAGAGATTGCAAAATGAGTAAATATGCATTTATTAACATAGCTATGGTACATATGGCTGGGAAAATTTATTTATTTACCTGTTGTAAAGCCCATGTATTTCCTGGTTCCCAGCACGCCGAGTGGTGACCACAGAAAAATGGAATTTGCATCCACAAATTGACCGGATCACAGTCCGTCCCTCCGCGAGTGACACATTCGTCGAATGTCTGTAGACAAATGTTTAAAGTTTGAGATTGACAGCCTCCAAAATTATTAAATATAATATAGACACATGCACACAAAAATGTCGAGATGTATTCACATGCATGCATCTCCATGATAGATATGTAGTAGAGCATGAGAAACTTCACACTCTATGAATAAACCATTTCTCAATCTGTCAAAACGTACATCTCAACTTCATTCGTTCGCATCTCTTCTCAATAAAGTTCCTCCAGCTTGACGTTTACACATAAAATAAAAACTTTCTCCAAATACTCTGACTAAAAAACTGGCAAGTAAGACCACTATCATTGGCAGTTGTGTACTTTCGTGACTTTCCTCAACCAACATTTAAATTTGCTCTTGGTGTATAATACCTGCACAAGTTGTGCTGTGCATATGTAATAATATGACGTTTAGTGGGTGGAGAATATTACACTTTAGCGTGTACTCTTACACACGCTAAATTGTCAGAAATCGTTTTGCACCTGTACGCTTTGTTCGTTCCTTTTGGGGAGGTGCAAATCTAACTGTTGTGTCTCCGTTTTAACAACATGCAAAACAGTTTTCCTGCTATGTTCATGCTCTTATTTTGCTCGTTGTCGGGTCACGGCCTGTGAATTACTTTGCCCCAGGCTAGAATTGAAATTGGTGAAAAGTAGCTGGTGGTGTGGCGTACGTATATGGAACCTGCTTTGAATTTGAAATGGGTGTTGAGAGAAAAAGTCCGTTCCGCGAGTAGGTGAAGGGACGAGGAAGGGATAAGGAATATGTATGTATAGTTAGCAGCCGTGGTATTATGTATGACGGACGAAAGCTTTGCATGCTTCCGCCTACTTATGTCGAATGTTGCATAGGATGGAACCTCCTCCTCTCCTCCTTCTCCTGACTCTTTGTTCTTTGTTGTTTCCCATAGAGCCAACTAACTCCAGCGAAGCACATCACATGTGAAAACATAATCTTGTGTCTAGAAAAACAGAGGGATTGTAATCCTATCCTACTCAAAGCAATTGGAACGAAAGAGAATAACAAGTAGGTGAAAGTCTAGTGCTTATAGGTGCTGCTGCTGAGACAACAAAAAGGATAGAGAGGCATGAAAACTCTGTGGATTTGTACTTAGGTCCCAAATGTCTGCCCATTTCCAAATGGGATAAGTATTTTGCTTTCTCTGGTGAGGAGAGGAAATCATAAAAATTTATGCCCAATGTAATGGGTTTCAAATGTAGGGTTTGGATTCCTGTATTCCTCTGGATCATCCAATCCCCGTCGTTATCTATTCTTTGGGAAATTTAGCAACGTATTTGGTAAGCTGCTGCCTCGCTATTTTGTATTGCTCGAGCAAGAAAGAAATAAAATTATACAACCTTTTAGATATTCTCAAGATTATTGCGATTACGGGGTTATTTGTATTGCAGAATGCTACATTTGCGTCCTGCAGACGGAATTTATATGAACGAATTTGATTATAATCACAAAACAGATGAAATGGCATTTGCCCTTATTCTGCTACAGATTCAAAGTAACGTAATACGGCAAATATGTGCTTTTGTTTACCATGCGTTTCAAAACGTGGTGTGGTTTTGTTGATGGCATTTCCATTCCAACAACCATAATTACCAAACCTGGGTAGTCATTCCGCTAGACCTTTGTCTCACCATTTAGCAACAAATTGGGTCTTCGTGTGATAAAGTAGTGGGAATAAATCGGATTAATTAGTTTATTATTTAAAATGTTGACCAACCTCTTTATTGCCCTTGCGTTTCCTCACCACCTCCGGTCTAAAATTATCACCTGCAAAAATTGACACACAATTAGTTAACTTAACGTTAGAATTACTGATCTGAGCACAATAAATATTTTTTCGCTCACCAAATCGCAGGAAGTAGTAGTATGAGATCAGTCTGTAATTGTAAATTTTGATTAAAAATTAATTTTTTTGATTGACGCACTATAAGTACATACCTCTCTAATGGGTCTCTAACCACATTGATATACAAAGGTCTGAGATTCACTCCCAAAGCTGCAAAATCCAAGTAATGCACATCTTTAGCCTAAATATTCCAAACTACAGAAACTCTCGTACTTCAACTTACAGTCAAAATCAAGGTAGCCCAAGTGGCCATGATATATGGCCGGCCTTCTCTCCATCCAATTCGAAATATTTTGGGCGAAACGAATCTAAAAGATATACGTCGTATTAAGATTTTGGGCGAAACGAATCTATCACGAGACAAAGAAAGAGCACATAATCACACGTCAAATTAAAGTGCAATCCATCTATTTCATCCCGTGGAGAAAGTAGAGCTGACCGGAGGAGGAAACCAACAACAATTTGCAGCCCAATAATTTTTTTCGGCTCACAATAAACATGAAACAGTGAAAGGAGCCGAATGCGAGAAGGTGATTTGTGAGCACCGTGGGGGGAAATCGGACCACCACCACCGAACCGGCCTCCTCCTATCCGACTTCATTGCACAGTGTATAAGTACATAGATAACTAACCCCCCTTTGCCCATAGTCAACGACGTTGCCTGCTTCCAACTATAAGCTCACTTTTTCTCTGCATGCTTTCTCCCAGGCCGCCTGTAACCCAAGGCTCTCCTCACTGTTTCTGTTATGCAACCCTGGATGGATGGGCAAGTAATAAGTAAGGTGACGTGGGGAGTCATATAAATTCAGAGTCCTCGACCATTATCAGTTCATCAAGCTGATTAAATTTACAAGGGCATTTTACGACGGGGCATTATGCTAATTAAATCTTGATCTATTCTTTCCCATCCACCCAACATCATCCATGCCATGCTCATCTCGATTACACATTTCGACACAAAAACAAGCAAAGTGAAATCCTATACGGCGAGTGATAATACTATTATTTCTGATACAATAACCCAATACTGACAAGCGGGGTGTTTCCTACGTAATAATGGGGCTGGTCTTTGTATACGCGTATCAATGTGTTTGTATAGCCTGTAAATATACCTACAAAGAGTTTTATTGGGGCTGAGATATATGTAGGAAGAATTCGTCCGTGAAAATGAATGGCGTTCTTCTTTCTCTCTTTTCTCCCAATAAAGCGGTCGGGTGTTTATTAGATCGGCTTAATTAATTCGTTTACTTACTTGGTCTGCAGGAGTTAACACGTGACTATTTTTCGTCGTGTTGAGATGAATCACAGAAAATAAATTCTTGGAACAAAGTTCGTACGCAATGCCCATGAGTGACGTGGATCCTAAATAGGTCACAATTCAAATATATTCAAAATGGTAGATACATATATAAGTAGAAAATTGAGTCATTATTATCATCTCCAGCATAATAAAATTGTTTACGAAGACAAAAAAGTAAGGCTGAGGAAGAAAAACTATACTTTTAGAGACTGAGATATTAATATATACCTGTTTTGGGAATGCGATTGTAAATAATTACTGACAAGTCTGGAGAGTCATCGTTGGGACCTGTGAAAATGAGACATAAAACGGGTGCTCAGTCATTCTAGTCGGTAAGACACTTCCCAGTCTGGTTAAATGCTCGACATATGCAAGCTTTGTGACAGGTAGCTTCATGAGTGCGAATAAATGCTCAAGTTACAAACGACCAAAGCACTCCACGAGTTTTGCAATTTTATGACTATTTTTTGTGCGTACTATAAAACAACCAACTCGCGTATTAGTAGTACCACACCGAACTTTGTACCTACATATCTACAAATGAGCAGTGCATATGTACAATAGCACCAAATTATTTATGGAGAGGGAAAAGGGTATACAAAACGAAAGCCTAAAAGAACTGGGCTTGAGTTGTTTTAAAAGTTAAATGTGCATTCGCTGATACTGATTCTACTTGTGTCAGAAAAACTTTCTCTTGCAACTTGTTTCCGCATTGATTGTTATTGTCAACGACTTCATTTGCTTTCTACAAAAGTAATTTCATTTCACTCCACGCACTACTTTCATGGTCTCTCTTTCTCTCTAAACAAAATGTTGCACGAATGACCTTGTGCTTCTATTGAAGAAAACGGGAAGAGGAAAGCACTTTGAAAGAAAGGCCAGTAAATTTCCTACCATATGTGCACAGCTTAAACGTCACAAATTCTTAACAATTCCTGAATGGACTGAAATAAGGTGTGACACTGCACATTTTATAACGAGCTCTAATCAATTGTCAGTAAAACTCCTTTTAATGACTTGATTACTTGATATACAGGTGTGCATTTAAAACCATGCTACAACCGGTCTATTATTTTTAAATGGGTCATAAATTTCAATATCTTAAGTTACGCAACTTTTTAATTTTCTTTGCACATCACGAACACTCCGGGCAACATTCAAACCTGGAGCAGTCTGTAGCAAATGCTGTTGCCTTGAATGTGATGTAATAACTTTCTATTGTATTTACGTACTCGTGGACATCACACAGTTCAAGGCAGGAGTTTGTTCACTCTACAATATTCTATGTAGACATTGCAAACCTGTTTTCGGCAAAAACCTACTTACCGTTAAGTGAAGGAGCAAATAAATTTTTGACAACATTTTTACATGACACTGCGAGAGAGGAGTACATAGAAGTAGCAGGTTGAGGAAAAAAGTACTCGGTGTTTCTAGTGAAAGCAACGTCTGGACGGGCAACAAAATGTGCTGGCTGCACAAAGTATTTATGTAAACACAACACAAAAGGCGAGGAGGAGGGAAGGAGTGTTGAGCAGTTTGCATTGTTTTTATCTACTCATTCCCTGATAAAAGAAACATTAAACGTTACTCACTTCCATCAATAGAATCATAAGCGTTGATAGCCCCAAACGTTCCACCATCAGCACCACCACCAACGCCACTGCTGCCGAGCCGCCCTGAACTACCGCCATTGTTTGCATTCGTCTTGGTCACGATCCCCAACTTTGCTCCTGTAATGAAACAAGAAAACACGGATATATTGATAGTTTCCTTGCACCACAAACAAACTTTCACTCTCTTTCTAATAAAATATCATCTTCGCCTTTTCCCCTAGAATTTGTCTGTGTAGTCTCAAAAAAGGACGATGAAGAAAGAAACGAATTCTAGGAAATGAGTGAGAAAGTAATAACATGTATGCACATAAGTAAGGAGCTACCTCTGACAAAAGCGTAGAATGGATACTTGCACCAGTTCTGCTCACTACAATAGCGAGTAGACAAGTTTCTCTTTGAGCAATTTTCCTTTCATTTTTTTACTGACTCGTATCAAACCTGTCCGAGGTGAGCAAATGTAAAGAGAAAAAAGAAGGGAACATTGTGCGGGTGACGAGACGAGTTCGTTCGTGTGTCTGGTAGTTAGCGTCGTTTAGTTAGTTAGCGAAGGAGACTGCTTAAACGCAGAGATTCATTGGAAAAGCAAAAGTTGAATTGGATATGGCTCCACGGTTGTTCGCTTGTGTAAATAAGAAACGAGCAAGGGAGGAAAGAAAGTAAAATGGGAAAATGCTTCAGCAAACCAAAATGTCTACGCAGGTAGCCAGTCACTTTTTTTTTTACTCATTTTCGGTTTCGTTGGTTGGTAGTGAAAGGCACGCGAATTAAGAAGATGAGACGATGGTAAATATATGACTTGATTTGAACTGTTGATAGTTTGTTATTTTAGGGAGGAGAAGGAGGATTGGTTACGGCTGAAACTTGGGAAAGTATTGTAGAGCATGCGAGGAGTCGTAAGTCGTAACCCAAATGCTCTAATGGAAATCAGCGTAAACTTTTACGTTTTTCTGCATTCACTTAGTTACTGTAACTGAGTAGAGTTAGCTTGGTCTGGGGGAAAGTAAACTCTTCCCTGTCTCTCGGTGAAAAAAAGCGAAGGTAATTCCTCGTCTTATCTCTCCAAGGTTGATGAATACCTAACTAAAAATCAATAATTCAACTACCGGGAGAAATTAGGAGATAGTTTACTCTCTTTTTCTCCCTACAAACTACCATCACTAACCATGAACCTCCCCTCAATCCTGTGCTATGATACACGAGGAATATGTCTCTTGATTTATGTACAGCTTATATGCGCACAGAAGAACTTTATCTTTTTTGTACGGGAAAGCTTAGATATTTTTAGTGTGGTAAGGACTAGAATTTTACAAAAAGTAATAAATGTTCAAGTTGCGAGTCGTAAACCTCTCTTGGTTTTCGATAACTGGTGGCAGCAACCACTAAATTGATGTCATGTGGATATAGATATCTAGGTATACGCACATACATGCATACCATATAAACATAGGAGGACGTACGTATAGAGTCAGCCGCCTTCGTCGTTAGGAAAGGCAACGATGGTTACCTTTTACTGTCTCACTTGTGTACTCAGGTCCTTGTAATTTGTAATGAACCAATCCCCAAAGATACTTGAGTTTTAGTTGGGCATTAGTGCTACAATAGTGAGGCCTCAGTGGTTCATCCAATCTTGTAACTTGGTGAATGTGGTCGAGGAATGTGTGCGGTGCAAATCGCAAAGCAAATACTCCAAAGTAAACGGCTTTCTCGACCAACTTCAAACTCTGGATCTGTTTTCCTACCCACGACTTCAACGCTCTCCCAAAGTCAAGAGATTTTGGTCGTGAAGAATAAGGGTAAAAGGACGCTAAATCGATGCATGCAATTGAAGAAAAAATCCAGTGTGTAGCACTAGAGGATGAGAGAGAGAGCATTACTATAGTAGTTTTCAATGAGGAAAAAGCCTGCGGAATACAAACACTCTCGTTCTCACTCTAGAGAGTTGTCCTGTATGACAGCAGTGACATAATGTTGTACTGCTATGTCGATAATGTGGACTCCCTTCATTCAACTTGAAGACTCGTAGTCACCAAAGCTGACTCAAATAAATAAGATTGGAATGCTGCCTTGTCTTTCCCTCCGTGCGAGGAAGACCAAGAAAAAAGCCTTTGTCTCGCTGCTGGTTGTTGTTGTTGTTGCTTTCCCCGTAGTTCTCGTAATGCAATCTGTGGGATGTGGGTTGATGGACTAGGTGTACGCGACTCGAAGAAGAGTGGCAGGAGCAGTGGAGCCAGCGGAGAAAATTTGACAACAGCAGTGGAAGAATCTTACCCTTCTTCCTCCTCCTCTTCTTCTCCTATAACATATATGTCACTGATACGTCCAAATACGGCAGGACTACATTATTCATGGGGATTGCTTATAGAGAAGACATAAACATGTCCGTCCGTCGTGGTGGTGGTGGTGGTGCAACCAAGTTTCGACTCTTACTAACACCACTTTCTCCAATTCCTCAGTATTTGCAATCGTGATACAACAACACAATAACACTTTTGTAACTAAGTAAAATGCGCCTATCTGTTTGTCCTATTGTGGACTGTGTTTGTGAGTGACTGAAGTTGCTCGATTGCAGCAGGGGTCCTTTTTGCTGAGACTGCTGCTCCTATTCCTACATCGTAGAAGTGAGAAACCCCGAGAAACCCAAGCTTGTGAAAGTAAGCAAACAGAATGACATATGCAACGGCATGCCACGGCAGTAGAGTTCAAATCAGGAAATAGGCTGTGAGTGACAATATTGAGAAATATTTTATGCCTCCGTTCCTGTAATTTATGCAGTAAAATGTAGTGTGGCAGTAAATATGTATGTAGCTCAGGAGTCGTAGTAGCAACAGCAACAACTTTTCTCTCTTCTTCTCCACACGGTGAGCTTACCCAAATCTACTTGAACTTTTACTTTATCTCTTCATCTCTCGGAGAGACGACTCTGATTTCAGATTTTTCTTCCCACTTTCTCCTTCTTGCTCGACCCATTGGAAGGAAAAAGTCAGAGGTGAAAGTCAGGTTGAATAATGAGTGAAGACTATTTTATTTCAGTAGCAACTTTTATGTACACGTCTGGAACCAGTGAGTATGTACGGTTTTCTTGCTTGGTGAAGAAACGAGAAAATGCACATGCAGGAAAATTTGTCTCTTTTATTGTCAACTGAGTCGGAAATAAAAAAGAAATAGAAATAACGCTCAAGACCAAGTAGTGAAAGTGGAAAACAAATAAAGTGAGGATTGCATTTACTAGCTCGTTGGGATTTTAATGGCCAGGTAATCGGATTTTTATGCTGAGAAAAACAAAGAAACAAGGGCATTTCTTCCGTCATAGCCAATTTCATCTTTCGTCTGGTTTTCTATTCAATTCCACTGATGCTAAGAAAATTAAGGGAATGTCAATGTGTGCTAACCATGGGGTTAGGAACCCGAGAATTGAAAATGGATGAAAGTGTCGTTGAGAGAAAGTCGTACAAAAGGTGGGAATGGTGCCGGAAGACTTTCCTAGAAACACATTAACCAAGACGAATGTTGTACGAGTTAAATTTACAGATCAGTATTCGATATTCGACTGCTTAGTTTTCCACCCAGAAGGAGAACAGAGGTATGAATGCTTGTTCTGGGGGAACGTGCTGTCAAGTTCCACATTCAAGGTATACATGTCCTTATGTATATATAAACTGACCATGCTATGTAGTCTGCCCCATTGAGAACATTAATACTGCTGCCAGTCTCCCTGCCTGGCTGCCTGGCCAGCCGAAGCACGAGGACGGGAATGTGTTAGAACAAACAGAAAAGAGGGAAAGTTGGTGGAACATTGGAAGCGACATTCAACCAACGATTCACTTTTCAGTTGGTTTGCCACGAGGGAATGCAATGCATTAGAGCTATTGACTGGAATTGGGTTGGTTTTGGCTTGAAGGGGTGGCATGGCTCGCCCGTCCGTTCGTTCGTTCGTTGGTTCGTATTATGTGCTTTCGTGCACCTTTCTCTTCCACCTCTTCGTCTTCTTCCCTCTCAGTTTTTCTCTCCTGATGTCCCTTGATATTATTATTATTGCTTTCATAATATAGCACTCTCTCCCATTCCGTAAGGTTAGATGGATAGAGATAGGAATGGATTAGAGCTTCAGTGCTACTCGTAGAATAATATTCGGCACAGGAGAAACCATGACCGAGTGCTTGCTTGGCTGCCTGCTTGTTCTTTCTTTCTCTGCCTCCTTTCTTTCTGCTCTGTTAAACTATGACACTAACGGAACGGAAGTGGTTTGCTCCTCCAGAGAAAGGCTCAACTGGGCAAAAATGTTCTTCTGCTGGGAAGACGGAGAAGGCTGTTAGTTCATCCAGCTAGCATTACTTATGATGATACCACGGGTGACCGTCTAATATTTACACAGGCATGGCGTAAAACTATGAAAAAGAATATGTTCCCATCCCCGACTCCAATCTACATCACACTGTGAGAAAGGAACGTGGAAAGGCCAGAGGAGAAAGACTAAGTAAACTCAGCCAACTTAGCCAAACTTTGTCGGGGCTCTGTTACGGCTAACCATTAGATTTATGGTCTTATTCGATGATCTTGTGCCAGAGTTGATCCTGATAGCTCGTATTTGGTTAGTTGAAACTAAGTAGCCATACACACAAACCAAACAACATTCAGGATTTCTCAGCATCCCACGACCACCACCATGCTCTTCCATTCATGTTGTTCTGGTGGTGGTGGAACATAAGTAGCTTTTTCGTTTCGAAATGCGTCCCAGCTAGTTAGTTAGTACGGTTGTGATGGTGGTGGAGAAAAGCCATGGATTGCAATTCTGATATACTCCCTCGGGCTAACTCTCTTTCTCCGGTCAAAAGTTTCCTCTCCGCCCATTCGACGCATTCTCGAAACCTTTGGAAAAACTCGGTCCATTCAATGCACGCATTTAGCATGGTGGTGGTGGGGAAAGCAAGTCGAAAGTAGTCAAGTCTATCACAATAATCACAACTCCATCCAGGTTGTTATTCAAGTGAGAGAGAGGAAAAAAGAGGGTAAAACTTCACATATGCAGATTTCTTTTTTATTCAACCAGCCAACCGGATCCTTACAAATAAGGTGTTCAACCTTGTTAACTTTGTCTGGGTTGGATTTAAACTCAACTTCAAAGGGGCTGCTCGACTCAACTCTCGACTCTGTATGATCAACTGCATACATGAATGTGCATGCATCCGAAACTATTTTACTCGTAGGAACTTGAAGTTATAACTACTTTGTGCAATTCATTTTGATAAAATCCTCTTTCATACATGGTTCCAATTCTCCTCCGCCACTTATCCATTATGCAATAGAGTTTGATTTAAAGTGAGTTTACTACCCCTGCGTGTTTCCATATTATAACTTACATGCATGTACACAAACGCTCGTTATTATTCTGGGCTGAGAGACACGCGTTCAAAAAACTGACGCTCGCCATCATAATCATTCTTATTATGGTAGAATAATAATTTAGTCATGTTTCCCTTCTTTCAAGATCACCATCAGACACTTATCTCTTATATCAATTTGAAATCTGTCTGCATTGATCCAATTTTAGCTTTTATCTCTTTTGACGTCAATGGTCTCTTCAAAAATTGCCCTAACGAAGAGACATTTATTAAATAAATCCTCCGCTTTTCAAATTTATCATGATTCTGTTACTCAGGAAGACTCATAAAGAACAATATTCCCCCCAGCGGGGTTCTCTACGGCGAGGTTATTATTTCACTAAAGACAAAAGATGATATATGTGTATACGGCGGAGAAAGGTCTTTTGCTTTCACTCTCTCGATTTACATCGTCGTCGGGTCTCTCCTTCATTCTCCTCTCGCTGCCAGCCTCCACCGCACCACCACCTTTGTTGAGGGAAGAATGGAGAAAAGCAGCTCCACGACACTCGATCCTCGTTGTCAGCAAAGACGAAGATTTAGATTGGAGGGAGAGACGCGATGGTGGATGGATAGACATTTAGCCCACTGCTACAGACAAGCCTCGTGCGCCATGAAGTATGAACACGGTCTTGTTGCTACATAATAATAATAGAGTGACTTGGAAATTCTTCTGTGTCCTCTCTAACTCACTCTGTTACGCCCCAGAGAAAATTGAGGAACAAGGGACTTGTGCGGTCCCAGTACATGTTCTCTCCTCTCTCTCTCTCCCGATCTTTGTCCCCAGACCAGTGCAATTGATGAATTCATACATAAACATAACTGCTGCTGCTTCTGCATCATTCAGATGCTAATAATGAAGTAGGATCGTGATTATAAGGGCGAATGTGCATACATTACAGAGAAGAAGAGACAGGAAAATGGTAAGGACAATTGTAATCCTGTCAGACGGTGATAATACATAAATTGCTGCATCTTCCGTAGAAATAAAAAGAAAAAACCAAACACAGGCTTTAAACGGGGACCTAGAATAATGCTTTATATGTGAAAGAATGGTTTTGTGGATTGTATGGAAAGATCACGGGAAAGGAAAACCTTTGGAGCTTTAGAAAATGTTTATCAAGGAAACGGAAAAGTAAAGATAAGGCGGAGATTTATTTGTAGATAATCCTGAGAATACTTTAGTACTTAGAAGTACTTTAGAGCGCCATAAATACCTGTATTAGCAAGAAGTATAAGGCTGAGAACAAGTTTAACAACTTACCAATGTATTTCTGCTGTTCTTCCAGAGTGAGTAGTTTGTGTTGCCAGTAGACCATCAGACCAATGACGCCCATGGCTGCGACCAGCAAAAACTTGCCGGCAAAGTTGCCAGCCCACTTGGACAGCATTACCGTTCTCATTCCTCCGTTCTACTCGTCGAGATACAAAAAATCAAATAAAATTAAATTCTCACAAAAGTCTGCAGAGATAAAATGTGGTGATGGCCGTGTGTGCGTGTCTCTCGCTATTTACACAGAAAAAAGTTTGTCTCAAAAAAGTCTCTCTTTATCTCGTCTTTTTTTTCAGAGAGGAGTCAAGATACAGGAGCCGTCTCGCACTGACTGACTTTCCCTTTCATTCATGTCTTAATCTAGGACGGTGTAATTCACTTCGTATCCCACTTTCACCACCAGTGCGATGCTGACGACGTCCATGCTAGTTGCTCAGACTGCTGAATAGACATGACAGATAAAAGCTTCGTTTTCAATTTCAATTTGCAGCTTAAAACTGCTTGCTCTCTGCACCTTGCTTTCCCCACTTTCTCTTTGACGATTGCCAACTGCCAAGCAATCTCGTTCCGTCAGCCGTCCAATATCTGCGGTGATGATTGCGCCAGACGCCTCACTCAGTCACTCAAGCGTACCACACTTTCTAAATAGACTGATGATGATGATGGTGATGGCAGAGCAAAAAGAGCCAGTTGGATGATTATGTTGTACTATACTGTCCAATATTATAGGTACTCCAACTCGTACCGCTCTGTGTGGGAAAGTAAAGTTGGCGACAACGACGACGACGACAAATGGACAGAATATTGGCTACTGACTTCTGATCTCAGTGGCTCTCTGCACTAGTGATTTGGTGGTTGTGTGTGACATGGCATCCAGTCAGGGTGACACTGCTAGCGGTGAGAAACGTAAAAGGCAACACCACATCCAATTCACCACAGAAAAGGAAATTGTCTCGCAAATAGGTATAGAGAGATTACAGTGAGCATGTCGATTCGAGATGGTATAAAGTACTAACAGTAGTAGATTTGGCAGCGGAAGACTCGCCCGTTATTATTACAGCAGCAGTAGAAGAAGCGGTGTCCCATCCGGCATCCACAGATAGATTTTGGACTTTGTCTCTCACACTCCTTTCCCATCCGAATGTGTGGTAAGACTCCAGACCCAATCTGGCTGGAGAGAGAACAGTGGAGTTCACTTTTCGATTTGGAGATTAGAATGAGAGTCCTTGTTTGTTATGGATTTTCTCTACCGACAACCGATCGGATAATATTGAAGGGAGTCAGATTGTGTGCTTCTCGACTAGTAGCAAGTGCACACCATGCCAAGTGTCCTACCACCACCACTAACAAACAAGCAACTCACAAAAGTCCAGTGAATTTGGTGATATTTTGTTTCTCTGTCCATTAGCTACCACGATTTCACTTCGTCCTTTTTCACCACTATCTATTACACCGCGGACCAGGTATTTAGTTTCTCCCTCTCGAGTAAAAACAAAAAAAAAACGAGTAAATAAGTTATTTTTAGTAATGTGCGATGATCCGAGGTAGCGAGCGAGCGAGCGTATAATGATTCACTTTTGTCCAGAAATCCGATATTGATATCGAGCGGAGAAAGTGAGAAAGTGAGAGAACGAGAGAGATCTGAGTTGCACCACGGACCGAGGTTCGCCAAGGAATCCAGCGAGTTGAGCTCAGTGGTTCTGACTTTTATCCATCGCCTGCTCTCCATCCGTCTCCTTCTCTCGAGGCAAATATTGGGCCAAAGCAATCTACTTTCCTTCCTCCTCCAAGAAGCTCTTCCCCCCAACTCGCCTGCCTCCTCAACTCACATGTGACGACGAGGACGACGACGAGAAGGACGACCAAGGCAAGCGGAGAAAGCTGGGCGAAGCTTCTTCTTACCACCTTCGTTTTTTTCTCTCTCTTTCTCTGAAAAAACTCTGCTTCCTCTGCCTCGCTTTTCCCCTGGATGGATGGACACCGACTTCTCACCCATGCAGACTCCTTCCAGTTTCCTCCTTCTCCTCCGTGCTTTATTTTATCTCAATCCTTTCTCTCCTTGAACTTTCTCATAAGCTATATATCAGCCGTGTGGGCACAAGTCGAGACTGCCAATGAAAGACTGAATAAGTTGTATGGGAAAGAGGCTGAATAGATTGGTTGCTGCTCAAGCTGCCCAAGTGGAACCCACACACACACGAATCCTTCCCATTTCTATATCTTTCTCCTGACCAAACTATATGTGTAGTGCAATAACGAGGTATTTTGCTCCTCTGATAGACATAAAACTCCTTGGGATGAAATACACGCAAAATCTCATTCACTTTATCAATGAAATGAAAATGCTGAATCGAATCAGTCCTTGGATAGAAAATAACTTATTTCAGTTCTTTCATTCCTTCCAGCTAGCTGGAAGGGCAGGCTGACAAAGTACTAAATAAAAGCAAGTCTAGATGTCTGAGTGAAAAGGTCGAAAGGTGGACAAGGAGAATGGTCGTGGCTCTCTGGCTGAGGCCGTGGTGGAGGAAAGCAAAACACCGAAAACTCTGTAGTTGTTGGGATGGTGGTGAGATACTTTTCTTCTTTACTTGTTATTGTACCAGAAGAAGAGTGGGTAAATCTGCTACGAGTTGAATCGAACATAAATAAAGTTCGTATTTAGGTTACTTTGAATAGTACAAAGTAAACATTTGAATTGGTTGGCTTGGTGGGTGCAAGAGTTTATAGAAAGCGCACAGCATTGCATGTTCGTCGTATATGTACATATAAAGTGAGTGTTGGTGGTAGTGGTGCTGCTGCTGGTGCTGCTGGTCGGGTGTAATATAATTACAAAGACTTGGCAAACATTTCACAATGAGAGAAGCTCTGGAGAGAAAAGGAGTGAACGGAAGCCAGCTGGAAGCACGACGAGTTGGAAGCACTTTCTTCGGAAACAAGATTTTAGTTTTAACTTTTGCTAATAAACAAAATAAACTGGACAAGGAGAGAAAAGAGGAAAAGTAAGTGCGAGGGTAGCAGCAGCACCTCGAGCTTCACTCATTCAACGCTCCTTCTTATGCATGCCCCACCAGCCACACACAAAGAAAGCACGGTGTTGGTTTGGTGTGTCGGCAGTGGTGGTGCCATTATAATGGCCACACAAAGACGACAACAACCTCCTTTTCTTCAACTGTTTCTTAATCATCTCAAATCTAAATATCGCAGTTGGAAGTCGACTTTACCTCAAAAGTTGGGCTCCAGTGTACCATCACACCGTTTGATGTTAATAGTCGGATGAAACATGCCATGCTGCCTACTTAACGAGAAAGGTGAAATGTTTAATAATTGTTGTAGTCACAGAGAAACAGCCAACTATTCATTCCCTTCGTTATGACGACTGTATGAATTTAGAACAAACTCCGATTTGAGTGCTCTCTGGGACCAGAGAAAGCTGTGAAGAGTGTGAGTGTATGCACAATGCTATTCATGGGACGGGGGAGATTGGACGCCGGATGAGATATTAATTAAAGCCTAATGTCCCCACTTTCTTGAAACAAAGTAAAAGCAGACAAAGTTAGCTAGTTAGTTTCCGGTTACAAGCAATAAATGAAACAAAATATTGAGTGACCTGAATTGAGCACTTTCAACCTCAATGACCCTATATTTTTACCCTTTACTTCGTATGTACTTTGTATGCAAAATGTCGACCGAGGCGAAAATATAGATTCTAAAGATCGCAAGATTATGTGAACTACAAACAAACTCGCACGTAAAGGTAAAACATAACAACCCCGTAACCTGCGCTATGTTGACTTTCACTTGGATGCTGACACTAATAAATATGCAGTAGTGTTACATATTTCCCAGTCTCAAAAGCTGTTTCCCATCCCACCTGGGAAATACGGGAAAATATTACAAAATTCGATAAATTGAAATGAAAAAGTTATCAAAACTTGATATTAATATTTTATTGATCCCAAAGGCTCAAAAAATTTTGTGATGGCCCATGCTACACAAATTTAAACAGGACGCGTGCTATTTTAATAAAATATCCCCAATACTGTACAGTTCCTGAAAAGTAACCTCATGCCAGCTGTTAATGCTTTTTAAAATGTCCGATTCCTTTTCACCACAGAAAGTATTTACATTTTATCAGTACTTTAGCTATTTCCAAGCGTGGGAAATATGTACCACTTTGGAGCAATGATGCTATATCGGTATACATTCATAAGTAGGCAAGTATTTCATTATGTATCTTGCAAGCTTATTAGCTTTCTCGACATGGACCTTCGCTACAAAGGGGAGTAGAATTAACAGTACAAAGAAACTGACGTAATTATTAAGTAGGATGTTGTATGTACATGTGTTGGAACTATAAAATAATGCAATGCAAAGTACTCTGTAAATTAATTCCAGGGGGAGATTTTTGAAAACGGTGGTGGTGCAATATCTCAGGAACTAATGCTCATCCACCTTTGTGTAAGTCATCGAAGTGTAGTGTTGGAGGTAGCATGGAAATAAAATGCTTCCCTTTTGTTTGTTGCTCTACTGTAGAATACGCAACAGACAGAAACTGAATGGTACTCTAACCTTTCCCTGCCTGTTTTCACATCGTGTTCGTTGGTCGTTTTGGGAATGGAGCCAAGTAGGCGAAGCCTGTGCCGCTATTCACCCACTTCAAACAATACTTACTCTGTTCACAACATCGTCCTCGTCATATTCCTAATGGGCATGTTCTTAGCACGAGAAAGCACCTGAACGTACAAACATGCAAACATTCGCATTTTGTTTACTGACAATTTTGTCTAAAGGTTGAGGTAAATAAAGCAACCATTTTTTCAGACGCAGAGTATGATGACCCAGGCAAGCGCGTGCATGTGCAGCATATCTCTAGATACACTATCCAGCTACATATCTATTTGATGTGCTTTTGATTCTGCCACAAATCTGACGTGAGCCATGACAAATTTGTTGAAATTGAACGCATTCCGCCTGAATAGCTGACAGCATTGCAGAAGATTGCTGTTTACAAGCCACCCTTCCACACACACATATTTCTCCTCCTCCTGCTGCATAAGAGAAAAAATTCACGTATTGCAAATGGGGAAAGCCATGTCAAATCTGAAGGATCAGCGAGAGATTTCAGAGCCGAGACTTTGAGACGACCGCACTTGATGAGAAACTAAATCAGCCAACCAAACTCATTTGGCGAGGGTACAATTTCTTGATGTCAAACGACGAGTAGTATCATTCTCGGTCTCCGTGCTTTCCTCCGTCCTCGTTTTCTCCATCCAATCTGCCACGCCAAGCCAGAAATATGCCCGTGATTCAAGAAACTCTCGATGCGAAAGGCTTTGAGAGAAGTCTCTCAATTTGCATGAGCCTGAGTTGAGAAGCAATTTCACCGCGATTGGGGTCTGCATGCCTTCTCACGGTCCGCTTGGTGCACACATAATTCAAAAGATTATGTATAATGCATGGGTGCCGTTGTTCCCTGCCTTTGCTCACTTTACGTCGGCATTTAAAGAGATGCGGATATAAAGACATGCTCCAAAGAGCACACGGCACGGGAGTGAAGTGAAAACTCTGCCGCATCAACTTTCACCGTCGTGATTAAATACCTTCCAAAAAAACTTTCCCGTGCCGGTAACGAACTATGTAACACCAATGTGTACCGAAATTATTACTTATTACCGTCCATCCATCCAAACAACGCTTGCATTTATCCTTCTACGTATCTGTCGTACGGTGTAACATCTCGCTTAAAACGAAAGGGGGAAAGCAGTGACAGCAGCCGTTTGTCGTCTGTGCGTAGCGAGAGTAGTTTCTCCTTCCTCAGAAGAACACGCAGTCTCAGTCTTTATATTTTGATGAAAATCTACCCGCTTTCTATTTCCCCTCTTTGAGCCGAATACCCGGCCGCCGACGAGGAAAGCCCGGTTTGTGAGAATCCTCTATCTATCCATTGTAACATATGTGAATAGGTATGTATTCGTACGTATATAGATAACAAGCGTGAAATTGAAGCCTGCTTTGCACCCTCATTAAATAATACATACTTAGTTTAGCTGAGTTAATACCATGAACTACTCGATATTATAGAATATATAAAGAGCATGAATTTTCATCAACACCAAACTTACATTTTGAAGAATGGTCTCCTGTACAAAAGTAGTGAATCTGTGCCGAGTGATTATTTTACGTCTATATGTGTAGGATCTGGCTCACTACTACTTCTGCTGGCGATAAAAGCCATTGTCACTTGGCTGTTACAGTAGTTTCAAGATAAGGAGAAAGTACAGGCACGTTGAGGTGGAGGTGATAAGAGACCTTTTTAAACCGGATTTTGCACAGCTTTTGCGGTTCTTCTGGGTTGTCGTCTCAGGTTATCAAGGGCGACTGCCAAGTGAGCCAGGAAAGGGTTGGAATAGCTTCTTCTCTGCTCTCTCGCTATATCTTAACCTCTCGGACTCAAGGAAAATACTAAAACTCGGTGCTTTTCACCGAGAAGTAAATTCTTTATATCATCATTATTATATACGGAAAAGTTCATTCGTGTCTGGATCCGTATGGGCGAATGCAGAAAACAAAATTTGGCATTCACCACCCGTTTTTGTTTCTTTCCGTCTTCGCCGCCTTCTTCTTCTTGTACACTACAATTCGAGGAACGAGATCAGCTAAAACTTTGCCGTCGTTTCACTTAAGTCAAGTGAAGGGAAAGACTCAAAAGTAAGCCTTGGAGGGGACCTTGTTGAGTCTATAAAACCCGGGCGAAGGAAGAGTCGGGTGAAAGAAGAAGTGCAGGGAATGGAGAGAAAGAAGATTGCATGATGGTGAAGCACGAGTAGAAAACCACAACACACACACACCACACACAGCTCGCGATGTGCAGTCGCCAGTAGGATTATCTACATGGAACTGACTACGACTACTGCCTGAGTCACCCACATGTTGTGGAAGGGAGAAGTTTTGGGTGAATGTTTTATTCGCAGATCCTCATCAAATTCAATCTGAGGTTGGAGAAAGCTGGTGGGAACACAGACGGACGGACGGACGGATCTCTTATTCAGAGAACACTATACTCTGGGCCGAACCGACACGGAAACTTTCCGATTTAATGCCTTTCTCCAAAGGCAATTTCACCGAGGTGAAGAAGACGCCTGGTTCTCCCTTCGCCGTCTGATTCCTCAAGGAAGCAGCCACTTTGGCATACAAGATTTTCTTCTAGCAGTCAAATGACGTGGTTTTTATCATCGCAACTGGAATATGCTGCTGCTGCTGGGCTTAATATAAAGTGTTGTGCTGTGCTCCATACCACGTACTGTAACGGAGGAGGAAAGTGAAAAGTAAACAAATAAACTACCTTAATAACGCAATCATTCATGCGATTCTCCAGAGTTTTGACTGAATGTGCACTACTTTCGACTCTTGCTGGATTACTCCAATGCCACTGCTCCATAGTTTATAAGTGAAAATTGCAGCACGCAGAGAAAGTTTTTTTTTCAAACTGTGTTGTGAAAGCAAATTTTTTTTACTGAATTGTAAAATTATTTACTCGAAATAACGTTTTTCTCCGAAGTGTACGGGCATACATGCGCTTGAACTAATTCTATCGACTCAATCTCGTAACTCTTGGATGACAACTTATAGTTATCGATAAGGGAATATTAGCAATATGGAAGCGTTCGGTCTTGGACCTCTACCTAATGGGTGGGAGGCTAAGATTGAGCCAAAGACGGGACGACTGTAAGTAATACGTATATTTCATTGAATATATTTCTATTGAAAGAGTGAAAGTCTATAAATATGTGAATGGCCTCATCACGCGTTAAGTGGGAACATACAAGTTTTGAAATATGGCTTATCGGTATTTCAAACCTTAGTTCCAGAAATGAAGAGTAATGTATCTTTCTCTGTCTATACGTACGTACAAACCACTTTGTAGTCATCATCCCAACTAATGAATTCCAAACCATAAACGTGCTTTCTCTCGATCTACCAGGAGCATTATTCAAGGGGAATTTCCAGTGAAATTGAGAAAGTGTTCCAATTACTTTTATGACTTGGAACATACATCGTGTTCAACATCTAGCCAAAAAGCATACGTGTTCCTGCATCATTAGAATTTTTACATTTCCATTCACCATCACATTCCAATTTATTAGGCCGAAGCATTAGCAAATTGACTTTGATGAGGAGACATCTACGTGGCCATTTCCGTTCAAAAAGACGAGATGAAGTAAAAGACCAATGTATAATCAATCCCTAATGAAATTACCAACCGCGTATGACAGAGTATACAAGGCATAAAATAACACAGTTAAAACGAGAGAACTTATAATAATAGTGTATACCCAAATTTAGAATGAAAAGGTAATCAGATTACTCCTAGCTCATGTTTTGGTACTCTTCTTCTGAGAAAGAGAGGTTGCTTGCATGCAAATAAATTGACTTACCTGAGTAATTTTAAAGACATTTACTGTGATCAGTAAATTCGGTTACTTCTCGAGTGCTTTGCTCTCTCTCTTTCGCATACGCAGCAACATGTTTGCATCTTCCAAGCTCATAAAATATGATGATGATGATGTTGGACCGATGAAAGTGAATTTGTTGTTGCCATTCGTTGAATGAATGCTTACTTGACTTGACTCTGGTTACGTTACAAATTTACGTAAGCCATGGGTAGTTGCAAATTGCAACTTGCAATTAGAATGATGAACAGAAACAAGCAAAATTATGGTTTCTGTCAATTTCAATTCACTACAATCAAGTAGTTTATTCTGGCAACTGGTTCATGTCCTTATCAATTAATTACGCGACACAGCATTGGACATTTATTTTGCTAGTCGCAGCACAGTCCTCAGTGGTAGTTTATTCATTTCATTTAGCACTTGTGAACAGTACTACACATTATAAAGAGGCAGTACATACGTAAAGTGAGAAACCAGAATACTGCCCCATAAATGAGAATAATCCGAAAATCGATGCCTAGCCGAGAGCCCTATATTGACCGCAAATTAATGGATTTGACTCGTCTAATTTTTCTCGTGGCTCTAACAATCAATCAACCAAGGCACATTATATTTATATATCGATCTTCGTTAGTAAATTAAGTTGGGGAATTAGGGAATTCCTCACTTGAGTTCTCTACTAGCTCAACGACGAACCGCAGAAACAATGGAACAACCACATTTATTTTCACCTCACAATTCTAGCAATTCATCCACCCAAAGAAAATAACTCGTCCTTTATGTTATTTACTGCTGGCTGAGCGTGTGTTGGTATCCATAATTAATAGCCGTCGAGTCCTGTCCAAATTATATGGGTATGAAATGTTTCACAACACATGCTAACATCCTCTTATGACTTATTTAAAATTGAATATTAGTAAATAATACATTAGTACTTTTCGCACAGCACTTCCTCTGAACTTGCAGCTCTCGTGCCGCCGTAGAACAATGTATTTAGCTGCATAAAAACAAAATATGAGCCAACCAACAACTTATCCACATTTGTTTATAAGGAATTGTTTATATACTCTGTTGCAGATATTTTATAAATCATTCTGGGAAAACAACAACGTGGATTGATCCTCGACTGGTCTTCCCTCCTCCACCATATAACATTGCCGTAGCTCAACCATCAGCTTATTTCGAGGTCAGTCCAGCCTGAAACTCTTTTTCATTTAGCAAAGTCAACCCTTTTGCAGAGACAACGTGGGATTGGATGCTACGAAAAGTTAACAAATCTCGCAAGCGTTACTTCATATACATGCATAGTCAGTTGCATTTCACCACCATAAAGCGAGTCGGAATGACAATAATAAGAAACATGCATTCGCTGTATGAATTCATAACTATGTTTCACGATTGTTTGAAATCCCAAGGTAAATGATTATGGATGAAAGTTCTAGTAAAAATTCGATCAAGGATTTGAGATCAGAGGTTGATTAATATGACATGACTGCATGATATGATGGATGGTTTATTGCGGAGTCGCACACACCTTTGCTTGCCACTCTTCAAAATTGAGAAATAATAACACAGAAAGTGAGGTGTATGGAATTTCTTTGAGGAATGTAGATACTCAGAGTGCAAAGGAACTGTACTACTCGAAATGAATTTTAATGACTTCTTTCTTTTACCATGCGGCCGTGGCAGTCTATTATTTTATGGGAATATACATCACATTTCTTGCTTGGCTAACTCGCTCGTTATTACTGCACAGAAGAACGGTCAAACAGAGGCTAGAAAATAGAGAAAGGTCTGGAGCGAAATTCCGAAGCTCTGGCTCCAAGGCAATTGCTGCATATTTGCATTCCAGTCTAGTCTTACAACGCATATTTTATTATTTTCTTTTGTTCTCCGAGCATAAATCCTCAAGTTATGAATTGGAGAATTACCCGTTTCTGACATGAGCCTCGTTCCATGGAGAAAAAGCTGGGAGGTTAGGACCTGGAAGAAGGGACAAGCAATGCGCAATAAATTATTTCAATTCATGAGGCTAATTTTGAAATTTAAAGCCATTGTTTGCAAGTTTCGCAAGTTTCTGGTTTTCTTGTTTTTATTAGCTGGAAGTATTCATCTCTTCTTTTGTATTCTATTAAAGTTTGCAATAAATTATACTTTAGTGTTCACTCCTTCTCTGCTGGTTGTCTGGCTCCTTGACCTATGACATTAACATCTTCTTTGATGCTACTTTTAGCCTGTAGCACAAGACCCATCTTTTCAGGAGGATAAAAGTGCTGCCTTATCACATCTCCTCCTCCTCCTCCTTCAACCACAAGGGTTTGGTCAAAACAGTCACAATTCCAACCAATAATATATTGCCGATTTTCTACTTTTTTCTTGCCGTCCTTGGTTGGGAAAAGTATTTATATAGCAATAGACGTTGGATGGGTATTTATTTGGTGGATGGGTGGATGTAGATATTCGAGAGCTGGAGGTTGGACAGAGCCACAAGAGAGGAGTTAAATGGCTTTTGTAATCAACTGGCTCATTAACCTGCTACGTGATCTGGCACGTTGTGGGAAAGCTGAGAAAGCAGAGCTCTCAGCAGAGCACTCAGCTCTCGGCTCTTTGCTTTCCCAGCAGTACTTTCTAATTTCTTCCTCCACCATCCACCAGCTAAAAACAACACCAACTAAAATATCGACTGGTCGGAGAAAAATTCAGTCTAGAAAATCATTATTTTTTACTCTAACATTTCAAAGGCAGTTTACTAACTCTTTGAAATGAAATCTGTCTGTATGTATACACGTTATAGCTTGACACTTAAATCAGCTTCAAAAGAATTGCTATTTTATATTGTCAAATGTTTTTTAGTTCAGTAGTTGGGCCTGTGTTCACGACAAAAGTTTGAACTTCACAAAAAATCGAATTGGAGAAAGCATAGCACGTATTTACTCTTCAAATATTTTTCTGTTTATATTTTCCTTTCAAATTTCTGCTTCTCTAGAGTTTCTTTTTGTTGACTTGAACTCAACATACATTATTTACCGAGTGCTCTTTTACATATTTATATGGGCGCAAACCATCATTGATGAGTGGGAACTGAGCATTGTTGACAAAGCAAAGAAGATTTCTTCAAATGGAGAAAGCTTTCATCTGTTTGATTTAGAATTCCGGTCGTTTGGTTTAAACGCATTCGAGCTTTGCATACAAATACATTTTAGAACAAACTGAGAAAACCTTCAGCCCTGCTTTCTCGCTGCACTTGGAATTCAAATTATTCAGGTAATCTTTCAAATTCGTTGATGGCCTCTGCCGTCAGTGACATCTAATAAGCTTTAGGTGAAAGGAATTGGATTTATTTTGTTACCAATCAACCAGCAGCATTAACCTCGAGGTCGACCAATTCTCATTTAACCGTACCAAAGTACACAAATGTGGGTTCGTTGTACACACATGTACAGGACAGTAAATAATTATTTAGTCTAGTCTATAGTTAAGTATAGGTTACTGGTCATGGAGATAATTGCCAACAACTTTAGCTTTAATAGTTTACTTGAAATAAACGTACAATTTGGGAATAAATGCTTTATGTGAGCAAAGTGGCATGGATAGCGATGAAAGATTGACAGCCCTAATTGATTTTATCGTCAATATTTGAAGAAAAAACATTGCTGAACCTGAAGCCAATTACGTCACTCAACTGACCTTTAAATTAGGAATGAAAATTGTTTTGCTCGAGGATGTCTTGATGCAACATGAAGACCAGACTTTTGTCAAAGTGATGACAGGAAATATTTCTTAGGGAGTGTTTCAAGTATGCCGCAGACCACACAAAAGTAACTACTTACGAGGCCGATACTTTCCCCAAACTCCATTTCCCAATTAGAGTGTGGACGCTTAATACACAGGCACCGTAGTCGCCAACCATCGCATCAAATTGCAAATGCAATTAGTGAGGCAATCCTTGTCACTTTGTGGAGAACACACAGAATGAGGAAATTGGCTAAATCTTTACTCTTGTGACTTTCGCCTGTGTGTTGGACCAATTACTATATAAAAGTTGTTCCCCTAATAATAAGTAACGCAACGAAAATCTATGTTAACCACACAGCCCACACCACGACTACTAGAAATAAGCCTACCTTGTTTTTATCTTCAATTAGAGAAGACAAGTGCACTTGGAATAACAATTTTCTTGTGTCAAAAAAATGAGGGCACAAATGTCATATCCAGATTTCATGACGATGCAATAATACATAGAGTGCTTTCTCTCGCAAACCAGTGACCAAGAATCACGTCCCATGCGGATTTGGTGCGGTAATCTCATAATCCCGCAACCCCATTTTCCCTGCGTCTGAAATATAAAACAAAATGAAATAGCGACGAGAGGACGAGGGGAAAGTGGCGGCGATGAAAGCTTGCCTTCCATTAGTAACGAGTGGTTGTCCAATTAAAAGTTGGCCATTAAATCAAAAAAATGTATACAACAATACAAATGTATACCTGAAATGTATTATTATTATTTATAAGAGTACAACTTTTTCTATCCTCCATTTCTAAATTAGAGTGCAGATATTACTGCCGTCAATAGCATCAACAATGTCGAGTCGTTGTATGGGTAATGGGGAAAACCCTTATGAGATTATCGAATTTGTAGGACTTGTGGTAATAATCGGTCTTATTTTCTTTGCTGTTGCTTTCGTCTATTTCATACAGGAAAACAATAATTATAATATTTGTAGAATCAGTTACGAGATAAATAAAAATTATTCCACAAACCTAAACATTCTTGACCCAAGGGTACCAGATGGGATGCTAAAATGACTAGCAGCTTCTTTTGGGGCCATCTCGCCAGCTTCACACATTCTAATGGCTTCATCCATGTCCTCCTGTGAATATGTATAACTGGGTTGGCGTCCAACGGAAACAGATGACCTGATTCCAGCTCTACTCATTCTCATGGCGAGTGTGGTCCTTTTTACTCCTTTGCTCCTTGCTACATCCGCTACGCCAACTACACGTGTCGACGCCAACTCGAACGCATCGTCCAGCGAGTCGGGTTTACCAGTCTTCAGTTGCCCCCCACTTTTGAACTGCGACTTAACCCCTGCTTGCTTCATTTTAATTTTCAGAGTTTGTCTATTAAGCTGCAGAGTTCTGGCTGCACCAAGCACGGACTCCGATCCTTCATCCACCTTTTTGAGAGCCAAGGGCAGGTTTTTCTCACGGTGGGCGATCTCGGCCATTTTCTCTTCCGTTAACCAAAAGTTTTTCGGATCTGGATGTTGTTGGAGTTTTGCTAAAAAATATAAATTAATGTAACATTTACACTTCAAATTGGCAAAGACGACAGCATCACCATTTTATATGTTGCAAGTACCTCGTGATAGTAGAGCTGCAGCTGTATCGAGGTGATTATGCAGCTCATCCACGAGATTTTTGGCGTCCGGGTTGAATTTCAACGCTTCGATGATATTGTTGATCGTCGCAGTGGGAACCGACACGAACTCCTTTGGGTTAGGCTGGTGGATCTGCAGCTCGCGAGCAAAAAGATTCCAGTGTTCAATCAAGGGGCCATCCCCCCAGCTTCTCATATAGCAGACCGTACAGGAAGGCAAGATGTCAACAAGTTGGAAGAGATGGTCCTTAAGCTCCTTCTCGAGATGGGCCAGTTTGGAGATACACTCTGATGGTTCCATGGAGTCAATAGCTCCCATAAAAATTCGACACCACCACTTCAGAAGATCAGCGATTTCGTCGTTGTTGGTGTATATAAGGAGGCTGTCTCCCAGAACAGGGCCATAGACGATCCCAAACTTTTTGACGCGCCTAAAATATGTACAATTTAGAGATCGAGTGTGAAATTATAATCAAAAATGGTGCATATTTACCTTGCTGAGCAAAATTCAATTAATGCACGTTGCCTTCCCACTTTTGCTATGTCGTCAATAATGTTGGTTCTCCCAACCGTTGTCGCCACCATGTCAAATTCACTGTCCACGAGTGGAGTAAAGTACATCACTTGAGTGATTCCCTCCTTGCCTGCCGACAAAAACAAAATTACACAATTAATACAATAATAATAATTAAAAGAAATGATGACTCACAATGTTTTTCTTTATACTCCTTGATTTTGATATCACCTTCCGTATTAAAAAATACATAAAGTTTCCGGGGTGGAGATAACACCTTTGACAAACTCATTTTGAAACGGAAAATAATTTCTAAAGATTAAATTTTGTGAAATTAATGATATAAAAACAACAATTTAATTAAATAGTCTGCCCGGATTGTACTCTGCTTTGCTCCAACACGTCTCACCTTGTTTGCTGGATATGCTTCAGCATACGTTTTATGTGCGATGGCTCAAGTCTCATTCCAACATGTCTCATCTTGTCAATTATTAGTCGGTCGGGGCGAGCAGTTTTTCTCGGTTCAATCAATCGCAATTCTTTGTGAATGGAAATGAATAAATTGTCCAATTAAAAATTATTGCTCTCTTCGGGGCTTCATTATTCATTCATCGTTGTTGAATTGTAGGAACGGCGGATGGAAGCTCACGTCAGGTGAAACAAATGACAGTCATTAAACAAATGCGGAAGAAACGCTTTCACATGCAACTCTGCTACCCGTACTTGTCGCACCATAAGTAATCGCGAATTTTAGTCCTAACAGGGCTAAAAAATCGTCATGTCTGCCTTTCCGTCTGCACGCAAGCGAACGAACCGCTGCACTGATTAAAAAATTAAACCTTTACAAATTGCGCATCTAGCTAGACATTGACAAAGCCAATTGAATGAGTTTGAAGATGGGCAAGATGAGTTCCGTGGAGAAAGTTTTGCTTAATAAAGAGTCCACTTTTGCTAAATATTGGTCAGGGCACCAAAAGAGGGTCACTCCCAATGGGTTTAGAAATTACAAAAATATAAAGAAAATCACTGACTCGGGCGTTAAAGTATAGCATTTAAATATATATCGAGTTTGCACTGTCAACGGTAAGTTTGATGTATAACAAGAATGAATGAATCGTGCGGATATTCATCTTAATGCTTTTGTTTACTTATATATACGTAATGTATCAAACAGCATGTTTATATAAATACTTTTTAAGAATCGTGGCGAGTGTTGCCACTGCTGCTTACATAAATTTGTAAATGCAGATAAGTGTAATGATGGGGTAGATAAGTACGAGGATAAATTATCTAATTCAACACAACAACCAAGTAAATAATTCGATGAAGTCTAAGTGCCTATAATCTACTGCCAAGTTAATGCTGGCATTATTTTCCTGTACATTGAACCAGCGGAGAAAACACCTCATCCGTATCAGCCATGGCTATTTATCACTATCAATTTTTGATGCAGAATTTCTCCTCCTTCGCTCCTAATCCTTCCGAAAACCCTACATGCTTAACTAACATAGAATACAAACGAATAATTGGACAAGATCTTCCATCCATTATTTACTTTGGTGAACTATTCACCGGGGAGAAGAATAGCAGAACACATTCGTGATCTCTTTTACTTTGAAGTGCTGAGTTTGTAGTCCAAATGATCTTTTTCTCATGAGTCTATCCATACATACATATCCGTCTAAGTACATACGGTAGACTATGAGGTTGTAATTATATTGGTTCCCACAGGACGTTGGTGGAAGCCGTTGGTCGAGCCCGGTGCCCAGCTTGCGTGCTTTCACATTGAACCGACGGGGCTCTTCACCACGACTTGGAGGTTCCCCTCGTATTGCTCCATCTCCAGTGCCCACGCCACGAAGAAGTGAGCAGCAGCAGGTCATACTGGGTGTGGCTCAAGATAAGCCAACCACAACTTCCGTCACTATTGCAGCGTCCACTTCTGCTCAGAATGAAGCAGCTCCTGGAACCAGTCGTGGGCGTTCGTCCAGCATTGGGACAGAATCTAACGCGTTGCTTATCAACAATAACGAGATTCCGTATGAGCGACCCCAATCCGCGAGATCATTCTCGAGCGCCTCTTACTCCGGGGTCCCGTCCTTCTTGGGCACGTGCGATGCAGAAACAGGATTCAGAACCGTTTGCGCCCTTTTTCCCACGGCAGGTACGAATAGAAAGCCATTCTCATGAAACATACTACCATGACCTTTTTGGTTTAATATGAGCTATTTAGTCATAAAAGTGCTAGATAGCTTTACGCTATTAATGTTTAACTATAATTAATTGTAGCATTTCATTATTATTTGCAGGAGAACCACACATCCGACACTTGTTTCACAAGTCAGTATATTTCAAAAATTGTTAATTTATGGTCAAGGACTATAATAAATGAATAAATCGTATATGACAGATACCACAATCGTGCAACGCTGGTCGTGTCGGCGTTGCAGGTCGAGAAACACCCTTACGTTGCAGAAATTGCGAGTCACTTGGACTTGAAGCTGAAGGATGGAGATACGGACACGATTGCGTCATTACTCGGCGAGAACAAGTCGATAGGCATTCATTCACCTTACAAAACGAGCAGGTTGGCACAAATTAAGACTAATTATTCTTATTTCTGTGATGATTACGAGAAGAAAATTGATGACACGGAGAAATTAATTATATCTTGCAGCTTCACAACAGGGAGCCCAGCTAGAACAGGAACTCCTATCTCCATGCTAAAATTCAGTAATAATCCTTCATCCACGGGAAGCATTCACACTCGGTGGGGTTCCCCAATGCTCTCCATGTCCCCACAACTGCAAATGGTAAATAATTAAACTAGAGATAATAATATAGATAAGATGGGTGGTAAAGTAACCCAGCGGTGTGCGCACTTATCTATTCATTCGTGCATGTGTCTTGTGGCATAGGTTAAGGAAGAAAGCAAAAACCAAATTGCCAAGAGTCCAAAGATGAAGCTAAAATATTTGAAGGGGATTTTCCCAGCAGCAGATGAAACATTCTTGTTGGACGTTTTGGTGAGGTTACCCAATTTCATATCCACTCCAAATGCATCCCAAATTTATTTATTATTTTATGCTCCACACATTATCTACCTGTCAAGTACAAATACACGTTAATCCTTTGGCATACTAATATGAATGCTAAAAACAGAGATATTATTCTAATTACTAAATAATGTAAAAAAAAATTATGAAGTCAGTTCCTGAACAAATTCTAATAAAATTTTCTACCTCGTGTACACGTACATGCATTTATGTATATATATAATTTGAATCCATGTACATGTATTTCTTAATGCAGATCTCTTGCGAAGACAATATACAAAAGGCAATGCAGAAGCTGCTTCAAAAGGGCTTTACGCGAACGCCACCAGCAAAGTAAGATTGGCTATAAAAATATTGTTATGATCAGACAGATTCATTGCTTTCATGTGGTGAAGATGATTAGCCAAAACTTTATTATATTTTCTCTTTTATGACTTCAGACCGGCTAGGCAAAAGTGGCTGGAGGTAAAACTGCTTATTGAAAAGCGGAATAAAGCATTGGAGCAACAAAAGGTTGTAAACCAAATGCATATATCCTTGGGTGAGCCGGTCGAATCCCCCTTCCCAACCCCACTCATGAAACCTGCTCGACCTCATTTATCAGCAGAAGATAAGGAAAAGGTGAAGGATGACTTAATCAAAAGGTTTCCCAACCTGCCAAACAGATTTGTATCGTGGTAAGAGAGAATCTAAACCCTATTAGAAATATATTGCTGCATGCATACGTACTTTCAAGTTGGAAGCTAAAATGCAATCTTCTCGTCTTATTAATAAAGGGCGTCCGAAGCTGCCAAGTTTGAGTTGGAGAAAGCATCCAGATTATTGTCAGGTGAAAAGGATGTGACCCTTATTGCTTTTTATTTCTACCTTGATGCATTGCTTTCATAGATCAAAACCAATACAAAATTGGTTTTCATCAACATATTTTCACATACCTACAAGTGATACGATCAATCTGCTCTGTGTAATCAAATTGTGATTACAGAATAATTCAGTCAGTCTTGTAGTAAAAGTATGAAGAGGGCCCTGCACAGTACCCTCAAGAATACGATTCCAGTGAGACCGACCCGAAAAATTGACTCTGTGAAAAATTTTATCCAGCGAGAATGAAGCGACATTAAAAATGACACTTTGAATTTTCCCGCCTTAGGGAAGCCTTATTTTGAAAAAAGTTTCAAATGTTTGTTGTAGCCCAATAACACATACATATGACCCCGTTGACCTTTTAGGTCTATCATGCACTCAGATCATTTGAAAAAATATTTAGTGTAAAAGTGACGTCACAGCAGTTCATGATGCGTCAACGAGGATATTTCAAAAAGTTTTCAAAATTTTGAAAAGCGGTATGCGTACCCTATCCCTATATTTGGTATACGGTCATTATGCCGTTAACCGCATTGTTCTATAGTTTAAGGGGACCCCACACGACCCCTCTCAAATTAACATGGGCTTGTCTGATAACATACTATATGTTTCTCATATACATCCACCATGTGTGGAAGTAGATGGAAAAAATAGAAAAATATTATTATACCGCGTCGTTGATAACATGTCCTCCATTGTCACGTTTAGCCGAGATGCATAAAGCGGCGTTTTGGACGCCACCATTGGCATCTTGGCTTTTTCTTGGGTCTCCAACCATTCGTAGCATCATTTGTGTTCAGCAAGTATCAACAGTATCATCAGTATCATCCAACAAGTACCGACATTTAGACGGAGTTCCGATTTTTGTATCTTCTGAAAAATAACATGATGGAACCCATGGAGTGTAATGAGGTAAATAAAACTTTAAAATTTTCTGCTATTATCATACATAATTTTATATATGTACATACATCACACTTTACGTTTTATTGCAGCGTGTTGTTTAACGTATCTAATTGTCTTATTTATTTTTGAATCACAATCAGATAAATTGTCCACAAAATAAATATTGTTCCACACATAAGTACAAACTCTCAAATCTGTCCTTACCCGACATCGAATTGCTCATTCGAGATGGAGAACATCTTCCCCCACAGAAAATAGAATACCTACAGAACCTGCTGGATGGAAACGACTTAGGCGAGGTAGTCGTGGATTGGAAGGATGAACAACCTTTCTCTAAACCTTTGACTTTACAAGAATGGCAACTACGCGAAACTAAAGCTATACTGGAAGCTATGAGTAAAGAAATATCTTACAAAGAAAAAATAATGTCATCTGTCGCTATAAGATATTTAAAAATGGTATGTGTAATTTTTATACTCACGAAAACCCTATTTTTATACATGATTTAATTATAGATTGAACGCATAACCTCGACAAATGAAATAATGCCTCCCATTATCCCAGAAGAAAATGTGGAACAAGTAAATCCACAACAAACAACCGTTTATAATTTAATGATGCAGGAAGTTGAAAACCAAAGAACTCAAAATTTGGAATATCAATGTTGGGGGAATTTTGGTGAAGAAAACAACAGTTGCAGAAATTTTACATTTGAAACTCCTTTCCGATTAATAAATCACTACCGTCACACTCACCTTCAAGATTCTCCTTACCGATGTCAGATTTGTGGATTTGGGGGGTTGAGGCGGGCGAGTATCATTCAACATGTCAAGTCAATTCACATGCGTAAGTCCAAAAAATAAAATTAAATGTTCCTGTTTGGGTTAAATTTTAATATTGATATACATAGTGGGGTCATAAGTTCTCGTGAATGCATTTCCGGTAATAAATCCCAAAGTATTAGAGCTATCTGTTCGAAATTTTTATGGATTAAGAAGGTATTAATATTGTTTAGAAATCATAACTTCTTTGTCAAGATTTCGTCCACGGGCAATTAGACAAGACATAACTCGTGACGGCCACAGGTTGATCGTGGTACGCGCCAATTTTCGTGCCAAAAGTATTTCAGACTTTTCACCGTTGGCAAAAAATTTAATAGAAAAAAAGGCCAGATATTTGTTGTACAGAAGTCTGACATCCGTTTAAGTATGCGGAAGTCAATACGAAGTCATCACCGTGGTGTGCATGGGAGCAAGTTGGCTGGAGAAATGAAATCTCTGTTTTTCATCGCAAAGGGTACAAGTTGAAGCCAAGAATTATTTTCAGAGTGTCCTAAAGCCAAACGTTAATAACCTGAACCCTGGACCCTCCGAAAATCGACATTGGACCTTTCAACAAGACTCTGTTCCTGCGCAAGGTGCAAAATTGTCCAAAACTGGCTTCAGACGAATTTTCATGACTTTTTTTCATCCGTAGAACGGTGCTCAGTATCTGCAGACCTTAATCCCCTAAATTATGACTGGTGGTCAAAATTATAGGTACAAGTATGCTCTAAATTTCACCCAAGTGTGGAAGGGCTGAGGTCGCACTTACTGAAGATCTGGCGCTTTTCCCAGGAAATCCGTGCGTGCCGCGATCGAGCAGTTTTCGCCACGACTTATGTCTTGTGTACAAGCCCGTGGAGGAAATTGTGAAAACGAAGTTATGATTTCTAAACAAGATTAATACCTTGTTCATCCACAAAAATTTCTATCAGATAGCTCTAATACTTTGGGCTTTATCACCGGAAATGCATTCACGGGAACTTATGGTCGGACTATGTATGTATAATCTTTTTTAGTTGTAAAATATCCATGTCCAATTTATGGCTTCCGTTTTCGATCTACCGATAATTTGACAAAACATCAGAACTTAGGTCACATTCAAATACAAAACCAACGTGGTGAAAATATTTCAATTTTCGCACTGAACGAGAGGGATGAGATAGAGTTTAGGACAAGCAGGGATTCAGATTTATTATGTAATATTTTTTTATTTAATTATTTGATAAATATATACTAATGTTCACATGTTTATTATATGTATAACAAAACTACTTACTACATATGTGCAGATTTGCCAAACGGAAGAGGAAGGATTTACCAACTATACCGTTTGATATGGTACAACAAGGATGGAGTCCCGTCAGGAATTTCGGTGTCGTTTACGACATTTACTGATCTACGTCACGTATCCAATGAAATTAAGACTGCCATAAGCAAGCCACCTAAACTTAAAGAGAAATATAGAGGATGCAGCTCTAGAGAGAAAGTTAGACAGGGTTGGTATTTTGTTCCGGAAGAAGCCAGAAGTTTCGAGATTTACGGTCACTCGGCACTTCTAATCTCGCAAATTAAATGGGTAGTTCGGAGAAAGTTAGACGCCATATGTGTATTGAAGACACTGGATAGCCTTTTTTTCTCATGAACCATATCGACTTAATTATTGAAATGTTACAATCCCATTTAATTACTGATAACGGTCTAGATATTAGTACCATAGAATATGTAGAACTAGATGATGAAGAGGAGGAGGTTGAGGTAGACGCATGAATGAACACGTTTTTGTATAAATTAAGTATTTGAGTAATATTACTTATATAATTTTTTTTTGTACTACATTCATGAACTTTTTGTTAGTTATGTCATGATTTCACTTTCTCCGAATAAAACCGAACTAATTGTCAAACCCATTAAAACTATTTGTTGTTTTTAAATTTATTCCATATATACTCATATTTTTTCATCCAGATTAATTCACTAGTCATCATATTTTAGTAGAAAACCCCCTATTTTTCTCTTTGAATATCCTCCTGGAGGTACACTAATTAAATATTTTATTTATTTACAATTGCAAGAAGTTGGACCTGAAACTCCAAATGAATTCAAAGCATTCGTGGCTTTATCCCCAGTAAATGATGCTCCTTCTGCTGCTTTTTGTAGACTGGGAAGAGACGAAAGCGTCGAGAAACGAAGTATGCATGCCAGCATTAATGACAATTTTTACGATTATTGGGACGAATTTTACTTTTTTGCGGACTTGAACTCATTCCACTTTGTCTTATTGTATTTCGTTAGTGGTGCGATTTGCCGAGTCTGGAGACACAATGGCTGAAGTTGTCAAGAGTGTCATTAGTCCTGGAATGCCTCATATCGCAAGATTATCATGGAATAAAGTTGACGACTTTAAAACTACAGATATTGACACACCAGACTCTGGTTACTTTGAGCTTGAAGGAAAAAGTAGAAAGAAAAACTTTATCACTTCGTAAGATTACAACAAGTTTTACGAGGAGAGAGAGATCTTTATTATACAATGTCACAAGTTTTTAATTAATTGACTCGTGTTCTTTTGTAGATTGTTCAAGTCAAAGTTTGACAAAGAAAAAGATTACTCTAATACAAGTAAAACGGCCAAAGGACCGAATTCTTCATTGGTGCGAGGATCTAACCCAGCACTTCTCCAGTAAGATAATAATAATACTTTTTTTTAGTTTTGAGTTATCATGAGTGACATACGGATGTATGAACCCATCAATTTAAATTTCAGACCCACGTATATGCCTGTAAAAGGCCCAAGTGTATTGCACAAAGGACCTCAACTTACAAATCGTGTCGCTGCCACTGGCCTTGCTCATGGCCCCAACCCCAAATTAGCTAAGGGGTCAATGTGGGCCAACAATAAGAAAAATAACCCCACCGCCGGGTTCCAGCATGTTACGGTTGGGGGATAAAAACCATTTGGTTGAGATATTCACGTGTTAAACTTAATTTTACTATATAACTAAACGTGTATAATTTTACTATCAGACGATAATTGTCGAATGATCATGTAATATGCAACCATTCCATCCTGGATCTCATTAATTCAGTATTTTCTTGATGCCATCCTCACCACCGACAAATTAACATTCCGTGCCAAAACAGTACATTCTATTTGATCACTAGATTGCTTAAGCAGTTAATCTACAATGTTTTATGAATGTAATAGTAGTAAGCACATAAATACATTGACTAGTCAACGACTATCTACATATGTAATACCTCAGGGGTTTTTGGGTTTGCCCAAATCTAAGCTTTATAGTTGCATGGACAAACTATTGTAAAATATTCTAGTAATGTGTACAAGAACTTTGTGTATGAGGTTTGAACATGCATTGAACACTGTTTTATTTAGACACTAAACTAATACTTTAATCATCAAACGGATGTTGTGATTGTTGTTGTGATGTGATTGTAAATTACAAAAAAATTGTGTTAGATGCAGAAAACAAATACTATTTTCCGTTGGTAGAAATTCAAAATTGTGTGCACCTTCTGTAAATGTTGAAGAAAAAGTTGAGCATAATAAATAATTTTGCAGTGTTCAAATCATTCCTGTTGTGAGTCACAGAGAAATCCATCTATCAAACCCAATCTCATTATTTTACATACTTGTATACGGAAGAAGACTGACGACACAACAGGGACGAATGGCTGGTTTGCACTAATCGGTGATAATAAAATATGATAAAGAGAGCTGATAATTTACAATACCGAAGGTTTGGTAGTAGAAAAGTCAGCTCATAATAATATAATTGTAAAATTATAAATTCCTCTCACCTAACCTGTCGTACATATGTACTTATGCAAATACATACCACTTTCAATCATTGAAAACAAGTCAGTTTCTTAACAGCAGTAACAACAAATAAATAATAAATACAGCTTAGAAAGTAGGAAATTTAAGAAGCTAAAAATACTGGAATGTCTTCTCAAAAAACGAGTAGTCAGCCCAAACCAAGGCCTAAGCAATCATTTTCACTGCGACCTGGCACTCCACCACAATCCTCCAAACTTTACTCTAAGGATGAACGCCATGTATTGGGTAGCGAAATTTAGTAAAATGTTCATCTTTGATGCATAACACTTTTTATGAAGTAGATAATTTACCATTATAAAATAATTACAGCTTATTTAGAGTCAATGCAAGGAAGAACAACTCCAGAAATGCAAACGTCGCCCATCAAACGACCGGTGGATTCCCCAAATCATCAAATGAAAACGAGCTTTGATTTCAACGGTAACATTCCTGCCAAAACCGCAGAAATGACGTCCGTCTACATGCAAGATTACTGTAACAAATCGCCGGCAACAGCAACATCATTAGAAAAATGATTAACAGTTATTTATGTATTAATAAATATGTAACTGCTACTCCAACTTATCTAAACTAAAAGTAACCTATTATGTAAGTAGATAATTACAAATACTGAATATTTATTAAACTTTGTAATTTCTATTGATTTACGGATAAATACGTATCTGTTGTTCATGTAAAATGTAAACCTTTGCTGTATGATTTCTTAGTTTACATTTTATTCGACCCAATAACTGGATTTAGTGAAAAAGTGTGTGAATGCGTGGCGTGACATTGGCAGAAAACCGACTCCCGACATATGTACATACGTACCACATACTTATACTATGTCGCCTTGCAATTAATTCGCTCTAGCTGTATCAGAAAATCTATAAATAGACTTTCGCAACTACTTGTTTGTCTTTGTTTGATTACCTTAGACTTGCGGAGAGATTCACTTCACCCGACCGGGGGCTTTTATTCGGCCAGGCCATATCGGCATCATATAAATATATTTTGTAATTTAAATCAATAAAGTAACAGACGTTCGCTCTGGTTTCATTCATTATTCGGACGAACAGATTGGTGTCAGCCATATACAACGAGACGCATTTTTGCTATTTTGTGTCGTGAATTATTTGTGCAAATAATAATCTAACAACACATATTTGTGGTTTATCGCACAACTTTAGCTCCTTTAGGGAGGCATTCAACATTGATCCTTTTTATCTAGTGATAGCTGGTTGAATTAGTTTGATTCACATATTTGAAGTACATGAAGTCAACCCTGCAGTACAAGCGAAATAAAGACATGACCAGCGCTGCTGCATCCATTTCTCCATCTGCAAGTATGACAGAAATGTACATATGTAAATATTATATAGGTTATTTGATTTATGATTCACACAATGAAATTTTCCTCAGAAAACGGTGCAGTACGCTTGGAAGTTTTGGGATGTTCAAATAAGATAGAGATACAGCATCAATATGACTGTATGTACATAAATGCATGCGTATTACGTATTTGTATTTTTCTCTGAATCGATCATATGTACATGCATTTCATCTCAATTCTTCTTGCTAATCTCAATTAAATTTTCAGACATATGCTGTGGATTTTGGTTAAGAAGTCATAAATACACACTCTTTGATGATCGCAAGGGCCTCATGCTGACAGGAATTCAACAGCAGAGGTTTCGATCATCTTCAAGCGATTCCAATGACTGTGCTGTTTTGCAAATTTACCAATTTTCCCAAGAACCTCTGCTCGAGATGCATTTTGGCTCACCCGGCTTGCTAGAGTTTACACCTTCGGTATTTTGAAATATTATTTTTCAGTTCTAAGACTTATTTTCTCTTGAGTTGACAGACAGTGGCAGTTACCTTACCCTCCGACGTTCTAATTGGCTCGTTGACGAAAGAGGATAAAAGTGCTACCATCATCCTTGGTAGCACAACTACTACATTGCATGCATTTGATTATGATGGGCATAATTTATTTCTTGCAAAACCGGGTGGAAAGACACTGGCAGAAGAATCTATTCATAATGTGGTATACTAAAATATGCATTGCTCAATTAGTCGAAAACTAGTAATAAGCATTCTACGGAGCCAATTTAAATTATTATTGGTAATGCAGGTCATGGATTCGTCTAGGATTGCTAAAATTCGGTCTTTACCAGGGTATTCTGTATTAGAATACAAGAAGGAGGATATTGCTCCTGATGTTCGAGCTCTACTATTGGCGACGGCTATTTGGCTGGTATATCGGCCATTATTTTCTCAACTTGGTGTCTTTCATAGAATATTGAATTGATTTTTAATTTTGTTTGTAATAATTTAGGAAATGATCGAGCGAAAGAAACCCAGGTGGCGAAGGGATTTGACCAGATCTTAATTACAGGAATTTGTAAATGAAACTAATCAAAATACTTATTACTTGTTAGCGATAAGTTATCAAACAAGAAAACTAAATGAAGCACAGCTTTTTTTATTTTCCTATATTACGTAAACCAGTAGACATTGGTGCCCATATTTGATCTTCTTAACTTAGGATTAATTGTACTCAGGTACATATGTATTACTTGAGCACATAAATGTCTGCATATGATCAAGTGTTTTATTGACTATCCCAACCAGCAAACATTAACGATAAGCTTATCAAGCCTGTTCTTTGTTTGTTTCCAATCCAAACGTTCCCAATAACACTTAACATGTTTTGAATAAAATAAAGTACTTTGTTCCGTCCAGTCGTTGGGTCACGTTGATTCCACCCGATTATCTACATAATTTTAGTAAGCTCCTGAGTCTGCTCACTGCAAGACATACAATTAGCACGCTCTAAAAACTTCATGATGAGGTCAAAAACCATGCTGGCATCTTTTTTGGCGATCTTGGTGACTAGCTCTTGTGTAGATTTTACAAACGGAGAAAATATTCTATTTTTCTGGGCAGTTTCAGGCTATAGCCATCGAATTACAGGTATAATTATAACTTAATTGGTTGGAAATTATTTTGTATGTAACCGCAACCGACAGAAAAAATTGTCTTTACAGTGTGGCCGCTAGTGGAGGCTTTAGTGGAGCGGGGTCATAACGTGACATTCTTCTCGCCTCTCCCGTCTAAAAATCCTAATCCGAAAGTCCATGAAATGGTTGTCGAGAACCTTCTACGAGATGCAGTTGTTGGCGTGGATTTTGTTGGGGCGAGAGTCGCTGGTGGTGCTTCTGCCATAGCCAATATATGGTCCACGTATTTTGAGTTTGCAATAAAAAGCTGTCAAGTAATTGTACAAAGTCAGGAGCTTGTGGATTGGATCAATAACTCAAAATACGATCTAGTAATTATGAATGGAATGTTCAATGATTGTGCATACAGTTTGGTACATAAATTCCAAGCGCCCCACATTATTTACGGAACAACCCACACGTTTGGTTGGTGGTCAGAGTCATTCGGTTATCCAGACGAAAATTTTCCCGAATTTCAATACCACTTTCCAGAGAACATGAACTTCTTTCAAAGTGTTCGGAACGCCGTGCAACCTTTGTATTGGCAATGGAGTCGCCTTTATTATATGTTCCCAAAGTTGGAGAAAATTCTTCGGGATGGTCTCAATATGCCAGACATGCCATCATTTGCAGATATCGAGCGTAATGTTAGCCTGGTTTTCATGAATACACATTTTTCTGAAGAATACGCACGATCCCTGCCCCCACTTTTTGTTCAGATTGGAGGAATGCATTGCACTGATAAAATAAAACCGCTTGCAGAGGTATAAGTCAAAATCTTATTTATTCTCATGTAAGTAGATGATGTAATAAGTAATGCAATCAGGGTTTGGAAAATCACATTGCAATGTGACTTTACGTGATTTCTGTGAAACATGTGATTTATGGGCTTTCTGTGATTACGGGTCAAAGCGGAACAACTTTTTGATGTATGTTTTAGAACATATATCAACTAGGTTTATACACGGATTCAGCATAAAATTCTGACCATTTTCATATTCGAGTCGATGTTTTCTGAATATTTAACATACATACAAATCAAATGCAAAATGCAACTTTGTCTTAATCGGCTCAGGTCACACAGCAAAATGCAGAATTTCAGAATTTCAGGCTAATTTCAAATATCAAGTTAGTTCGTTCTGAAATGTATTTATTTAAGGAAGTTGTTTCGCGTCCTGCTTGTATTTGATATTAAATCAGAAATCACAATTGGCGAATAAATCAGAGGGTGTGAAAATCACATTTAAGCAACAAAGTGTGATTACCATAGTTCAAAGCCTGAGTGTAATGTTTGAATACTTGTATTTTCTTCACAGGATATTGAGACATTTATCAACCTTTCGGATACAGGATTTATCTATTTTAGTTTTGGAACATTTGCAAATGTTACAAACCTGCCACAGCAAATTGTTTCGTCAATTTTTTATGCCATGGGAAATACAACAACGGTTCAGTTCCTGGTAAAGTGGAGTGATGATTCTATTACAGGGATGATTTTACCAAGAAATATTAAGCTGGTGAAATGGATATCTCAACAAGACGTGCTAGGTGACCACTTTATTTATCTATACATTTTCTCCACAGTTATGGAGGACGAAATTTTTCCTCAATAGCGTGTTATTCCGAGGGACACGTAAAAAGAGCAAAAATTGTTCACCCACTATAAATTACATACATTTTTTTAGCTCACCCAAAGATTCGGGCATTTATTTCTCACGGAGGATTGTTAGGGTATGTTTAAATATTATCCGTTATACCTCTTCGGCAGCTAATAATGTATTTATTTTTGGTGAACCACAATTCAGTGTATGACAAAATGTCAAAATTTAAGCTAGATATATGCATACATAGAATTTATTACTTATTTGAGAGCCTTTATCTTGCATTGTAGGACGCAGGAGGCTGTGTACCATGGGGTGCCGACAATTATAATTCCTCTATTCGCTGAGCAAGACTACAACGCTGAAAGGATCCAAATGCGAAAGAGGGGTGTGATGATTGATATTGGTAATCTGACGCAAGATAATCTTATGAGTGCAATCCGAGAAATTTTGGGAAACAATTTGTAAGTTATTATTTATCACTTCCCTAGGAATGAACATTATTTATTTATTTAGTGAAAAAATTTTAAATTTCTTTCCAGGTATGCTGAAAATATTAGGAAAGTTTCCAAATTATTCAGAGATCGGCCAATGAAGCCGGTAGATACAGCGTTATGGTGGGTCGAATATGTCATGCGCCACAAAGATGCTAGGCATTTGCAACCCATCGGACTAAAAAGGAGCTGGTTGGAACGAAGGATGCTAGATATTTGGTTATTCCTTGTCGGGTGTGGAATCATAGGCTTAATTATTATATTGACTCTTTTAAGAAAAATCCATAAACTTGTATTTAGGACTGATACTGCTAAATCTAAAAAAGACTAAGTTATTTAGGCTTCCCGAAATAAAATGTTTGAATATGTTTGACTAATCCAAAGTCGGGTTATAATTTTGCTTAAATAAATGACTGATCCAACCGATTCTCTGGTCACTTCAGAGTTATGCACATAATAAAATAGATACATAGAAATGCACATGGACTGATCCAATCAAAAACTATCGACCAATGCCAACCACTTGCATATTATGTAGACTGGAAAAAAAGGATTACGTGACTACATAAAGCATACACCTGTTTTACATATGTACTTACGTACGGATTGTATAACCAGTTCATAATTTTTAAAATCAGTATTGCAATGTAACCTTGAGCTAAAGACGATGACCAACCTCAATGAGAATTTCAGGTAGACAAGATCGTGCATGTAGTCATTGCTTGAATATGCTTGCCATAAGCATGAGGTTGAAACTGCTACTTCAAATAATTTTCTTAGCTCAATCTCTGAATTATGGCGAGGGAAAGAATATTTTTTTCTACGGGGGGGTGTCTGGGATTAGCCACAGAATTTCGGTGTGGCCTCTTGTTGAAAAATTAGCAGACAAGGGTCACAATGTAACGTTTTTCTCACCCTTTCCACCAAAAGTTCCAAACCACAAAGTCCATGAAATAATTCCTGAAAATTTTCTTCAAAAAATGGGACTGACAGTCGATTTTCTTGGAGCCAGACTTGAAGCAGGTGCACCTGCCATCAGCAAGATTTGGAACGGCTACATTGATTTCTCCATAAATAGTTGCGAAGTGGTAATGCAAGACGCAAAGTTAGTTGAATGGATCAAGAGTTCTTCGTACGATTTGGTCTTTGTAAACGGTTTTTTTAACGATTGTGGACTCGCGTTGTCACATTACTTCAAGGCTCCACACATCATTTTCGGAACTGTAACCTATCTCGGGTGGTGGTCAGAAAGCTATGGGTTTGCAGATGAAAATCTGCCAGAGCTTCAATACCATTTGCCCAGTAATATGAATTTTTTTGAGAGAGCATTCAACCTCTTGAGACCCTTGCACTGGCATTATAATCGACTTAACAAAGTGTTCCCAAGGATAGAAGCTGCAGTCAGCAAGGGGCTGAATTTAACTGACCTTCCACCTCTTCATGAAATTGAACGTAACGTGGCGTTCATCTTTGTAAATGCTCATCACACGACGGACTATCCGCGTTCGACTCCTCCTCTGATAGTGGAAGTGGGAGGGATTCATTTAACGGAGACAACTCGACCTCTTTCCAAGGTAAATATGCAAATGCAAGTTTTATTTAGTATAAAAATAAATTAGATCGCCAAATCCCTTACATTTTAAATGTCATAAATGTCTGTAGGACCTGATGGACTTTATTGATGCAGGAAAGAAAGGCTTCATCTACTTCAGTTTCGGGACATTTGCTAAACCGGAAACCCTGCCTGTAATTTATAAAGATATGTTTTTCGAATCAATGCGAACATTCAAAGACATTCAATTTATTGTAAAATGGAATGAAGAAAGTGTGCCTAATTTGCCCAAAAATGTAAAAATTGCTCAGTGGGTTTCCCAACAAGATATTTTAGGCGAGTACTTTTATCATTGCAACGTTATTTAAAACATCCGAGTAAATTATGAATTTGCTATATATGTAAAGCTCATCCAAAAATCCATGCATTTATCTCGCACGGCGGACTACTTGGAAACCAAGAAGCTGTGTATCATGGGGTTCCTTTGATTTTGATTCCTCTGTTTGGAGACCAAGATTTTAATGCGGACAGGACTAGCGAACAAGGAAGGGGCATCGTACTTGAAATCATGACCATGACACAAAGAAAGTTGGAAGACGCGATAATGGAAATTACCACCAATCCAAAGTATGACAATGCAATATACTAACTATGATATTATTACGCAATGCAAAATAATTTTAACCCGTAATCCAGGTATAAGGCAAACGCCAAACACACCTCGAAATTGTTTAGAGACAAAAAGTCGAAACCGTTGGAGGATGCAATTTGGTGGACAGATTATGTTTTACGTCACGGAGGAAACACTGCCCATCTGAAACCGGTAGGAATGTCTCGAACGTGGTACGAAAGACGTCAGCTCGATGTATGGTCCTTTTTTCTTTTCATGGTAATGGCAACCCTCTTAATGCTGACGGGTCTTGTGGGTGGATTGTTATATATGATTAGCCGCATGCTGGCTATGGTGAGAACTCAACCAGAAAAAAAAGTTGCCAACAAGAAGAAAAAGTAAATAAGGCTTGAATTTGTTTATGTCATATATATTAAATATTACTATTATTGAAAAAAAATTGACAAGTATTATGGAACAATGATTGTCAAATGAGTTAGTCTATTGCATAGTAAAATACAATATCAAAAGATAAAAGAAAATATAATAAAAGCACCAAGTTTCTAACTTGAATTATCAGTCTTGCTTCTTGACAATATGGTCATGGTTCAGGTAAGTATGTAGATAAAGCGGATTAAGATGATTGATTTGTGAATGGTAACCCCTGCTCATGTTTCAATCAGTGTGGAATATTGGTTGAATTTAAGGCCCCTGCAAATTCCTACCGCCATTACGACAAAAGCGACCAAGAACATCGACATCCAAAAGACATTCCAGCCCGAGATGGTCTCTGTAATTAATTATTATTAATTATATAATTAGTACCGAGAAAAGGAATGGAATTATGTAGATAGGTTAAATACCTAAAACATGAATGTCGAATACGGCCTCACTTATGGTGATATTATTTGCTGGGTCATACGCCAAGCAGTAAAATTCATTAATGATTTCATAATCTATTTTAGTGAAATTCATTTTGATTTCTGCCCCATTTTTTGTGTCCACGTGGATAGTGGCATTCCCAAAAAATTCCTAGCATTAAAACAATAGTTTGCAATCAATTATGGATCTTGTTTGCTGTTTAGTTTAACATTTGCTGTGCAAATTAAGTAAACTTATTGTTAAGTATATACCTTTCGCTCTTCACCTAGGGCCCATTTTAAAGAGAGCTGCAAGGGAGACCCTTCAGTAGTACATCGTAGAATGTGGGTGTCCTCAAGGCTGTTCATGGTCCAGAAAACATGCACCGTCTTGTTCCCAGAGGTCACTTTGTACTCTGTATCTGCAGCTAAAGAAAAATCATTTTACAATCAAATTAAATTATTTCATAATCCAAAGTAGGCCTACCAAAATGTTCTAATTTTTTCTTACCCACGAGTAAACCACCTGTTACACATATTATGAATGAGTAAATAAGTAGGTTCTTCATCCTAGTATTTGAAAAAAATGTACGCTTTTTATGAGATATGCTAACTTCAACTTTAAACAATTACAAAATGCAGACAAAGGAAAATATTAATATGCCCGACAGCTGAATGAAATTATATAAAAGAGTGAAGGTGGTGGAAGGATGATCTACTGACTGAGGACTGCACACAAACACGAATTTGCCATCAAAGGCTGGTATGAAATTCATACTATGAATGTGATCATCAATATTTGACTTGGGGGGTGGAGAATATGAATCGTACGTTGTTAATAAAACAACAAAAATAGGACAGGTAAAATATGAATAAATAGGTTTATTACGTTTAGGATTAGTTGAATTAGGGATGTTTGAATAGTTCATCATGGACTATTCAAAGTGCATGGACTGTCCATGCACTTTCTCGTATTAAAATCCTCTGTTAAAATCGCATGTTTTACCTGGGAATCCCAGGCTGGGATTCGGACTACTGATAATCAGAGGCATGCAATGAAAATATAGATATGTCGTTTATTTATAGATATGTAGTAAGTCACTCTTCGTGATTGAGTATAATAGCACTATACGTTTCCCCGACTTCTGAGCATTGAAATTTAATAATTGATAGATTTTGTTTCATTATATAGATTCGATTTTATTGCCATTCAATTCTGCAATACCCAAAATATAAACCTTTTTAAATTAATAAATACATAAATATAGATTAAATTAAATTTCATGTATTTTTTTCTAATTCATTTAAATCACATAAGTCCAAAAACTGTAATTATAACTGGTTGATGAGATACTTGTCTCCAATTTTAAGTCTTATTACAGCTAAGAAATACTTTGCTAGAGCAGTACTGAACTCTGGTTCAAGCTCCAAGTCCAAAAGGTCACAAAAGTTGGGGTACAAAATGGTGGCGAACGAGAGAAACTGCACAGGAAATTTCAAAGACAATATTTCATCATAAACTGAATAGGATACAACGACACTATTATAGATATGTATGTTACCTTCTCTTGAGGAACTTTATGATGCAGATTTTGAATGCAAACGGTCATGATGTCCGTGAGATCATGCAAATGATTTGGCGTGATTGGTTGTATAGTAACGAAGCATTCGAGAACTTTTGCAACTCCAGTTGTGAACCGATTCTCAATTTTGCCAATCTCATCATTCGACCACGACTGGTGAAAATACATTTGGACAAGAAAACGAAGATACGTGTCCATGAGCAGGGTTTCTTGTAATTGGAGGTCAAACGGTACGTGTAGTAAGGGCTGAAACCAAAGAATGACAGAATGAACTACTGGATTATCATACAAATAGTTAATGAATTGTAGAACTACCACCTTTTTCATTTCCTTATGGGAAGTCACAATTAGTGAAATTTTAGTTTCAATTGCATCCAACAGACAGAAAAGATTGCGATCCCCTATCAATGTGCGGATATCTTTAATTGAATTACTGTGATCGCGTTTACCATCAGTAGTCTCATTTCTGCCGTTTACAGTTTCCTGTAAAATTCATTTTGGTTATAGAGTCTCGTCATAACTAAATACAAAATACACATGTGATATGTATGATAGAATACCTGTAGTTCTTCATCTGATGGGGGGATAAGGATGGTTTTAACAACTTTCAATAATTCGAGCTGAACTACTGGGTTCCATATGCGGTCGTTATGCACTTTGTTCTGAAAAATATTTACAAAACTTAACCTGTGATTTTTAAACCCAATTAGTTGTGAGTCTTATTATTAATTTATGTACCTGCAAAGGGTAAAGCGTTTGCAGTAGACTCTGAATCAGGTTTGAAATTAAAGTCCACTCTGACATATGCATTTTGTTATGCAGCATTCGTATTAATTGGTGTAGACACTGGACCTACATATACAATTGTAAGGTTGGTTAATTAACATTTTGGACAAATCAAGCCTTCATTTTAATTTTAAATTTCAAAATAAGTTCATGACTTACCCCAGCAAGTGCAATTTGATCATGACCTAAGATTGAAGAGTTTTAATTATTTGGGATGCATATTATATTCCATAATATTTATTAAAGATACGAGTTTACCTTGTTGTCGAATGCACCATTCCAACTCGTTGAGGAGCGTGCCCATCAATACATCGCCCAAAATATCATATTGACGAATGAAAGTGTCGATTATAGCAAACTGTACGTAATAATAACAATAAAGTTGGTTGTATCCTTTGGATGGTTTAGGAGTTGCATCAGCCTGAAGCATAATGAGAATAATAGAAAAGTGAGCAATGATAGAAATAGGGTTATGCAATGAAAAGGAAACTAAATATGCATTGTATTTTGGAGCGTCATAAAGAAGTAAATAATTTGTCAACTAACCAAGACTGAATCCTCTCCGTTAAATTTCAGTTTGTTAAATATGGAGAATAAAAGTCCAAACAAAGACTGCCACCATTCTGTATGAAATGATTCTCCATATTCCTTCACGAGCTCAAATATGATCTACTTACGACATATTAAAACACATTGTTGAGACGTTAAGAATTCAAGACATTAGATATAAAATTTGCGTACCGTCAAAGCAGTGGCTTGATTAGCATCTGTAAAATCACATTTCTCAGCATCAATTACAACACTTGATAATTCATTGAAGATGGGAAGCCATCCAAAAGTCCACAAAGCCGATGGGTTAATGCTTGGTGATTCCGGTGTAAGAAATAACTATAGTTAATTAAGAGGTAAGTTTTCCATTGTTTAAGAATTTTTATATATTATGTAGGTCACAATGTTAGACGCACCTCAGGTCTGCTGTAGACTAGACTAGCAATTTTTTTCATTAATTTTAGTGACTCGGTTTGAACATTTTGCGTTTGGCCCTTAAACCCAAGGTCAGCCAGGCACCTCAAAAGTACATGGTAAGAACTTTGTAAACTCAATTCAGCTCCAGTGAACATGTCTGCACAGAAAACCGTTCAGTTTTTTAGATGAGCTGAAATAAATTGTCGTTATTGTTCTAAGTCTTTGCTTACTTATAACATCTTTTAACATGGAAAAGGACATTTCAGCGGTATCCAATGAATCATGGAAAACGCTAGATTGTAAAATGCGGAATATTGGACTCCAACCAGACCTTAATTGTGAAGCGTGAGTTCTCACAATTTTTGCAATAGCTCCAATCACGTGCTCCCGTGTGGATACGAACCTATGTAGATATGTATATACATATTTATATATGGGTTTATATATAGTTTAAAAAATTTAATGAAACGAGGTTCTTTGTGATTAAATGCCAGATATATGTAGAGATGTGAATGAAAGATAATCTAATGTTGAAAGGAATAATTACGGTGTGTTCTGCATCACAGTTTCATATGGTCTAAGAAAGTGATCCTGAAATCGAAAGTTTCCAAGTGCTTCCTTTGCTAACAAGTGTACAACTAACTTTGTTATCGAGTCAATCGCAAAAAATGAGACGTCTTCATCCGACGAGCAGGCCAAATGACTAAAGTAGTCACTTAAAACCTACGCAAATTAATAAATATATAATTGCCATTTCATTACTCGTCAAATAAAAGCAACTTCGGGGATTATCTTACTTGCCATATGCTACACCATTGTTGCGATGATCTATGCATATTGATATGAGCTACCTCAAAAATCTTTTCATACACAAATGATCGTGGATTCTCTGGATGAGTAATTTCGATGAGGGACACCTGTAAGTAAGTTGAATTTTTTTTAGTGGTCACTGCTTGTCGAAAGTATCGATGTATGTATATTTTACTTGGCATAGAGCTTTGAAAAATTCTACAATTCCATTTTCATCCAACTTTGTAGAATTTAGGAATATTCGAGTTACACTTGTGTCTATTGACTGTTTTACACTTGCGACTGAAACAGAATTGGAAGACAATTTACATCTGAGCGTTATATGTAAATATATGAGACTCTGCTATAGTTGATGTAATTATTTACTGTCCAATTTGCTTGAATTGTCCCACAAAGTTGGAACCAACGATCCAGCCCAAGTGTACCAACTTTTGCTTGTGTCGTTATCCGTTTCAGTGGTCGGACTCGGGGTTCTAGAACTGTTTCGTCGCATCAGTTCTGAAGCCTCCAGCTGAGAAACGCATTTGAGGGTATCCAACCAACTAGTTGTGAGATAATTGCCTATAATTCAAACGAGATTAAGTATCAAAATGCAACAATATAACAGATTCTATCATCATTCACACATTATTTATTCTATTCTGACACGTGAACTTTACTTTGAAAGTGCATTTTCAATAATAAATACATACGTTCTTGAATCTTATTTTATACAACAACCCATAAATATCTGCACAAATATTATTTGGTGCGTATATGTATTAAGGTATTTAAATGTATGCATTAACTTAATACCCAGTACTGCACAGACCTTCGTTAATAGCCACGTTCAAGAGCGTCAGAATGATATCAACGTTGCGACATTTGGTCTCTGTGGTTGTCGTAATCGTCGTTTTTGTGACCCCGTTCTCCGTCGTGGTGGTACTCGACGTCTTGCTCTTAACCACCAATGCATTCGCAGTTTTATTCTTAATCTCCTTCAGAGCTGCTAAATTCAGACGGGACAAAGCTGAAAACCATTTTCAGCATATTTAAATATCACAAGTCATTTGCACTGTTACAAAGTTGCTCAATGTTATTAAACATATCGAATGATCATTGTTCTTACCTTGAACAAATGCATCCCTCTCATTCTGTGTGAACAATCATCGTTTTAGGTGATAAATTTACATAATCATGCATAAATTAATTATAGCGAATCTCACTTTCAAACTCAAAACGGCCGATATGTGAATTGCTTTTTGAAGTCCATCGAGACAAATATCGGTGACAGCAGTATCGTCGTAAATAATAAGTGTTCCCAGTAACGCGTTGAGCACAGATTTTCCCATGATCTGAGCATAAAAGTCATTTCAAAATGCGTTACTTACATGAACACACGATAAATAGGATTACCTTGAACATTTTTTTGACCGATCGAACTTGCTTTTCATAAAAAAATGACGATTGATGTAATCCCATATTTGTGATAATTTTTTTTGCGCTATGCATCACGTTGAGTGATTGCGATTGCACACAAATATTTTGTTGTTTCCGGTGCTTGACTTGCTGCTTAAGGTGCGCTGTAATTAAGTACACAGTACAATTCACATGAAACTTCATTTTTACGACTATTTTATAATATTAAGTGTTTAATGTCACAAGTCGTCGTATATGTACAACACGTTGTTGAGAAGAGATAATTCAATTGTACTCTTGTTAATGTGTATTCTTATTATAAATAATGTCGTGATGTAAACTAATACTAATGTCAAACTGCACATCAGGGATACATATATTTGTGTGAATAGTGTGAAATCATCGCACAACTACATAGTAAAAATTCATCTAAAATCGCAAAAATATGCCTACGAAAATCCTTTGCATGTAACATATTTTAAATTAAATATTTTAAATAAGAATGAATGCATACCATCAATTTCGTCAAATACTGACTCCAAGAATTCAGATGACAGCAGAGTCCGACACCAACCAGGTTGATTCAGTTTAACGAACCATTCTTTATTCGCCCTTCTTCTACCCTGTGGGAAAATGTAGGCAAAATACGATAAATTAGTGAGGTAGGTATATAAATTGTTACAAATTTTTGATACATATGTACCTCTTGCTTACTAATTCTACTGCACACATAAATATTTCGTTATATAGATCAATTAGTATAATTAGTAATTACACTTATTATTTCGTTACAAATTAAGAAGACGTTGTGCAACCTACAACACTCTTACCCATCGCCAAATATTGTATCATGAAATTAATTATTATATGTGCTCCAAATTTCATTCATATGTTTTTTTCACCAAGAGCAAATTTTGATACTCGAGAGCATGAATGATATTTGAGAGCAAATACATTTGATCAGCATCAATTGAACTACATGCATGAAAATACGTACATGTGCGATAATGCCATAAGAGGCACCTTGAGATAAACAACAAGGAGCAAAACTACACAAAATAAGTTGCATTCCTTCGCAATCATGATCGAATCAGACCTCATTTCAGTTAATTTGGTTTATCTTATCAATTGCAGCCATCAGACAGTATTAAAGACGATGTTGCAGGTGCGAAACTGCCAAAATTGTAGGAACTGCAACCAATCATATCATACCTTATCCGGGGTCTATACACACACACACATATCTTATTTTATCAATGGAAAGAAGTTTCATGCTTGTTATATAACAATTAAAAGTGCTAAAAACTTTTTGATGAATGACATAAATATGAGGGCAACAATTACGGAAGTTGAGCAATTTTTCACACTTTACAAAAATTAACCCTACAACACTTGAACATATCTATCTCGTATCGTATGATCGTATGGACAGGGATAAAATTAAACAATTTTTTTGTCACATTGGTAAAATAAACATGGAATTGGATATGTTTAAGTGGCAATTGATTTTTTCACACAAAATCATCAGACAGAGACTGACCACAATGAAATGAATACTTAACTTAACTTATGTACCTACATTTGTACATATGGTCACCTTTATACCTACAGTAAAATGCATGCAGCATGGTTGATGCACAAAAGTAAAGTTTGACCGTAAGCGTGACAAATGGAAGGATTAATTTTAAGCAAATAAATTATATAAATTATACTAACACCACTAAAGTGCATAAATAATTGACAATCTTGAATGACAATCAGCCAAAATTATAATGCAAATTAACGACCGAATAAAAACTTGCAATTATTTTCATGCACCTTCATTTTGTCCAAATTGTTCTTTAATTTTTCGATGTGATCGATTTGGCTCACATAACTCTTGGGTTGAGACATCAGGATAATTATTTTGATTTTCCCAATAATTTTAATCGTTTGGCTAATTAATTACAAAGTCTCTGTGCAATAACAAACATTTAATAACCAGACATCGTATTGAAGGATTGAGTCAAGTAGAATGTTATTTGTTTGAGTTTTATTATTGGTGATTATTGGCATGTTTTAGCAAATCAAAAGTGTTTTCCTACCTACATATATTCTTCTCAAATTTGATGAAGTACGGTAAAGTGCATATTTGAAACAAGTCTTAATTTTTATTTTTTAAGAAAATTTACATCACTCACAATTCTTGCCAAGTTGAGTGTGTATCGTATGTATAACTCACTCATTTTAATTCACTCATTAGGCTTGATTACAGTAGTAGACATACGCAGTGTCTGACATGGTTATTGTTTATAACGTGCCCAACTGTGCTAAACCACCACCTCTTTTAACCAAGGCGTGCAGTGATCTCTTATTATTTCAGCGTTCTTTCTTTTACTTTGTTCTCCTTAAGCTGCAAAGGGTGGGAAAGTCGAAGGCGTCCGTACAGCCGACGAATTGTCACCTGCCACAAATGGTGCAATCCTCCTCTTATCTACTCGTATATATAGTTCGAGATCCTATTCCCTGCACCTTCATTTGTTGAGTGGACTTTGTACTGTGCACAACTTGGAAACAATAACAGGACCCCAGATTTCGAACCCTGCCTAATTTCAAATTTGAGGAAAAACGTAGATCAAGATGAAGGGAGTTTTTGTCGCAAGTGTTCTTTCGGCTGTTGTGCTAAGTGTTTTTGCCTCTTCCATCCAGTTGCCAAACTCAGGTAAGATTTTGAGCATACTGTCTTTGACCGATCATAAATACTAATAATATCATCATAGAGGAAATTTCCACACAATGACTAACCATACGTAATATTACATTTTCATGGAATTAGGTGAGGTCGAGGGAGACGTTGTTTCATACAATCAAGATGCCACACAAATTGTTCCTGAAGTACACGGTAATCATTTTTCTAGCATTTCTTAAGTTAACAGATCATAAATAGTTTTGAAAATCATTTCGAAAGTAGTATTTAAAAAATGATTATGCGGACTCTTAAAGCTAGGGACATAATAATTGCAAGTCTCGTGCATATAATCATCAGAGTAGGTACATGCAATATGCGTGCACGTACAGTATGCAGATGTTAGTCCACCACACTCAATTAGCAGTGACAACTCTGACAACGCGTTTAATCGGTTTCGTCAACGAGTAAATTACTCAGTCCTCATACACAGCTTAACAAATGTAATCAAGCATTTAATGTGCAACACGCACAATTAATACCACACGAGGAAGGAAGGAACTGAAGGAAGCCCTGAGGAAGTGTGGCTTGCTCTAGACAATCCATCTTTAAAATTATTAAACCTTTGTTATTCTTCCCACTAATTCGTATTTCCTCTTAATGAAAGTGAAAATCTTCATACGTGTAAATGTCATTTTTTTGCGTAAATTTCCCACACCTCGCCATTATTGCGGCATCCAAGAAAACAAGTGCAGTGGTTTATGCAACACATTTAGCAAGAACAACAATGTTAACGCACATTTGGTTTTGATGATAAAACAATGCGTTCATAATTTATGATTGTATAATTAATGTGAATTAAAGCAAACAATCGACAAAGTTGTCTTCAATTATTCTGTTATGATTATATTATGTTACCGTGAATGTTTTTTTGTTGTTCTAAATTTCTTTTTTTTTCACAAGGAACTAAAATACTTATTTAAAACTTATTTATTTTGCAGGAAACAGGATGAAGAGATCACCACTCGATCCAATTGTCGCCCCATTGATCATTGGAAAGTCCTTCTTGTATGGAGCCCTTCTAGGCCCCAAGCTTTTCCGACCTCGTTACTACTACCACCCGAAACCCCAATATCATCATTATGGTCACGGATATGGGTGGGGATGGGGGTGGAAGTAGATCCAGAGCTTAATCATTATAATAAACCATACGCTCTTTGCTGACGGAAATGTCAGAGACCAAATCTTAAAAAAATATTTTGTAAGTGAATTGTAAATGAAAAAATGACAGCACTTGTACAAAGCTACCCATTTTCTCAAAAATAAATGGTGCTCATTTACACCACGAAATTGGTACACTAATTCAAGCTTGGGTAAAAATGGGTATAATTTACGCTCTTGTTTCACATCATAATTATTTTACTGTCCCAACAAAGTGTAAATGCATGACAGTAACGGCATGTGATGCTAAACTGAAAATCGTGAGCATAACCTAATCCTCATTTTTAATAATATTTACATGCACCCAAAAGTAGTATGTTATTCAACGAATTTTAAGCAAATATTTTTGCCACGCATTGTCAATGTTGCCTTGTGCGTTATGAATTATGAAGTAGGGAAAGTTGTAGGCATTGTCGTATAAAAATGTTGATGACACGCCCTTCGGCACTATAAAAATTTATGACACAGACTAGGATAACAGACTTATAAAGCCTAATGATAATTTCTCCTCCGGTGGGTTGAATGGTTGTAAAATTATTTTTTAAGTTCATGCACATAACTATGAAAAATAATTGGCCTAATAAAAAACATATTTTAATAAAGAGGGTACTTGCCTGTTGGGAAGACAATTCGCCAATGAGACAAATGGATGAATACATCAAGGCATAAATGGCATCTGCACTTTCCAAATTGCCACTGCATGAAATATTTTTTTAATTAAGACGATCCACTTGACTTCCGGTATGGACTAAACAACCATTTGGAAACTAATTACCCAAAATTTCCTTTTTCAAATAACCGTTGTGCAGTTTTTTGAATCATGATGTCTAAACCAATAGTATCGGGGATTGTTTCCAGCAAAGTGAATAGAGCAGAAATAAATGAGTGTGTCGTATTTTCAAATTGGTTTTCCAAATTATGAAATGTACTAGTATCCGTTTCTTCAATTTGCACCACGGGTCCTCCTTCTTCAACTTGAGGTGAAAAGTTTTCAGTTTTCTTTTCTAGGGACAAGGACATTTTGCTAAGAAGCAATGTTATCGACTCCAAGGCCAGCATCCTAATGGGCAAAGCTGTCAATGGACCAGGATCACCCGAGTAATTTTCAGAATTAGTTAATTTGCACGTGTAACTAATCATTCGTTCAAAAACTCCACTTTCTTCTCCTGCTAACAAATCCACGAGTGATGTGAAATTGTTGAAAATTCGGTTTACTGTCCCAAGTGTTAGGAGTATGTATTCGTTGGAAAATGTCGCAGGTTTTTCCATAACAGGAAACAATACTTCTTCCATCAATTTCTACACCATAAATATTTTTATTTAAAATAAATGCAAACTTAATATTCTATTGATTTGACTTAATTTTCTTTATATATGTAAATGTTAGCATACCTCAATTTCCTTTGACAAATTATTTTGAAATTTATCAATTAAAATGATTAACAAATCCAATTTGAGCTTAAAAATTTCTTGGTTTATGGACACTCCGGTCGTCCTCAGTGTTGTACACAAATATTGCTTGACTGCGGTACACAACATTGGGCTGCTTTGAAATACTGTTCCACAATTGTTGAGCACGGATTTGATAAGTTGAAATGACAGGATTGTGGACTTATATTCTAATTGTTTTCTGATAAAAATAAGTATAAAAGTTGATAATTAGTGTTTAATATTACATATGATAATATAAGGAAGTATATACCTAGTATCTAAATCCAAATCTTCTGATACATTTGGCTTTGCTGCCAATTTACAGACAGCCCATAATACTAGAAATGCATCTTTCTGCAAAATACTGTGGCAGTTTGAGCAAGAATTTTTTTGCTTCTGATCAGTCTGAATTATGTTTTGATGAGAACTATCAAAATTTACGGGCTCTTCATTTTGATTGAGAGGAATGTGTTCTTCATTGTCATTTTCGCCAGAAATGCTTATTGTTCGCCCTTCCAATGACTCCATAGAATGTTTCGTTGGATTATCCAACCCTTCTTCCGTGTCTATGAAAAAATACATAATTATATTTAACGGGAATACGTTTATTTGAAAATTTAAATATTTACATGTAGAAAGTAGAGCTTGGTTAGCATTGTAGAATAAAGAAGACAAGTCCATTTGATTGAACCAAGTAACACTTTCCTGATCCCAGTCTAGTGAAATATTTAAGCGAAACTTTTTATGCAGTTACGTTATGAGCAAATGTTAGTAGGTAAAGCCATGCCATTCACAGAGCAAAAAATTGACTAATTGTTATCATACTTTCTACTGAACCTGTAATCTCTTCCAATTTCTCTGGCGTCACGTCCCCATCAATTTGTGACGGGCATTCGGAAATGCCGTCATATGCGATTTCCATCCGGGTGAAAATGGATTGCAGCATTTGTGTTAACATTGCTCGGCTTGTAGTTTGGTTGATTTGATTTTTGGTTAACAAATAAATATTGAAGCACGTTCTAAGTGTTAATAAAACTGATCCCTCATGAATTTGTACGTGTTGTGACGTCACTACAGTTAATAGCGCCTAAAAACATAAGGATCTCTATTTAGACATTGTTAAGCATTGTTGACTATCGTTTACTCGTGTATAAAAAATTCAGACCTTAATGATTTGCAATTCTACCCCTTCATCTGTTTCGACTCCGGTAAAACATGAGCAAATTGTTTCAACAATAAAGTCAATTAGCCTCTTATTCGGATTGGCTGCGCTTGGATAATTTCCTGTAAGGTGACCATGAGCCAGTAGTTTCTGGATACCATCCAATGCAAGGATAGTGACTTTGGGAGAATCCCCCTTGGTCGCCATTTCCAGTGGGAGGAAGTACTTTTCAGAGTCGACTTGGAAGCTACTTTTGTCATCCGGGAGCAGCAACGACTTATTGCTTTCACCCAGCACCACGTTGTTGTTTTCTCCATCGTCACCACCACTCACTCCTTCAAAGTCCTTCAAAGGCACTTGTTGCTGAGGCCCAAATTTCTCCTGTATTGCTGAGGATCGAATTTCCTCTGAAAATTGTGAATTGGAAAATGTATCTAAATTCAACACAATAATAATAAGTTGTTCCTTAATTTAACTTACGAATTGTGGACTCGCAAACGCGAATCAATTGAGCATATTGCGTTTTTTTAGTGTCACGTTCATTCAGGATCTTCTCCAAAATTCGGATATACAACATTTTATGTGTTGATGTGTGCTGTTGTACTTATCAGTTTAGACCAATTACTTTTGCATCTTACATATAAATTTATTTCTACCGGTATTACTCAATTCCGGTCAAGCACAACTTGTATGCACTTATTTATTAGCTGCCCAAGTTTTGTTATAATTCACAAACGATTTATATTAGATTTTATATGCTTAAAACACACTTTAAATCTGCTCTACTTTTATTTTAACGAGTATTCCACGATTAACGTATAATAGTGCCACATCACATCATAATCTTTATTAGGCGGATCTAAATTCTAAATCCCAGGCCTCTTTAACAGGTGTATTGTACATATGAATACAACATTACTTCACCATCACCCTTTTCAACCATATGTTGCTTTAATAGGTTGTTACAGCCCAATGTTTACACATGAAAATATGCGACGCCTGGAATGAATGACAGTTAAGAATTGCGATAATTCAGGTTAATTTCAAGCTACTGAAAACCAAAACCCTTTGATTTTCTTGTTATGGGATGAAAAGTTGCAAATAAATGTAAAGAACGTCTTCCTACATAAAACCCGTTGCAAACCCCGTTAGCATAACTTTTTGCATGTTGAGTATTGAGGTATGTATGCACCTCTTTAGTACATATTGCATTAAACTGCATTATTGAGGAAATTGAGAAAAATACATTTCATCATCTCCTTTTTATGCAAACTTTATCTTCCAGGATTATATTTCAGTGAAATACCTGTATGTAAAGTAAATGTAGCTTTAAGTCATGCTTTATAATAATGCAAACGGAACATATGCAATGTGCGAAGAAGTAAATGTATAAAAATACTTCCACGCACCTCGAGGCTATTCAATGGACGAGATGTAGTTGAAATGTCAAGGTTGTTTTTATCTTTAATAAGCAAATTGCATAATCCAGCGTCGTAGTACATATGCATATATGTACATATATACATATTTGCATGCAAGAGATTTCGTGCAGAGTGACCGGTGAGATGAAGAATGCCCACAAACAAATTTACGAGTCTTTTTGGTCCAAGTATTAGTGAAGAACATACATGCGAAGTATTTTACAATAATTTTTACTAACCGAAAATTTTGGAAATGGGGACGTTCTGGGGGGTATTTTTACTCGCGTCTTATATAATTGGAGCCTCGGCTGAGGAGAGTTCCGTAATTGTCGACTCATTACTGGGAAAATTAGAAGGAACGACCTTTCTTTCAAGGGCAGGACGTGAGTATTACGCTTTTCGTGGCGTTCCGTTTGCTGAAAAGACGGAAAGGTTTCAGGTTTGTAGACGAGATTGAATTTGACAATGACAGGATTTTATGGAAGAAAATACATGTTTTCTGACAGGTTTCACAGCTTTCTAAGCCATGGACCGGTGTGAAGAAAGCTACACAATTTGGAAATGTATGCCCACAGTTTGATATCTTTGAGAAGGTCTTCACAGGGGATGAGGATTGTCTTTTCTTAAATATCTACACCCCCATTAACAAGGTGAAGCCCTTTGCATCATACACAGACTGACTCAAACTACATATGTTAATACTAATTGTAATCTCGCTCTGTATATGTGAAGAGTGACCTCGTGGAAAATGGGAAAAAGCTTCCGGTAATGGTTTGGTTCAACCCCGGCGGATTTACATTTGGGAAAGCTGACTTTGATCCAAAATTTTTTATGGACGAAGATATAGTTTTAGTAACTTTCAACTATAGGATGGGAGCATTTGGTAGTTACAAATAAATTCAAAATATTTTGTGGTATAATGTACTAAATGAAATTCCGAAAAAATATTCAGGATTTTTGGATACCGGAGATGATGCAATTTCAGGAAATTTAGGATTAAAGGACCAAGTAGTTGCTCTTCAATGGGTCCAAAAAACAATTTCATCGTTTGGAGGAGATTCCTCGAAAGTTACAATTTTTGGTAGGCTCGTAAGTTTTCTCTGTAAATCATTTATGGCATTGAAAAGATTCAATTTATTCATAGGTTGCAGTGCCGGGGGTGCTTCTGTGCATTATCACATGTTGTCACCAATGAGCAAAGGTACGTCATTAATTAGCTTACGTGCGACATTTAATTAAAAACAAATCTTGAATACTATGTGTAGGATTGTTCAGAAATGCTATCTCACAGAGTGGATCAGGTGAGCAATTCTTTCGAGATACAACGATTTAAAAATTAATTTCGTTATGAAATATTGCAGTATGCATATGCAGTATATGTAAACTAAATATTCCATAGTTCTGGCGCATTGGGCAATTCAACGGGATCCAGCAGGTACCTCCAAGTTTATTGGAGAGGATTTAAAATGTCCAACCGCAACATCCCACGAGTTGGTGGATTGCTTGAAGACAAAGACGGTGCAAGAACTTCTGCAGGCTCATCTAAATGGCGTTGTACGCACTAAAATAATTATAGGACTTAAATTTTCTTGAAATAATGTTATCATGATTTTTAGAAATGGTTTATGCTGCCATTCAACATACTTGCGCCAAGCGTTGAGAGCAAAAACTCAAAACAGCCTTTATTTCTGGAAAGCGACCCGTTGTCTTTGATCACAAATGGAGAATTCCATCGTGTTCCATGGATTTATGGATTTACTGAAGATGAGGGAGCTCAATTATCCACTTCTAGTAAATTTAAATATGTCCATGCATATTTTTGGTTGACCATGTATGAAACAAATACTTTTTGCATTTTCAGTAATAATGAGTGAAACACATTTATCTGAAATCAATGAAGACTGGTCAAGAGTAATGCCCATTGCTTTGGGCTATGATTTCATAGCGGACAAAGAAGTTCGGGACAACGTTTCCAGAAAATTGTTGACCCAATATTTTGGAAATGAAGAGATCAGTGAAGAAACGTGGGCGAGTTTCACACATTTGTTTTCTGACCGCTTTTTTATTCATCCGGCTGAAAAGGCTGCCCGATTGCAAGCACAATTTACGGACATTTATCCATTCGAGTTTACATTTCCAGGAGAAGAGGATTCCCCACTTTTGAAAAACTTTTATGGCATTTCAGGAGAATATGGTAAATGGTAGTCTAAGCATTGAATAAATACAAAGGGAAACTTGGTGGCTCACATTATAATAATTTTTAAACTGATCTGTAGGAGTGGGCCACACTGACGAGTTGCAATATCAATTTAGCGGAGCGTATGGAGCTGTGGAGCATGTCGACCAACACAAGCATGAAGTTTATGAATTTTCTCAAAACTTTGTAAAGCTTTGGGCTAGTTTTGCTACTGACAAGTAAGATATTACCAACTTGGGTGTACATACGATACATTGGATTTCTCTGAAATTGTATTTAAAATATTGCAAAACTAGTAAGCCAACTTCCACTTGGAAAAACGAAATGCAGTGGAAACCAATTCCTAGGGATGTCGGGGATGCTCCAATACAATATTACCAAATCGCTGGTAAGACGAGTAGTGTGAATAATCCTGGCCGTCATGAACGCATGCAATTTTGGGACAAGTTGAATGTTGACAACGTGGATATGAAAATTACTCCCAAAATTCACAACAAAATAGAATTGTAATAATAAAGTGCGTTTTCTAATATTTTCTCACTATTTTGCAAACTATCAAATAAAACAAGAGATTTATAATGTACATCTAATCAAAATTTAATCTTGATATATTTATTTCAAGTTGTTTGTTTTACTTATCTATGTCTCAATTTCAGCATGTTATGGGAAATTGTGAAAGATCCAATGATACAATTCACCAAATCTATAAGCAACAAGCAAAAAATTGATTCCTTGTTTAAAGTAAATTGTATCTAAACACGCGTGCCATGCTTCACTAATGAGCCAAAGAGTTAAGTTTGTGGTTTGCAGATTGCTACTACTTTTTGGTACACACTTGAGGTAGAAGTAATGTCAATACAACTAGCCAAATTTTTTTTACATCGTTACTTATGTACATGCATGTGGTCAACCCCGATAAATTGGCAAGTCATTTTCAATGTAAGTAGTTGGTTCATCACTCGAATCAAGTTTTCTCAGTTTTGTAATTTGTATTTTTTTGTAAAGGAGGATGCGAAATTTGGCAAATCAATGGTACGATATGAAAAATGAGAGTACATTACCCGTGCCCGCACCCAATTCAATATGCTGCTTCCTATGTCTGTAAAAATTAATGCATGTATTTGATCCATATTGGATTGATAGCTGAGTTATTAAAATTTTTATTTTGAAAATACTCCTTGGGCGACAAAAACTGGTACGCATAAAAATCCGTGTATGTATGTATCAACTTCAAATTTAAACTTCTAAAAAATACAAAGTTCTCATTTACGCTACGCCCAAAATTTAAAGACTACAATTTAAATTTATTATGTCTGTGCATATATGGTACGTCCTCTGAGATCTTGTCACGTATACAACATTTCAGCCGAATCCGACTGTACATATTTAGTTTAATTATCCTACACTCATATTCTCAGTGACATTCCGAACAGCTTGATTTGCAATTTCTCTGACAAATTCTCCAACCAGGTTTGTCAAATTCCCTTCGTTTCCTCTAAAGTTTTTCACATTGTTGAGCAGCGTGGAATTCACTTTCAATCTTTGTGCTGCTAGGAATGACCCAATATTGACTGGCTGCAGAGTTCGAGCTAAGACGTTGATGAAATCAATTTTATTCGCTGCAAGGTTCAAACTTTCACCAGTGAGCGAAATTATTTCTTTCGTCAACTGAAATTTCTCTCTTTCAGCGGTTGCATTTCTTTCTTTTACAATTTTCGGTAGCTTGCCAGAATCCAGAAGAGGAAACTTTTGCGGTATCGGTATATCAGTTACTTGTCCTTTCTTCAGTTGATGCCTGGAAAACATTAAGAAAAAAATCCATGTTTTATAAAGGAATGATCATACGCATATAATGAACATTTATATGATTAAACATATACTTCAACATCAGGGCGACTCCCAAGGTCCAAAATAAGGGAATTCCAGAAACTGCTAGCGGCATTTCAGCAAGCTTGTTTCTCACTTTCAAAACTTTGGGCCACACTATGTTGCGAACCTTTTTCATTTTAAATGGTCTCAATTGACGAAGCCTCGGGATTCTCAAATACTTTTGGTTGTGTTTTGTAAGAGATGGAAATTCGTAAATTTTGAAAATATCCTCAGGGACATTGAAGCTATTTGTATCCTCGTCACTATCCACAAAATTATCAGAATTTCTACCGGTAAATACCCTGGAGTGATGATCGTCGTCGTCGTAGTCATAAGTGTCCAATAAACCTCTACGTTTCTTAATATTATTAAATGGTTTTGTTTCTATTTTGAAATGACCAGTTTTCGGTGCATATTTGTCAATAGTTTTAAATTTCTTAGATTTTGATAAGAGTTTGCAAATCAGTCTCGTGCGGTCACTGCGATTGCATTTTTCGGGAGTTAAATATCCAACAGAAACCCTATTATTGGTGATTTGCGATTTAGGAAGAAAAGTATCAAAACTACACTGACAGTTTGGATAAACTATCAACAGGAGAGTAACAATTAAGACATTTAACACAGGGAACAACAATAATTCAGTCATTTTGTGTGTATAAGTTATATAAACCAACACAAAATAGCAAAACAACTTATCCAACTCATGGTCGTTGATCAACTATTGTAACAAATTTGAGTTACCTGAATCGTACGTCAGGTTGCATTAATCTCGTCTCAATCTGAATTTTGCCGTCTTAAAGTTGTAACAATGTAACGACTGACTAGTCAGTCACAGCAATTTTCAGTACGCCTTTGTGCAGTAAAAGTGATTTGTGGTGGATTCGTAGGTGGAGAAAAGTATGTATGTACATGGCATGGAAGGTACTTATCTAAAGCAGGTCAGAACAAAACCTTACTCGATTTACTACAAACTCTGCATTTAGTAAAATATGAAAAGATAGCAAACTAGAATTTTAAATTTGCAGCAAGAGACTTCTAAAAAAGTGGTCGTGTCCTCTTCGGCAAATAAGCGTTGGTTCGTTGCTTCTGCATACATGATCAAGTTTGCACGTGTATTTCGATTTCAGTTGCTTTCAGCAATTCACTCATCGTCGTCTTCTGAATTTTGAGTGAAAATACAACAAGATTGGCAACTTTTTGAGGCTTTCGTTCAATCTCGTGGTCACACTGATTTACTTGGGTGCAGCATTGCAGCCCTAATTCATTGCAACCCTAAGTCAGGATTCTACCACACCATTTACTAGCTCTACCAATTTTTCACTTTTCATAATTAAGTTAACAACTCTGAACTTATTCGGTTGATTTTTTAAATATTGTGTCATACATATTTATACGTTAAAAACTTCAAGTTTAGTTATTTTCTCATCAAATTCGTGCTTTTAAAATTATTGAGATTTGAATTTAAAACGATTTCAATCCCAAAACCAATCTTTCTAAACATCTCAATTATCCTGCAATTCATTAGTATTCCAAAGCTAGATACATGCATGTGCTTGTAGAATTATAATTTAGAATGCATGCAAGCTCGTTCAAGTTTTAAGAATACAAATAATGCGAAAAAATGGCTAGCGGCATGATATTTATTTATGTTCAATCTTGTTAAAAGGTTAGCTAATTAACACATTCTTTATATAATTAACCTCGAATGTTGCTTCTAGTTGAGAAATTTGCAATATCAATTTAATTATTTGTCAGAATCATTTTCATCACGAGTTATTTTAGGACATAATTTTTTAAGCAGAAATGCCAGTTCGCAATGCGTCGATAATTGGTTTCAAACTATCCACAAATTCTTCGGCTGAAGGCAAGATCTGTTCCTTCGGGAGGAGGAAGCCATATCTCCCAGTATCTCGCAATTCATAGGTAAACGACAATGACGATGGCGACGACGACATCAATTTACTCTTTACCCAATCCATGCTATCTCCCGTCGACGGATCTATAAAGGATATATAATTTTAGTAGGAAGAGATGTCACAAATGGATATTCGAGTGAATTTATTTACAAAGAATTTGTAGCCAATTTCCTGGGGAGAACACTGTCCCGTATCGTACTTGGGCAGCATTTGCAGCTTCTGTCGCTATTCTCATCTATACCAATGCAAATTAAATTGAATGAGTTGTTAATTTGCAAATTAATACATCCTTACGTTGTAGTCATAAAACGAGGTGTCGACGGTGTCACCAAAAGGAAACATGATGAATTGGCTGTAGCTGTGTACGCTCAAATATAAAACAAGGTCATCTTTCAGGTTTTCCTGTATAAACGTTGTTAAAGCCCGAGTTTCAGGTTCAGAATTTGGAGCAGATCCGCAATACGTGTCTGAACATGGATTAATCGAAGATCCAACTCCACACCAGTTGTAGTCAAAATTCCTGTTCAAGTCGACTCCTCGACAATATGGGGGAGTGGTCGAGTTTGAGCGATTCTTTCTCCACAGCCTGTCCGTTGACCGGGTGTATTCCAAGCCATCCGGGTTGAAAACTGGCAATACGTACCAATCGAAATCATTTGTCCACTCTTGGATATCGGTATCCTCGCTGTTAAGGAGCTCATTTACGAGGTAGGTTGTTACTGCATTTGTGATCCATTCCCTCGCATGTGCATCTGCACGAGTTAAGGTAATAAATAACTGGGATACATGTTTTCGTATAATGCATAAAATACTAACTCGCTTCTACAAAGATTACAGGTTTTCTAGTAGAGTTTTTTGCAATTTTGATAACGTTCAAGTTCCGTTCTTCAAAAGACGGGCCGATATTTATGACATTTGCGATGGAAGAATGGCTTGAAGCTTGCTCATTCAAGAAGGCATGAATCTATAAAAGGAAAATACAAGAATACTTATCAAAGTACTAAACGACCTGTTACTATATTCCTCTTTCATACATCGTCTACGCCATAGTAATCATCCCATGCAATGCGGCCGACTTGTTCACGGTTTTCAATTTTGGCCAGGCTATGAAAAATACAACATATGAACTAAGAAAATTATTTCAATTATTTTGTGTGACGCATTTTTTATCTCCTCCACCTTCCCACATCATCAACAAATTTGTCGACAGTGATTCCCAGGGTTTCAATTTCTGGCAGGAGTGACCCTTGCTGCTTCGGAGAAAGTAGAACATCACAAACCCGTTCTGGAACTGAGCAATCTTTCCAAAAGTTCACCTGTAAAGAAATTGTCCAGATAATAAAATATTTATTGTTCAGAAAAATCAGTGCATTCTAATACCGTAGGATCCAACGACTTTAAAAATTCCACTTGATCCACGGAATGAGGAGTCATTCGAAAAACATGGTAACCCTCGTATGAGACAGATTGCGAACTAGCAGTAATGCCAAAAATGGCTAAAACCATGAAAATGTGAATCGCCATTTTCCACAAGACTCTCACAAATCACAAATGCAATTAAATAAATTGACACAGCCAACACACTTTATGTATGCATGTAGGTGTGTACACTTTTAGAGATTATCAGATCAATCAAAATTCCATTGTGATCCAGGTATTATCTGAATATCGAGTGTTTATCGTGATATTTGTCCATAATACATGAGTACTTTATCATCACATGTATTTAAGAACATGAAACAAGTCATGATATTGCCATATTGTGTACGTATTATGCATCTCTGTTACCAGCTGCGCAAGTCAAGTATCAGAGTGACTTTTATTTCAAATGTATTAAACACAGTTTGTATTACACGATTTTATACTAGATATGTACATAACTGCGAAATAAATCAAAATACCAAAAGTTTAATTTAGCAAAATAATATGAATGTAAAACTACATATGTTATTTTAGATTATTGTCCTTCAAGAATGGAAAGTCGTTGGAATTAACACCGAAAAATTCGGCAATGGAGATTTTTGGCGTACGTTTTCTAAACACTTTCATATACTTGTCTCCGTTGTTCCTGGTCACTTTTTTGCCTTCCTCAGTGCTATCCATAATTTGCTCTGCCACCACATCACCTTTCTGAAGTAGAAAGCATAAAATAAGGATGAGTATGAAACGTCACTGGTCACAAAATGAATTGTAGATTATGGTTTGTAATGAATTTTATTAATTACCAGCTCTTCATCAGTGACTACTTCAAACATGGGGTGTTCGGTAAAGTGTTTAACCATCCACTCGTGGAGATCCAAAACATCTGTGACGGTGTACACCAAACCCTAAGCAGCGATAAGTGTAATTACTTAAAATGGCCAACATTCGATAACATTGAGAGTATCATCCGAGTGTTATGTTAGTGTAATACCCCCTCCGCTAAAATAAAAGCATACTCTGCTAACAAAGTGTTATTGATAATTCTCCACTTGTGTTTGGATCTCTTAAAGTGCGGGTCAGGATACAAGAAAAACATTTTAGTTATCTAAACAACAAATAGCAATTACTACCTATGTTTAAAAAATCAGATTTTCAGGACAATGGAAAATAATCAACTCACTTGTCCTTTGGTGAAGAAATTTGGCAAATATTTCATTGCATTCCCTCTAATGCAGTCAATATTTTGATAAGTCCCAGGATGCATTTCCCTTAAAGCTTTCACCCTTTCTTGTACATATTGAGAAACTTTCACTCTAATCTCCATTCCAAGCATAATCTTGTCCGGAAATAGAGGCGATAGAGCTACTAAAAGTCCCCCATACCCGCAACCTATCAATACAATAATATTGTCAACAAACTTTCCTTATGTATATCATTTTGTCAATAATAGTCATCCGACAAACTCACCGACATCTAAAAATTCCACCTGCTTCTTGTTACCGGATGCATTTCCTTTGCCCTCGAAAAACTTTGGATAATGTTTCGACCAATCCATTTCGTCGGGGGATACTGGACTAGAAATCATACAAAGAATACAATTCATATTTTGAATTTGCACATATTGTTGGAACTACATATGAATTATATCGAATTTGCTTACTAGTCAAAAATGTGGTCACAAATTGGGTTGGAGTGAGCCCTTTGTCGATAGTTCTTCTTTTGTGGAAGCCTCGCTGTTACCACCTGGGTCGAGCTTTCTCTTCCCAACCCTTCCGCCTCCTCGGCTGAGGACATCTCAACAATTTTCGAATTATTTGTGATTTGGGAACAACTCGTTCAATGTAACTCAAATACGCGTGGCACATGAATGACTTTGATCCGCGGATTTCTTACTCAACCCCAAACAATAATAACCCTTTGTGTTAAATAATATTTACTTAAATTGAGATGGATTGCATGGATCTTGGATTATAATTGTTAATTTTGGTAGTAATTTATTTATTTATTTAAGAATCAAACGAATGAGAATAATGGTATAACATATTTTAAATGCTTAATATTGAAAATAAATTTACATAGAGGTAAATGAGCTTGGAAGACATAAAAGTCTTTAGAAAATGAATGTATGAAACTTTCCAGAAAGAAGTGTATGCATTTTAGCGAGGTTTGAGTTTAATATTCATGTCCCCATCAGGATACAGCATTATCTTAATCTTTGTCCCTACCTCGTCACTCTCGACGACAAAAGTTTGGACGACCTGAGAAAAAAATATAAAAAATAATTGTGCATAAACCAAACAAGAATATTCTACAAAGAGTTTGTTCTTTTATTCGTAATACGAACCTTGGCCACGTAAAGTCTCATTAAGTTTTGTGCAATAAGTTTTCCAGCACAGGTCCGTTTTCCAATGCCGAAGGGATAATAGGCATCTTCCGACCTCTTCCGCTCCCTCGTTTCGTCATCGCGCTCCTCCCACATCCATCGCTCTGGCCAAAACTTTTCAGGGTTGTAAAAGTATAACGGATTTTTATGGGAAACAAAGGTCGAAAGAGTTACAATATACTGAAATTGGAGAGAAACAAACACACATGAGAATAGTTAAATAGTCATACCTACAAGCGTCCATATTAAGGTTTTGTAGAACAATTATACAAATTAAGTTTTAATTTTTTTTGCTTACGTCTGATGGAATTTTGAAACCACCAATGACCACGTCTTCGTCATGTTTTCGTATAATTAGGGGCGCAGTGGGGTACATGCGCAATACTTCTTTACAGGTGGCATTGAGATACGGCAATTTTTCCAAGTCCTTGTATCGAACAACAGCCCCAGCTCCACACACGCGTTCAATTTCCTTCAAAATTTTGTCTTGTACATCGGGATTCCTACCCAAGGCGTATAATGTCCAGAGGGAGGTGAGGCTAAACTGCAGATAATGACGATATTAGTACTTATTGATATGTGTCTTTTAATAATATTTTTTTTACTGGATCAGAGATATCCGTGCAGAAATCAGTGCAATGTAATCGAATTTCTTCGTCAGATGCGTTGCAAACATTCTTCAGTCGATGTAAGAGCCCATATTCTTCCAATGATCCTCCTGTACCCATGGCCTCTAGTGCAATATCGGTACATTTGCGACCTGTAGAATTGAGACATTAATTAAATTTACTCTCCGAGTAACTCGTAAGAAGTTTGCTGAAATACCAGTTCTTAAATTTTGAAGAGTATATTCTTGGTATTTTTCCCAGGCCTTGAGTCTCAATACAGTGGCTATTTGAATTGGATATGCATTAAGATCAAAAGTTGTATCATTCAATTTTATGGCGATGTTGGCCAGTGTTGTCACGTTAGATCCTGCTTGAGACAAGAACATCTCATAGTGTCGACCAAAGGTCATAACCATTATAGCTGAAGTAAATAATAAGCCAGACAAACGTATTTAGTAATGACCAATGTTCAAAGGTGCAATATACAAAAAAAGTATTTGGTCGCACATGAAATAAAAAGTTCGTAGCAGTCATGTTCAACATTTCTTATTAGCCTATCATCATTTTCCATTGATTTGGATTTCCAGTTTTCCACGACCTTGGTCAATACCCCGTCGACAGAATCTAACAAAGTTTCCATATATCGCCCTGTCTCCTTAAGGATCAGTTGGGTTAACAAAGCACGGTTTTGATGCCACATTTCACCATCTCTGTGATAAAATATCTAAAATGCTTATACTTACATACATAAAATATGAATGCATTGATCTCAAAATGAAAAATGGGATAGATTACTGAAAAAATAATCCTCGGTTGATTTTGTGTCTTCTATAAAATGCTTCACCCGCAGGTAATTTGAAGCTGGCAGGACATTTTGGTTCATTGCGTATAATTTCCTTGTAGAATATCGGATGATTTACGAATAAGAATTTTTGAGGTCCAAGTTTAGTTCTAAGTACACAAATTGTATGGATTTGATTATGATGAAATTGTATTCACAGCATCACGGATTAAATTTATTACAAGTCATGACTATAAGAACTGTGATACTCACTTGACAATTGGTCCGTATTTTTCATGCAAACTGGAAATGTAATCTAAAAATCTCGGAGGACCTCCAATCTTGTTGAGAGTAAGAGCATCGCCTAGCACAGGTAACCAGATATTGGGGCCAGGAATTGCCGATGTTGGTTTAATCCGGACACCATTTTCATCCGTGGGTTCGACCCACAACGAAGGGAAAAATAAATGAACAAAGGGCCGTAAAAAATAATCTCGGATGTAGTTCCAAAAATTTATCAGAATCCGGACCCGTATTGTCCGTGGCGGATCAAGTGGTTGCATAATGGCGTGGCGACTTTTGCAATACACACTTTTATTACTACAGAAATTTTTATAAACTGATTGTAATTTTAGGAATTTAAATTCGTTCACTTTTCTAGAGAGACGTGAATGTGAAAAATGGAGACGTTAATGGCATACAAATCCAACAAGAAGACTATTTAAATATATATAGCTTGTAATGTCAAATAATCTCTTGTCTCCATTCAAATGAGTGTCACAATCTATCACTAGAAACACTTTAATTTAAACCTGTGATCCACAGATCTAATATGCATATTTATGTAGTAGTATATGGTTGCTGTAGCTCTAATCCTAAGGTTTCAGTTCGGCTGAATCCTTAAATACGTGCATAATGTCCAGTAGGTGGACAAGGTTATTGACTATCATAAAAGCATGCATCGTAATTTAGTTTATATTCCTTTTGGTAATTGGAGACTTTCTTAATAAGTAAATAACAAATTTAGCCTTAACATAAAGCAGCCAGCCCTGTTGCCGGTCAAAAGACTAGAGGCCATAAAATGAGGATTCCTGATTACTAATATACATACACTGATGGATTGTGGGGTCAAAGAAGGACAAGTTTACATATATTTGTGCATAATATCAGTGCATTCAGAGTTAATAAATTCCAGAATTAACGTATCTTTAAATTACCATTCATTTGAATTGACCATGAAACGCATAATTTAATGTGGCTTATAAATATAATGTGATAAATATATATATGGTATGTAAATATAACCATGTACCTACGTGTATGTAGTACATATGCACTTACATGCGTGCATGTTACCTTTGCGCAAATTTATTTGATGCAAATTCAATTTTTGCACGCTAAGATACTATGTAGTTTGAAGCAATTTATTTCTTCACATTTTCTAACCTGAAAAAATATAATATATTTCCAGAAAGTAATATAAGAAATAACGTAAAATTTTACAGTTTCTTGTATACGCTTACGTGACTATTAATATACATATGCACATATGTGCTTCATCTCGATTGAAGTGTTTTTCTCTGCCAAATTCGCTTTTAAGGCTCAACATTTCTTTCCACATAGTCCACAACGGTGGATATGTGAGAGTCATCATGAGCTAATTAGCTTCCTTTGGCACTTACCAAACCATTAGAACGGAACAAGAGGCCGACTAGTAATTACGCAACTTGATCCCATATTTAAGAAGACGCAACAACACTAAAGAGGCGTAAAATGTAGGATTATTTAGCTATTGCATAATTGAGCTCTCGTACTTATCCTCCCGTTTCCTTTCCTTCCTGAACTGAGGAATTTAAATTCCAGTCATTTGGAGCACGCAAGAGAGCAGAATCCGTTATAGTTGCCTCGTAGTTTTGTTACTTAGTTAGTAGGTAATTGGAGAAGCGTACTATCCAACATTTCAGTTGTTTATCTATCTCCCATTAGATTAAATAACATGCATTCCCCGCACCATTTCCACCATTGTCCTCCTGGCAATTATGGTTACTTTACTCGAAGATGTGACTACAATCAGCCACCAGCTACATGACATTAAAGAAATTAGTCGTCGTTTTTTTTCTTACATTCAAACGCTTTTGCCTAAAACGCAAAAGATCCAATCCAATAAACTGACAGCATCTCGAATGTGGAGTACTTCGAACCTGAACAAACGAACAAGAACAATAATCTCCTCAGCATTTACATATGTTTCCTTTTGACGACATTACGCCAAACTCGCTGTTTCTACTCATCCCTCTCAAAATAAACATTGCATGACCACTTGATACAAATGCTTTCTTTTAATAAAAGTCTGTCTCAGAATGTTGAGAATCTCTATAATGCGGATCTCCTTTCTTTCTCAAAACAATAATCATCTTTGTGCCGCGTTCCCGACAGACCGACCTACCTGTTGCATATTGTAGTAAGTAAAGCTATGTGGAATTGTGGAATACATAGGATCGACCATTACATTCATTATTGCATGATCATAAAGCGAGCTCACTTCCACCCATTTACCAAGAGCACAAGAAATGCGCCGTGTGGTCGCATACTTACTTGGGAGCAATGGAATTGTTGAAATAAAGAATAGTTGCATAGCTGAGACTGCTATCCTAATCCCTTATCCATCCAAGAAGAGCTACAATAAGTTATGATGCTGGGTTTGCAACGTTAAGAGTAAATCACATTATTAAGCCTTTGAAAACTCTCTTGGTAAGAGTGTGATGATGATGATGGTTCTTGAGAATTGGTTTTCCTGCACTACCTTTCAGAGAGAGAGACAGAGAGAAGCCAACAAAAGAGGGTCGAATGATGATCAGTGATTTGGCTGCATTGCAAAAACGCAGCAGTGCGTGGATATTCACTCAGTGAGAAACACTGTCAGAAAAATTGTGCTCTGTGTGATATAAATTTTGTCACACTCTTGCCATCATTGTTGAGTGACACTTATTTATGAATAAATAATATTTCGTGCGAGCTATTGCATTTTGCTATCTGTGCTCCACATTTGTCACGCTCCACACATTCGGATGAAGAATCAGTGAACCGCGAGACGATATGCATACTTGTGACATTTGTACGTACCAGGTCACCACTCTTGTTGTTGTTTCGTACTGTCAGTGTGGAGTGCAGTGACGTTTGAAGAAGAGGGGTTCAAAACTATGTGAAGTTTTTGAGGTGTCGAAACTACAAGCACATATTTTATTCATGTGTGTATCATTAAATTCTAAATATATCAATGTCTCCTAATAATAGGGAGCTTTCTACCCACATTTTTCTGGAAGTTGTATAGTTTTAGTTTTATAAATATGATGTTCCACGTTCCATGCAGTGTAATATAGAGCAGATTTGAACCACGCTATTTTATATACGTTACACATATACATACGTTATATTTGTTGGCAATGTGAGTGTGAGAAAATATAAATGTTCTGCGTTATTAGATTTTCTCTTTGGGTAGATATTCTAGAAACGTAAGAGAGGAACAAGTGAGTAATTATTAAAGTGATTAAATGGGAAACAAGTAAAATGATGAAGAGAAACAGGAAAGTATTGGCATCAAAAGGCCGGACTTCCCTTGTCGTATCGCCCAACAGAGCCCGGATGGCTGTAAGTACATTTTTACTCGTATTCTGTCTTCTTCTTACGCAACCACTACCGACCGCAAAAAAAGTTTCTCAACCCCATGTAACCCAAGTTCTTAAAAATCTGATTCAGATCAAGAAAGAGGCAGCAGAAGAATTGAACTTGCTGTAAGAGGCGTATGACCCACTAAAGAAATTACCATTTATGGCAGTAACGTACAGGCTTGCCAACGTAATGTGAATTCAGCATTCACAGTGTGATCTGCTAGATTATGAAATAGTCCGCATAAGATGAGTTTTTCTATATCTCTGGTCGTAATCTAATTAGTCAGGGGTTAGTTTTACTTTAATTTTGTTTGATCGGAACAACAATCTAGACAAACCAGAAGAAATGAACTTAACGTGGGAGGAAGTGGGATACAGTTAAATTCAGTAGCCGACGGCTTAAGAATATAAACCTCATTGTTAAACTAATATGTATGTTTTAACAAATCTTTAATTCATCAGAAATAAAAACACAACAAATAAATAATATATAATAATTCAACAGCTAAAAACTATGAAAGTAACAAATCAATCCACCTGAGAAATCCAAATATAAAATGAGAAGTCCGTTTTCCATTCCGATATTAAATATACGCCGTCGGCTAAACACAAAGTTAAAATAGATTAATAATTTGCCAGTTATCTTTTTAATATTATTTTGTTTACCTTTTCAATATTCCACTCTTGTTGTATTTGCCATCCCAGCGATCACTGCCCAATCCAGATGTTCGTGCCAATTCTGGCCGTTGGCTAGTGGGGTCAACTCTATAGCAAATTTCAACCCCGTAATGAACTCGACGCATGTCTTGAAAAACTCTTCGTCTCTCTCTTCGTACATGTCGATGATGGCGGACGCCCGATTCTCCACTCGCACCAAATGATCGTCAGTTGTCCTTGCACCAATCATTTCGAGGACAAAAAGAACTTTGTGGAGGACGGATTCTTTCTTTGCAGCCATCTTGATCATCTTCTTCCAGGTAGCATCCTGAAGAGGAGATAAATTTAAGGGAGCGGAGATTGTTCGAAGGATGTTTATTTCTTCTTCAGTGGGGGTCGGTCGCCACATCACAATCCCATCCCGATTGGTACTGAGGTTGCCGACGGCACTCCTAATCACTGCTGTGTTCTTAGGTGTGTGGGACTTTGAAATTGTTTTAATTTTTCCTGGTTGGGAGTTGGAAATTGCATCGTCGATGGATTCATTAATTCCTGCGTAGAGGTGACCAGGCTTACGTGGTGATAAGTAAACATGGGGCAGAGGCACTCCCAAAGGTGTATCGTCCGAGAAAGGTGGGGCTTTCCCTGCAGTTGAGTTTCCTTGTGTCATTTGAATGCCATTGAAAGAGAGGAACTCTAAGACATGAGACAGTGATGCCGAACAAACCAGCTGATGCTTATAGGGGACAACAGTGTATAAGGTACCGTCGGTACGAGATACGTTCCGGAAAAAAGATACCAGATCGATCCCAAGCTGCAATTAAAACATGCATAAGTACGAATAACTACAATTGCATGCACAAAGTTAATACAATTACCCTTAGGGTATGGCGAAGACGGTTGTCGTAGGCGCCGTTGGCGAGTTCCTCAAATCGATAAAGTACTTGGATGTTGGTGATGTCCAAATTGTTCTTTTCCAGGGTTTTCTTAAAATTTTCCTTGCTTTGTATCCATGCTGCACAGATGGTGTTATCCCGATTTTTTGATACTTCATTAGGCTGTATCCCCCAAAATATCTTTGTGATCATCATCTTGATCCTCCTGAACGTCCTGGAAGAGGCCGACGGCCGTAATCTGCCACATGTTTCGGCGGTGTTCTGGACAATTTAGGGATTTTATTCCCCAACAATCTACCCAAGTACATAATTGAAGGTTCGCCAATGACGCTTCGGTTTTTATCTTTAACCTCCCCTCTGTAAAGTAGAGTTGCTTCCTCTTCCCTTGGACCATAATGGAGAGACAAGATTTCTTCGGTCCCGGTTTGGCAAACTGATCGTTCCTCATCTTCCAATCCGTGTACTTTTGCGACATCTTTAGCTGACTGTCACATCCATCTT